CCGCTCGTCTTCTGACGTGGGTCGAACTAGTTTGACACAACATAGAATAGATACCGGCGATCATCCCCCGATCAAGCAACATCCAAGACGTCTACCGTTTGCTAAACAGGAAGAGGTGCGAACACTGTTAAAAGAAAGATATGGAAGAAGGCGATGTCATCGAGCCTTCAGCGAAGTCCATGGGCATCTCCCATCGTTCTCGTCAGAAAGAAAGACGGCTCAACAAGATTTTGCGTTGACTATCGCCGGTTGAATGAGGTTACGAAGAAAGACAGTTACCCTCTTCCTAGAATTGACGACATTCTAGACACTCTTTCTGGAAGCAAGTGGTTCTCAACACTTGATTTAAAGAGTGGGTATTGGCAGGTAGAAATACATCCTGATGACCGAGAAAAGACGGCATTTACTACGGGACAAGGGCTTTGGCAATTCAAGGTGATGCCGTTTGGACTGTGTAATGCGCCGGCAACATTCGAACGTCTTATGGAGACTGTTTTGAAAGGCCTTTCCTACGAAGCCTGCCTGATATACCTGGACGACATCATCATCGTCGGAAAGAGTTTTGAAGAACATTTAGAAAATCTTAGGAAGGTGCTTCAGAAACTGAAAGAAGCCAATCTGAAGCTGAGTCCCGCTAAATGCAAATTGTTCCGAAAGGAAGTGACTTACCTGGGACATGTCATCTCTGCAGAAGGTGTGCGCACGGATCCTGAAAAGGTATCAGCGGTTAAATCCTGGAAACGTCCCGAAAATGTCCATCAGCTGAGAAGCTTCCTAGGGCTTTGCACCTACTATAGGAGATTCGTGAAGGACTTTTCTTCCATCGCAAGACCCCTTCACAAGCTGACAGAGAGCAAGCCAAAGATTCTTGTGGACAAAAGAATGCGAGGATGCATTTAACAACTTAAAGGAGGCTTTAACATCTGCTCCAATCCTGACGTATCCTCAGCTCGACCGACCATTTATTCTCGACACCGACGCGAGCAATGAAAGTGTCGGTGCTGTTTTGTCCCAAGAAATAGACGGCCAAGAACGTGTAGTGGCGTACTGGAGCAAGTGCCTGTCTAAACCGGAGAGGAATTATTGTGTCACCAGGAAAGAGTTGCTCGCCATAGTCAAAGCTGTAGAACAGTTTCCATCACTATCTATACGGCAGAAAATTCCTGCTCCGCACCGATCATGCATCATTGACCTGGCTTTTAAATTTCAAGAATCCTGAGGGTCAAATAGCCAGGTGGATACAGAGACTCCAAGAATATGACATCACTATCCGTCATCGTAAGGGATCATCACACGGAAACGCCGACGCCCTGTCTAGAAGACCTTGCCAAGAAAGCTGCCGATATTGTTCCAGGGTGGAAGCGAAATACGAGCTGCTGACTCCGGTCGCAAGACAAATTACAACATCAACATCGGCTGATCGAGAACCGTGGAGTGATGATGAAGTCAGGAAAGACCAGCTGGAAGACCGCGACATTAAACCCATAATTGATTTAATGGAGTCATCAAACAGAAAACCTACCTGGCAGGACATTTCTATCTGTAGTCCTACAACCAAACAATATTGGGCACTCTGGGATTCACTTCACATTCGAAACGGCGTCTTATACCGGAAATTCGAATCGGATGATGGGAAGACGTTCCGATGGCAACTTGATACTTCCAAGATCCCGCATTCCTGATGTCCTTAAAGAACTACATAGCAGCCCTACAGGAGGTCACTTTGGAATAATGAAGACCTTACAGAGAGTTCGTGAGCGCTTTTACTGGAATAATGCAAAGGATGACGTGCAAAAGTGGTGCCGATCTTGCGATGCCTGTGCAGGTCGGAAAGGACCGAGGAAACGCAGCCGAGGCAAGCTGCAACGTTACAACGTATGGGCGCCTTTTGAACGTATCGCCTTTGACATCCTGGGACCTCTGCCACGAACTGCTGATGGCAACAAATACATACTCGTTGTCATTGATTACTTCACCAAGTGGCCTGAAGCGTATCCTATTCCTGATCAAGAGGCTGTCACAGTAGCTGAGGTAATGATACAGCACTGGATTTCCAGGTTCGGAGTGCCTCTTCAGTTACATTCCGATCAGGGAAGGAATTTTGCCTCGGCAGTAATCAAAGAACTATGCAAACTACTCGGCATTGACAAAACTCAAACGACGCCATTGCATCCCCAGTCGGACGGCATGGTAGAGAGGTTCAATCGAACCATCCTTAATAACCTCTCATTAGTGGTTTCCAGAAACCAACAGGACTGGGACAAGAAATTACCACTCTTTTTACTGGCTTACCGCAGTGCTGTCCACGAGACTACCGGCTATTCTCCATCACAGATGCTCTTCGGTCGTGACCTTCGTCTGCCTTGTGATCTATTGTTTGGCCGCCCTCCGGATGCTCCTTCATCGTCTGAGGAATATATTCAAGATCTCCAGGCCCGGTTTGAAGTGATGCACAACTTTGCACGAGAGCGAGTCAACTTGGCGACGGAGAAGATGAAGACCCGATACGACACAAGAGCTACTGAACATCAATTCCACGAAGGAGACAAGGTGTGGTTGTGGAATCCGACTCGACGGAAAGGACTTTGTCCGAAATTACAGTCACCTTGGGATGGCCCGTACACAGTCCTAAACAGGCTGCTGAATGACGTCGTGGTTCGGATTCGTAAGTCTTCGAACTCTAAACCTAAAGTCGTTCATTACGACAGGTTAGCTCATTACTATGGCCATAGTACATAATGTAAATAATTGTAAATAGTATAAGACCATGGTCCTTTTTGTTTTTAAATGTGTATTTGATTTGATTTGTATTTATTTATTTGATTTGCATTTAGTATTTGATTTGTATTTGATAGCATTTGTTTAAGTTATTATTGCATTTATTGTTCATGTTGTTTATATTGTAATGTAATGCTTTAATGCATTTATGCCACAGTTGTAAGTTTGGCTTCCTGTCCAGGGATTGTACTGCCCGGGACGTGCAGTCCTTGGGAAGGGGGCAGTGTTACGAATTTGGTATTTAAAAAGCTAATGTTAGTTCAATTATAAATTAAATGGTTTTATTTCTCGCGCAGTGCAGCGCGTGACGAATATTAAAAGAAAGCTAAGCCGGAAAATTGAAAATACAAGAGCGCGTGCATTAAATAAATAAATATCTCTTTTTGATTTCGAGAAAGTACTGGAAAATTCTAGCGCGTGATTTTAAAATCTTATAAAAGGAGGAAAACATCTCAGTTCGTAGTAGTTGCTTAGTTTGTTGTTGTTTAGAAAACTGCTCTTGTTGATTGTAGCGAATTCGCGGATTAGCGTTCTTTAGCTGTTTTGAATTACGTTCTATTGGACATTTGAGTAGTTAAAAGATAACTACTGTGAGATATTGTAATACTGCATGATAATTTGAGAAATTTAAGCATTTTTGTTGTGATAATAATAAATTTTTGTTCATTTTTCATCGGACTTGTGCATTCATTTCATAACGAACCCGTACGCACGCAACAATATATATGATAATTAAAAAGATTCATTCTCAAATCCTCAAAAATATAATTGTTATTTTGAAAAAAAATTATAAAAGATTGTCATTAAAAAGTTTTTATTCAAAACACATAAAACATGAAAGTTATATGAAAATCATGCTTCTTTCTCATTAAAGAAAACAAAATTTAATATAAAAAATAAGAATTTTAATAATCTATTTTTAGGAGGAAGGTAGGTTTGAATGAGATTTTAAATTCATTACATTTTTCATGCAAAAACATTTCATATTTCGGCACTTTTATTTACACATCCACCTGATGAATCATTGGTCGCTTCCATTGGACTGTGCATTTGCAACTAACCGGAGAGGAATTCCGTGGTCAGGAATATCTTCAAGTCGCAAGCTTTTAGAATGTAAAATGAAATGGTATATCATGTATAGCTGTTTTAAAATTCTTTCAGAAGTTCCAAATCCGGTAGAAACTATCCTCTGCTACCCTCGTTACAACCAATATATTGCAAGAATTTACGAATTATTGTATATTTTCTCTAAGAATTGTACGTATTATCACTTTGCTGATTTCCTTCGGCATTCTATAGAACGTCTAGCCAATGTATTGGAAAAGATTAAATATTTCCCACATTGCCGAATTTGACAAAAACATTGACCTGGGGTTTTATTCCCTAAATAGGATCGTAGGTATATAATATAAAATATAAAGTTACTTAAAGAAGGTAATGAATTTTGTGAAATCAATTAAAATTTTCAAGGAATTAAATTTAAAGAAATACAAAATTGACATTTTTCTATTGCCCCCCCCCGTACACAAAATTATCAAGATGTAGCCTAAGTTTCAGAAATGTTCCGGAAGTATAGTTTTTGTATATTTGTAACTAAAATTAAAGATAAGAGCCATATTTTATATGCTTATGATGCATTTCTGCATCTCGTAATCTGCAATCTAGCTGTAAGCATTTACATTTTAATTTATGATCAACCCCTTACTAACTTTGTTTAAATATATCTCTGTTCATTTTTATGATAAAATGCTGAAAGTTTGTACCTTATCGGTGTATGGGGCATATTTTGCTAATTGCGAATTTTTCTGCACGAGAGCAATATAAATATGGGTTTCATTTAATACACTCTAAAATGTTTTAGAAGTCATGAATTTGGAGTGGAATCGGGGAATTAAATTACTCTCATAATAACTTATGGAAACAGCCTCCCGTATAATGAACAATTTTGAAAACGAAAGAGCTCCCAGCAATAATTGCTTTCTTTACTATGCAAAGCGTCAATGTATTTAAAAGTGTCTTCGCCGACCACTTTAATGTTGGCAAATTTCTGTATAGTACTACTTAAAGATATACATAACTTAAGGAAATTTATGATACATAAAAAAGTAAATTCATAAAATTTTCATTAAATTATGTTATAATGCTTTCGTGCAATTTAACCCTTTTTTACAAATACAAATAAAAGTTTGTTGCATTTGCATTCATATAAATTCAGTTTATACTGATTTTAATGTCCTCAAATAGCTGACTTCTGCAATCTAAGTCCAAAGCCTTGTTTTGGAAAGGCGAAGTGCGAAGAAACTTCAATACCTGGAGTTGTAAAGTGTATTTGTGAAGGACCATATTCTTACTACGATGGGTCGAGCTGCAAAAGTAAGTATGCTTAATCTGTACATCTGAAAATATTTCATGGCATCCCGGAGTTTTATTATATTTAATAAAGCAAGAAATCGATAAATGTCTTAGGTGTTGCTTAATTGATGGATGATCCCAGGTATCGATTCTGTGCTTTCGACCCACGTCAGTTGACGAGCAGGGGAAAACACCTTCAAATTTTTTAATGACATATTTCACAGTACTTCTTTCTTCTTCGTTTAATTGTGCATTCTGCAAAAACTCCGATGTAATTCTCTCTGAAGACGGGGATTCTGGGGGGGGTACAATAAAAGTACAATAAAAATTTGTATTTCCTTAGAAATTCCAATCTGAGTCTGCGAGGATGTGTAATATTTGCCACATAAGCTGTGCGATGGTAGGCTGCGCTTCCAAACTAATATTGACGTTTAATTTCCAGTCGATGTCGATCTTCTCCCCGGACACAGTCTGCAGGGTAACGCAGCCGTCGTCCAGATAAGTTTACCCTCCAGTTGTTGAGCCAAATCTTTTCGGATGATGGTAACGTTGGCTCCTCTATCGATCGTTATACTGCAAGGAACTCCATTGATATGTATCATGATGAAGAGTCCATTGCTGCCGCCACTCATTGCAGAAATCTGAATGGGGATTCTCATCGTCTGGTAACCTTCTCCTCGCGAGATGGCCACTAATTAGTTTCCGTGCTTCCTGCTGGGAGAGGTCTCCGCTTCCGTGCTCTGGGGTATTCGACAGTTTCTTCGTTTGTGGCGTTCAAAACCGCAGTTCCAGCACTTTAGTATCGGTTTCTTGTTACTTATATCTCGTCTCAAGGCACTGAGTTGCCTGGTTAAATCGTCTGGACGAACAGCCATTTGATCAGCTGTATTTTGAACGTGAGCAGCTCTGATTGAGTAGCGGTCTCTACGAGTTGCTTGCTGGGCTGCCTCGAATTTCATGATGTGCACTACAGCGCTCTTTAGTTTTTGATATTCGCCATTCGTAGAGTTTTCTGTATTTCAAGATCCCGAATGCCGTCAATGAAGTACTGTTAGATTATTATTATAACTCATTTGAGTTATAAAATAATGGACAACTATCATAATTCTAAATACCCCTCTACCAATACCGTTAATCGGTATAGCGTCACGTCCACTTTTATCTAGATAACCATACGTAGTCATTGTGCTAATACACTAAGACATTGTGCTAATACATAGAAATTTGGTACTTAATACAATGTTAAAGCTAATTAATGTTAGACACTAGATAATACATTGCTATGTTACAAGGTGTATGCAAAAGCATGGATACGGTAGCATATATACATAACATGTGCACTCATATGTTGGGTACACTATGATCCTTTGACGCATTATCATTAGACACACAAGACATGTACATACTGAAACATTAGGTGCACAATGTTATGCTAGAATAAATAATTAGTAAAGTGAATTAAAAGTTAGACCCTAGATTAGTACTGTGTAGTACAGTGTCTTGCTACTGGATTATTTGTGCTGTTTTCCTCGGTACATTAACCTGTGTACCTTCCTGTATACCTGTGTACCTGTATCCTGTGTAAAGATATTAATACACGTATATTAGCTACACAGTAATCAGTGGGTACCCAGGCGTTAGGTACGTGCTACTTTAACATACATCAACAATAGGTACTTAATACAATACTGAACAGATAATTGGTGTAATTAATTTTAGAGTGGGACCTTAGTTTGATTTTTGCGATACGGTGTCGTGTTTACAGGATAAAATGTGCAGATGCATAGTTACATTATCATGTATACAGACCATAAATTCATATTCATATATACAGACATTTTGGGTGCACAATAGCTATTGGTATACACGCATTAGGTACTTGATTATTCAGTGCGTGATAGATGTATATTATATTAAGCTATACAGTGCCAAGTTATGTGATAATACTACAGATGCATGGATACAATTACATATAAACAAAGACGTACAGAAACAATTACATACATACAAAAGCGTATGTACGCTTATATTTGGGTACATAACATTCATTGGTGACATAAACATTTGGTACTTACTTCATATACTTACATAAACTCTAGATCCATAAAACAATGTTATAACTAGTAATGGGTGCTTATTAACCCTTTCACCGTCCTCTCCTGTCCGCGAAAATTTCCTCCCAGCGGCCGTCTGTTTTTCATAGTGTGTAATGCTGTTTTCTCTGTACCTCATAACTTTCGTAGTAGATGAATGTCAATTAATATTAAGTAAAATTATAAGGAAATAAAGCATAATGGAAAAAGTAATAATATCTCTGCTTATTTCTAACAGCAGAGTACTTTGATAACATCTGATCCAGGCGGTCCACACCTCCCATTTTGTTGTTCTAATCTTTTACAATTATTGGTTTTTTTACAGTTCTTTTCCGTGTTCCAACATCATCATGTAACATTTCATCGAGTTATTATGGACTGTACACATCAAATGTATATCCTTCTTGTCTTTCCAATTCACAACCTCATTTTTTCTCTTTTTCTGCTGAGTAGACGTTGAAGCCATCTCTCACTGTCTTGTATCTTATGTAAAATGACGCGAATATTCACAAAACCCAGGGCAAATTCAATTAGCAATAGAATGCCTGATTAGTGCTACCCTCTAGGAGGTATTACACTGGTTATCATAAATTAAGGAAAAATCACAAAAATAGCGATAACTTCCTCAAAAATAAGCCAAACCGTGTAAAATTTGAATATGTTGCCAAGTAAGAGTAGCTGAATAAAACTGCAATAAGCAAATTAGTGGCGCTGCAGTCGGAATACGTCATCTGCGAGGAGCATAAAATCCATGTTTGAGACCAAGCCCACATATTTCACTGTGATAGTGACATCAGAAATATGAGATAGCCAATTTGTAACAATGACTTCCAGCCATCATTTGCTTGCAAAACTACGATGGAGAGCCATTGGGAGACTAGAGGCATGACAAAGTCAAACAGAAGTGGCCAGATGGCCTTCTGTGATTCATAGACTTTGGAGGCAATTTCAAACCACAGATTCGGCATCTAGGAGGTTCAGCCAAGGACGGCCAACTGCTAAGACGAGCGCCGATGACCGATATTTGACATTATGTGCACGCATGAATAGAACCGCTACTCCGACTCTTCTTAGATCCTCCCTTGCTGCAGCCACCGGAAGGTTCGTGTCAACGTGAATTGCGCGTAGAAGGCTTCATGAAGGTAGTCTGCATGCGAGACGAGCAGCCATTTGCGTGCCGCTCACGTCATGCCATAGGAGGGACCGTTTGCAGTAGGCACGACAGCATGTCCACTGGACGCCTTGATCAGTGGAGGGTTGATTCTCTTTACGGATGAAAATTAAAATATAGGCATTTATTAAATTAAATTATAATTCATCAGGTTTAGTCTAGAAAGCGATAGTAGGCGTTATTTGATATGTAGAAAACCTGGAACCCGTTATCATCTATCAAACATCCGTGAAAGAGATGAATACGGAAGAGGCAGTGTCTGTGTTTGGGGGGGGGCATCTCTTTGGGTGGACGCACAGACCTCCATGTCTTTCCAACGGAAATCGCGAATGCTCCGGCTTATAGAGATGACATCCTTGATGCTTATGTGCGCCCATGTGCCGGGGCAATAGGTGATGCTTTCCTGTTACAGGACGATAACGCAAGACCATACAGGGCTCGCACCGTAAATGATTATCTTCAACAGGAAACAATTATGCGCATGGAGTGGCCAGCTCGATCCCCGGACTTGAACCCAATCGAGCACGTTTGGGATGTTTTAGACAGATGTCTAACTGCTCTCAATCCGCCCCCTCAGACCCTTGCCGCGCTTGCAACTGCTTTGCAAGAGCAATGGCTCTCGCTTCCTATGGAACTGACAGACCGCATAATTGAAAGCATCACGCATCGCTGTATGTGTTGTTTACCTTCTAGAGGCGACCATATTCCATATTGAAGGTACTTTTCCTATAGCAAACTGACACATTCGATTTGTTCATTTGTTCACATGTGCTAATTTCTATGCTACCATAATTGTCTGATAATTTATTTTTATGTTATTTGATACCTTACTATGTGTTGTATATTGTGGGTAAGTTTCATAAAATTCTACATGTAACTTTTTTAGTAATCGTGATTTTTGTGATTTTTCCTTAATTTATGATAACCAGTGTAGAACAAGCAAAAATAAAAACTCAAACAAGTAAACATTTAGAAAGCGTTTTAGACGTTTAAAAGTTTTAAAATGTAGAAGAACGCTTGAGACGCGTTACCGCCGCCCTATGGAAGTTTCACTTGAACGCGCTAGACGCGTTACGGATGACGAAGAGATAAATTTCCTTATAGGACACTAGGTTGATATTTTGCCTTACTGCGTCGCGTTGCATAGAAATCATTTATTCACAGAAGGATTGGAAAATACGACATATTTCAAAGATTTTATAGTTTCCCCTTTTCTTTCTTTTGACCTTAATTTGCTCGAAATACTGTCCAGTCTCCGATATTATATGTAATTTTTTAAAGCTCTTAACATGTTATATGAACGGTGTTATTATTTTCACTTCAGCTGCAAGAGAATGTATTGTAAACATCATTCACAATTTATCGAATAAAAAAAATGTAACGCCTTGAGTAATTATATCTTTTTTTCTCTCTCGCACATAATAATTAACTGTTTTAAGTGCTCTCATTTCTTATCTATCATTTTTAATTTTTCAAAAAGTAGATTAATAAACTATGACTTTTACATTTAAATTTAAATTTCTTTTGTAGATACAAGTTGCTTTCTTCTTGGTGATCGCAAAAGTTGTAAAGATGATTGCCCCTCTAACATGCAGAAGAAAAAAGGAAGTGAAGATTGTGGTAAGAGCAACTTTAAAATACGGAATTCATATTTTTTGAGGGGTACAGCTACATTAAAAATGCTTTCAAAAGCAAATTAATAATTTAAAAATATATTAAAAATCGCATTAAAGAGTTCCCTTTTCAACAATAAGAGAAACTCTCTATTTATATTTCTTAAAAGCCAAACAATTAAACCTACTTTAATATTCTATGCAATAATGACTTGGAGAAGTAATGAAATACACATACACAAAAGAAAAACCAATCAAGATGTTTGCGTATTTTCAGAATTACAATATAAGATATTTCTCCCACCTTCTTGGCGAGCCTTCGTGGTGTAGTGGTCAGCACACTGAGCTCGTATTTCAGAGGTCTGTGGTTCGATTCCCGGCAAAGGCGATTGCTCATTTTTCATCTTGCTGCTTCAACCTAATGTTTCTACAACAATATCAACCCAATGTTTCAACCTAATGTTTCTACAACAATATCAACCCAATGTTTCAACCTAATGTTTCAACAACAATATAACTCGAATTTTTTCAAAATTATTTCATTTGCAATATAATGCAATTTTATGAACAGCAATAATTTCGCAATGCTTTAATTCAGGAATTTTTAGACGGTTAGAAAAAATACAAAGATATGTAACAATTTGTCATTTTTAGTGTCAATAAAAAAGAATAACACGTTTTTAAAAACCATTCTGCATAATTATTGTGTTTTGTTTATAATTAATCCGTAAACCTTGCTTTTTAAGTATCATGAGAATCTTAAATAAAAGCAGTATATATTTATTGTTGTTGTTTATTATACAAACAGATGTTTAAAACATGTACTGATTATATAAGAGCTTTTAGAGGCTATGTGTGGGAAATATGAAATATTTAAAAGAACAGGCTAATCAACATATTCTCCGTAAAAACTATTTATGAAATATGAGAAGGCATAAAATAATAACAGTATCTTGTTGAAAAATAATTATTAAATGTAAAAAAGAATACGAATATTTTAGAACAAATGTTAAAACATATATGGTATTAATATCAGGTTTTATGGATTAGAATTATATCTTTATTATAAAAATAATTTTAAACAGACCATTTTGCTAATTTTTAATCCTTTTAATTCAAAAATTGGAAATCTATCATAGCTGCAAATTTTTAGAAATTTTAATTGCGAACCTGTTGTTGTTATTTTTGTTCTTACATCCGATGTACATTGAAAGTGAATTGCAGATTAACCAAAGAAAAGTTTGATAAAATTAGGGTTCTTTGATAAATCAGTTAAAGTCTAGCTACGTTGAGAAAGTTCTTACCTTCTTTTAACTTTTCCAGGGTCCAAGAAAATTTGCAGTTTTATTAAATATGTTTTTCTTTGTATGTAACTGATTCGAAATACGCAAATTTGTCTTTGAATTCGCGTATTTCTTGGCAAATTTTGAATAAAATCTCTAATTTTTTAAAGGTACGCCTAGAGATACATCTATTTTTTAAGATGATGGTAAGAATTTTATAGGTTTTTATTCAAACATGTTTTGGTAATTTTATAAAAAACACAAATATAAAAAAATAAATCAGAAAATACCTGCGAATGTTACCTAGATTGATCTTAAATTTCGATTTGTGAAAGAACGAATCAAGTAAGTTTAATAAAAAAATCTGATGTGTACACCACATGACTTCCTTGTACGGAATATTAAATTATACGCATTTTTCTTGCATTTCATTTAAACTTATTGGATTGAATTAAATCTACTTCGCCGACAGTGCATAAACCACAATAGATTAAATGCATTCTTTAAAATTCATTCTAGTATTTGTTTACCATAGCGACACTCTGGCACTAGATTCACTTAAGAGTATTAATAATTATATATCAGTTAACTTATATAATAATTATATAACGGAACTAAGTTAACTGTTATATAATCCATAATTATATAACAGTTATATAATCCAATAATTATATAACAGTTAGCTTATATATTTCGTTCATATTATAACTCATAATGCATAAAATTTATATCATTTAAAGAATAGAATTATCTAATCATCGCCACATGTTCTGTTCAAATACTATAATAAAGCTAGAATAATGTATAAAAGAAATTAAGCAAACAAAACAAAAAAGAAACAGTTTTTCACAGACTATTGAGTATTTCTCATTTAATTTATTCAGTTCTCACTTCCCGAGAAGGTAAAAATACATAAAAACTTAAAATATCTATATTATAAATTACGAAGTAAATATTAAACGCTTATTTCCTCGAAAAAATTCCAGAAAGAATTAAGCATGATTTAATTAGCAATATTAAATGAATGCGTTATCTTTGTTGTTGCGAAGCTAAGTTTCTCTAGATTGGCAACAAACCTAGTAGTCTGCTGTTTCAAATGTAAACATCAATGGCCGCCATTAAAAAAAGGCTTAGCGGCACATAGACAACATTAAAATTGTTAATAATTCTAAAAATATTGCATACAGATTTACTAAAGACATAAAACCTTAACCGGAAGATAAAAACAAATAATACAATCATTTTTAAAGCGAAAAAATGTACAATTTACAACCATATAAGAGTAAAGAAACTGAGATCACTGAAGCCGGGTAACAGAGTGTATATATAATATAAATATATTTATATACGTTTGGTGCGGCCGATTGCAACCAAAATACGAAGTTCACATCTACATGTTATAGCAGTCCTATATACAAAATTTCAACGTTCTGAGGCTACTCGTTTTTGAGTTATGCGAGATACGTACGTACGTATGCACGTACGTACATACGTTCGTACAGACGCCACGAAAATTTCTCTTCAGAACTAATTTTAAAGCAGTTTTATAATTTTTTTGAAGGAAAAGAGTATTTTATTCTGTCCTTACGTACAGATGTCACGCAGAAACATCGTTAAATTGCATTCGATAGGGGTTAAAATGGATATTTTCGTTGAAAATGCTGCTGAAACTTTTGCGATTACAATACTTCCTTTACTCGACAAGGAAGTAAAAAGATATTAATAAAATATTATAATGTTTTGCTATTTAATAAATAACTATATTTATTATTGAAATGGCAACAACATATTTGTAGGCTGTAACCGTTGCTCAGCAACGTAAGAAATTGTTTAAAATAGAATTCTGAAGTTTTACCAGCTAAGAGATGCATGAAAAATTTGTAACTAAAAGTCTGTATTCAAATTATCTATCTCCGTTAACTCAAAATAAAATTTATGTTTTACTAAGAAGATTATCTGTTATTTTGTCAATTACTACAATATACATTACAGTCTTATAAAATTATAGGACTGTAACGTATTTTGCAGTATAATCAAATCACACTACGTTAGTTTGACGTTACTACTTATTGCTTGGCAACAAATTCAAAAACTCAGCTAGCAGTTCTTTTTTGGTTTTTATAAATGCCGGGATGGCTTACACATATCAATTATTAACATAAAAATTCAATACAAATAACAGTAAAGGCTAAATAATAATTTTAAATACTTTTTTACCACAAATATCAATTATAATTTACGCTAAAAATTTTAGTATCAGTTATTTTACACAAAAACTTACACTATTTAAATATAATTCTGAAATGAAATGCTTAAATTCAATAAAAAAAATTTATGAAACCAAAAGTTAATCTTATATTCGGAGATCAGCAATATCCTTTTCCGACAGTTCTTTTCTCGAACGCAAGTTTTGGAAACCTTTAAAGGATTTGCGTCAAAATCTGCCTTTAAAATGACAGACTTCTGACATCCATTTCACCTAGAAATAAACAAACTCGGCAATTGTTACTAGCAAACTTGTTCTAAAAAATTGAGAAGCTTTCTGCGATTAGACCAACACCATCGAAATTGATAATTGCACTCCTAAATTTCTAGGATCTCGGTGAACCTCCAATTTTATAAGACTATACTGTATTTTGCAGTAATTAAAAAAATAACAGATATCTTCTTATAAAAACATAAATTTTATTTTTAGTTTACGGAGATAGATAATTTGAATACAGACTTTTAGTTATAAATTTTTCATGCATCTCCTGGTTTGTAAAACTTCAGAATTCTATGTTAAACAATTTATTACGTTGCTGAGCAACGGTTACGTCATACAAATATGGCGTTGCCACTTCAATAATAAATATAGTTATTTATTAAATAGCAAAATATTACAATATGTACCAAATTCGATTAATATTGAGGTATTAAAATTTTGAAAGCTAATTTGTTAACTACTAGTGCGAATTTTACAAAACTTGGCACTTGGGCACAATTTGAATCGAAATATGGAAGATAAAAGAGGTATGCCATCTCCGAAAACGTTCGCTTTTTATCAGAATACCCATGTTAGAACAACGCTGTATATAAATCTAATAGTATATTTTGTTTCCCAGCTGATTGTTTAAAATTTATGGGAATGCCTGTAAACGAAATTTTACAAATTGATTTATTTATTTAGTAACTTGCCTGATATTTTGTAACAACATAACTTTAAGAGGGAAAAACAGAATTTGTCTCAAAAGGTTGTGAACATTGTTGCTAAGATTTATAACAAGAGGAGATAGATAGGAAGATGCATCTATATCAATGGATTGCTTAAACTACTTCCTACATCAAATGATTACTTTGAAATTCTTAAATTTATTTTGTATTTTATATTATTGTGATAGTTTTATAGATTTGTAACTAATATAAATTTTGTTTTTCATGAGAAAGTACATAACGTGATCTTTTTATGTATAAATTAACTCTTTTTTTTTTTTTTTTTTTTTTTTTTTTTTTTTACAGAAGCGAAAGAGGAAAAAAATCGTTGCAGCAACGAGTGTGGACTTGGATGGTGCATAAAAAATGGAGATAAACAAGGGTGCAGCTGCAATACTACATTTAGCGTGTATAATACAGGTAAATATAAAAAGCATTTGATTATTGAAATATATTCTCTGATTCTTTTTCATAACTACCATCTTTTTCCCCATGTGTAACGTGTATACGAGCCAGTTTCCCTTAGAAAGTCCTCCACGAAGGCATCCCTCCTCTTAGGCAGATAGCCCTCGAGGCTTTGCCATAATCACACACACACACACACATAACTACCATCTTAATTACTTCATTAACACATTGGAATTTACTTCCAGTTTCTTAAATTTCGCATTTTTTTCAATTTTTAATGAAAATTAAAAATAATTAGAAAGAGAAAAGGAAACAACAATTTTAAAATTTTAAATTACCGTCCAATATTTAGAAATACCTTTGACATTAAAAAAACTGAATTGTAAAGCTTTATAAAAACTTCTAAAAAAATGCTATAACAATTACCTTACATATGGCATTATAAGTATCTTTTCTTAAAAAAAGCTTCACATGTTGATAGCAGTTATTAATTCGTTTGCGATAAATTAAATATAATATGTATTACATCAATTTAATACATTATTAAAAGATTAAAAATTTAAATTATTAACAACTGCGTTTATTATTTTGAAATTGCTCAATTTGTTAATCAATAGCAGATTGTAGAAAGGGAAAAGAAAAGAACAATTTGAAAACTATAATTTATAGTCCAATATTTATAAAAACGATTGGTGACATTACAAAAAATTAAAATTGCAAAGCATTACAAAACTTTAAAAAAGTATGATACATGGCATATGGCATTGTAAGAAATTGTAAGAATCTTTTTTTTTTTTTTAAAAAAAAAGCTTCAAACTCTTAATATCTGTTCTTAATTCGTTTGCGTAAAAGAGTAAAGATTTAAATTATTAACAACTGAGTTTATTACTTTTAAACTGCTCAATTTGTTAATGAGCCACAGATTGTAGAAAAAGAAAAGAAAAGAACCACTTGAAAATTTAAAACTTCAGTCCATTATTGAAAAAAAAATTCGTTGACGTTAAAAAAATTGAATTGTAAATCATTAAAAATCTGTAAAAAAAAAAAAAAAAAAAAGAAGAAGCTTTAACGGCTACGTGACATATGACATTGTAAGTATCTTTTTTTTAAAAAAAAAAGCTTTAAATATTGATAGAAAATATTAATTCGTTTGCGATAAATTAAATATGTGTTACATCAATTTAATACATTATTAAATGAGTAAAGTAAAGATTTAAATTGTTTACGCGTTCATTGTTTTGAAACTGCTCAATTTGTTAATCAGTCACAAATTGTAAAAGGGGAAAAGAAAAGAACAATTTGAAAACTTTACATTACAGTCTAATATTTATAAGAAAAAGTTGTTCACATTAAAAAAGTTAAAATTGCAAAGCATTATGAAACTTTTAAAAAAAGATGCTCTATCAGCTACGTGACATATGGCATTATAGGTATAAAAAAAGCTTTAAATGTTGATAGCAGTTTGGGATAAATTAAATATAATATGTATTATATCAATTTAATATATTGTTAAATGACTAAAGTAAAGATTGAATTACTGATAACTGCGTTTATTACTTTTTAATTGCTCAATTTGTTAAATCAATCGCAGACTGATTGGATTTGAAAGATGAATTAAAGTTATTTCCTTTCACGCAGTGATAAAGCATTGCTTTTAAATCCATCAGTTTGTTAACTCCTAACAAACTAATTAGGGTTTAAAAATTAATTAAAGGTCTTATGCTTTGCCAAATAGCAATTACCTGATGATTCGCTATGCGCGAAGATGAAGATTTCATATTTTGCGCAGAGGCAAGAATTGCCAAGGATTGCAATTATATTCTTTCTGTTTTCCTCATTCTCCAATTTTGGCAGGAAAGGATTTTGTACTTTTAGAGAAAAGGCCGTATCAATTATTAAAATTTTATACTATTACTAAACGTTAATAAAAACTAAACGTTACTAAAACGTTAAATAAATGCCAAAACAGTTATCTAACATATTTAGCTTTCCCATCATACATTGATTTTTATATAATGGAGTTTACGTGTTTTTATGTATTTTTAATTATAAACACAAGAGTTAATTATAATCGCTGAAAGAAAACAAAAAATAAATTTCAGTCCATCTTATAATTTCTGCTTATGTATTTGCATAATAATAATAATTTGCAATAATGTATTACTCATGACATTGTATTCCTTTATACATTATAGGGTCTTGATTATTTAATTATAAAAATGGAAGAATCTACTAAGTTCACAAATACATATAGCGAAAATGAATTTTACATGAAATGTTTTCTATGCTTCAACAGTTTTCTCTGAAAAGTCGAATGTGTGTGTATGTGATATGAATGCAAAGATCATAGTTTTCAGATAGAAAAACAAATCACTTCACTTCGGTTTCACGAATTAAAAAAAAAATTACCTTTCTTTGAAATTTAAATAAGTAAAAAAAAATCTGAAAGGTTCCAGATTTGAAATTACACACAAAAGGGCCTTTTTTTAACATTTGGAGTGTTATTAAATGTCATTTTCTTTGCACTTAAACCATAAAATTCAGTTAAAGAGCAATATTTGCAAAATAATTTTAAAATGAGTATATCTTTAGAATTTCCGATATACAGTCTCGCGAGCTGGAGATAAAAGTGTTTTTTCTGTACAAAGTTGCCATTGCTCGCTTTGAAATCCTCGAGTTTGTTAATCAAAAATTCGTTAAGGTTCACAAAATATGAAATCGATAATAAAACAAATTCTAAATTTCAAATTTGGGCTTCCAGATGCCCATATTCGCAGGAGGATTACGTTATTCCAAATTAGATGGCTCTAAATACCTTTGTTTTATCACAATGCGAGAAATGTGCATAGATTTATGCAGATTCTTCATTATTCAAATTTCTTTAAGGTGGCAACAATTTGAAAAGTGAAACAACGCTTGCAGTGAATCAAGGCAAAATGGCAAAACGAAATTAATAGTCCTTCTTGGCAAATTACCCCTTTGGACTAATTCAACTCTAAATTGCGTGAAAGAAGTAGTGTTATGACAGCTGAACTCAATTTAATTACAATAAGCTTACACATTATTCAGCTGCTACTTCCTTTTTATTTTTAATTCAATGTCATTCAGTCCATTCTTAGTCTACCGTCATCATAGTCGACCTCAGATTCAATATCAGTTTCATTTGAGCCATTTTAATGGTTTGCTAACACATAATCTTCCGAGTTTCGTAGGACATTAATGATGCAGGATTTTTTTAAATGATTGCTGAGTTATTCTTACAAGAACTGATCTTTTATCCAATTTACGAATGTAATGATGCCAACAATTATTAACCTAAAACAGGCTTTAGTACTGAACGGCATATTAGTTTCGAAACGGCATTTTGCGTTGAATCACTATAAAAGGCGTATCACATTTCAGATTGTTTCCATCAAATATTATCGCCCTGTATTTTATTTAAAGAAATTAAATAATGAAGATTGTGCATAAATCTACGTACGTTTCTCGCACTGTGATAAAACAACGGTACCTAGAGCTATCGAATTTTGAACGACGTGATCCTCGACCTGAATATAGACAACTGAAAGCTCAGTTTTGATTTTCGGATTTATTTTATTGACTACAACCTATTTTGTAAAAGTTTAACGAATTTTTGATTAACAGAATGAATGATTTCAAAGCCAGCAGTGGCAACACAGTACAGAATGAAACATTTTTCTCTCCAGAGCGCGAGAATGTCTATCAGAAATTCTAAGGATACGCTGTTTTTAAATATTTTGTGATTTTACGGTTAAATTGAATTTTATGTGACATAAGCACAAAGAACGGGATACTTGATGAATAAAGTCAACACACAAAACGTTAATAATGAAAAGACAAAAAAGTTTGGAAAGCCAACTTAACAAGAAAACCGAACATTGATATGATGGAATGAAAAAGATAAAAAAATAGAAAATGCATGCCAACATTTAACGCTACCAAATGCTAAACTTATGCTTTTGTACTGCTTGTAACATTTTTGTAATTTTGCTGTTAAATTGCAAGTGGCATAAGGGCGAAGAATATTATGCTTAACATTAAAGCTAAAAAGACAGAAAAATGGGGTGTTAGTAGGAACGAATGTAACAGCAGACTTGTAGACTGCGAGCTCAGCGAAAGCGTAAAAAAAGAACCTTAACGAACCCTTTTGGACGACCGCTAAAAATCTGAAACCTTCCAGGTTTCTATTAGTTTATTTATATATTTTCTGAATATGCTAAAATAAAATTGTCTGTTGCGCTTAGGCAAGATTCATAATCTTTTCTCAAATGGTTTTTAAATAGTTTTACTACTGAAAAGCTGAATGGCTGTAATTGGCTAATTAGACCACCACAAATCAAAATCATTGTTACTATCCGTTAGTACAATTTTATTCTTGATCTTTTCAAAAAATATCCGTAAATTGCCTTAAGTACAAGAAAACTACGAGGAGTTTCATGCCGTCTAATTCAGGCTTCCAAAAGCTCTGCCATCATCTATCCATTTTTTTTTTGTTCCACTCACCCGCAATAAGAGTTTTGGGAAGAAATTTTACTCTTTGATGCGGTGTTTTGATTTATAGTTAAATATATTGTTAACTTTGTTGCTTACTTCTTTGTTTTTGATTTAGATTGATAGTTGGGGATTCGTTATTTTGATTTAGAGTTAAATAGAGTGATAACTTTGTTACAGTGATGCAGAACGTAACAGTTATGTGTTGCTTCATGCAAAAACCACAAACAGTGCGGCTGTACCGGATGGCAGAGTTTAAGGGCGGTACAATATTTAGAATTTAGAAAGATACAAGGCGGTAAAATTTACGAGATGCATAGATTGCACTAGGGGACAACAGTGGTACAGTGTTGTCCCCTAGTACTAGGGGACAGTGATACAGTGGTTAAGACCGCTGAATACTGGTAGTTTGCCTAAGATCTGAATCAAGGCAAACAAGTCATTTGTATGTGTGTTTTTCGTAGTTTTCACCACGTGTAATATGACTACAAGCCAAGTTTCGTTAGAAACGCCCTCCAGAAGTCATCCTTATCAGAATCCTTACTAGAAGCCATCCTTACCTGCCCAAATAACAGCCCTCGTGTACTTCGTTTTCTTCCAATAACAAACTTGGTACCAGGTGACAAATACACCGCCCCTACTTATAATCTTGATTTTTTAACATTTTTAATACTATTATTACTATTATCACCACCTGGTGGGCGTTTATAATACTAGCAATGTGATTTCGGGACATGTCAAATGGATTCTGCTTCATCAACACTTCTGATCTGATTAAAATCATACTTTCTTTTTTTTCCTTAATTCGATCACATATTGCTTAAATTTTATCAGTTTTCGCTTTGTTAAAGTGGGCAGGAATTTCTTGAAATGCAGAAGTTCTTCATTATTATGAGAATCCTTTACAACGCATGAATCCGTGTTACTAGCTGCAAGTACCTTTAAAATGTGTTTCTTCAATTTCAAAAAACATGAATATTTTACATTCTAGTTTATTACATGCTAGTTTACTAATGCTAATCCTTCTACGTATTTCTGAGTTAGTCGTAATGCTGCTGCATATATTCTCTTTAAGTCTTTCAAAGAACTTATTTATTACCACTCACGAAAGGGAAATTATTATTCTCGCAGTGACAAACTAAGTAAGATAAAGAAACTCACTGATATTAAATGATATGTGACTGAAAGGATGATTGATATGTGTCGAGTCACATATCAATCATCCTTTCAGTCACATATCAATCATCATTTAATTACGTCATTTTTGCACTTTTCTGCCCAAATAAAAATTTTTCACTTAAGTTCGATATCGTTACCTCTATGACATTTTGACGTAAAAAAGTGGATACGATGAATAATGTACCTTGGAAAGATATAAACATAAATTTCTATTTTTTAATATGGCCCACCAGCGGCCGAGCGGTAAAGTCGCTGAACACTGGTAGTTCGGTCCGAGGTTCGAATCCCGCAAACGGGCTGGCTGCATGGTCGTTTTCGTGGTTTTTCCCATGTGCAACGTGTATACGAGCCAGTTTCCCTTAGAAAGTCCTCCACGAAGGTATCCCTCCCCTTAGGCAGATAGCCCTCGTGTGCTTTGCCATAATTAAATACACCAACACACACCAATTCTATTTTCAATGAATATCCATTATTGTAATAAAATAGCCATGACATTTCATTTAAAAAGTATGGGGAAAACACTCGTCACTATTCTAAACTATCTGCTTAAAAACGAAGCGTTCGGTACCACGGGCAAACCACGAAGAAAATTCTCCAAACTGGGTAAAAAGTCAACGATGTAATACTTTCGTTTCTTTTTTGGAGTGGTTTGTAGAGACTTTTATTTATTTATTTTATTTTATTTATTTTCTTTCTTTCTTTATTTTTGAAATAAAAAAACACGTGAATAATCAATTATGCTTTTTCGCGACTCGATCTTCAAATCTTCTTATTTCTTCAGGTCTTCTAGACATGCGAAGCACTCGCACCACGAAGGCACTTAACAATCATACAAGTTAATTTATGTTATAAAACAGATCAGAAGTTTTAATTTTATGTAGTTTTGTTTTTCAGTTTAAGAAAATAAAAAATTATTTGAAAAAATATTTGTTTATTACAGCTTCTTTCACTGCAAATTTTATTTCCTTAACTTTTTAAGTTAAAATGTTTATTTTCTCTTTACAGAAAAGGGTAAATGTGTCCTCAAAAAGACCTTGTGCGCTAGCAGGTTACTTACAGATGACTTGATGAAATGTAAATGCACTGGCATTTATAAGTATGCATCAAATGGCATTACATGTGAAAGTAAGTATGCTTACATCCCACATTGTTATTTCATCTCCACTCATATTAATTGAATACCTAACATCGACTTTCTCATGTCTGTTGCACTTTCCATAATATTTGCATATCATAAAGCAGGGATATCTTACCCATGGGCCATTTGGGCTCTCAAGGACTGTTCAGACTGACGTTTATCTGAGTTAAAGGAGACGACTGTCTTAGCCTACCCATCTCCAATAATTAGCATAATTAAGCTGTAATATCGAACCACTGAAAAACATTAGAATGTCATTTAAAAACAAACCATGTTTTTGTGGTAAAATTCCTAAGTTAGAATAATGTTATATATAAGTATTCAATATATAAATCTGTGTTATATAAGTCTACATCCTAGGTCACGTATTCGAGATGTAAAAAATGCAAGCTAAAACTTGTCACTTAGTAAACAAGGAATATACGACCTATCGTTTTTTTCTTTTTGGAAGGGGGAAGGGATTATTCAACATTTATCATTTAATCATCAGGTTTGTATACATAAATCTGTAGTGCAAACCAATCATCCCATTGTAAAGGTGTCAAAGCAAGTGAAAAAGTGCTCTGCAAAGAGTTATTGTGTTATTTAATATGTTAATTTTTTTCCTGAAATTTTTAAAGTTCACATAAATACATAAAATTTATTAATTATGTAGTAAATATTCTATAAGTGACAAGATTTTAAATATTTTATGATATGAGTGTGTAACATTGTCATAAAGTTTTAGATTTTAGATGATTATTAAACACCACTTTGTAAAGAATAAATTCTTTTAGTACATTAAAATATATACGTAGTGTTAGAATGACATTAATCGGAGCAATGAACAGAGCGAACTTTCAAAAGAGAAGGGAAGGGTTCTTTTTTTGCAGTTCCCCAGAGATGTGATTTTTATTGCACATGCGCTATAAGAAGACATCAATGTTGAAGAAATGTGGGGGGGGGGTAAAATCCCACACCATGTTTTTCCTCTTTTATGTATTTTTAGCGCAATTTTTTTTCAGGAAGGTGATGATGTGGAACCCCCCCCACACACACACACATGCACAAAGTAAGCTAATAACTGCAAATATAAGAACTGCACTAGTTCACCAAAAACAAATATGTCCGTTAAAATTAATGTGTTTTAAAGCATTTATATATATATTAAATCAAATCACAAAATAAAATGCAAAATACGTTGGCCCATTTTTTGTATAATTTTATATCATCAATTACAGAAATGAAGCAATCACGTTTACTGTATTTTAAGCAAAACGTTCTGAAATATTACACTTCATTTGATTCCATATATTTACGCATTCGTATTCAGAAGACAGAACTAAACAGCTCTACTTTAGTACACTTCTTTAAAGAGAACATTTGGATTTGCTTCCTTCAGTCTTTAGGAACCCACCAAAGGACGAATGGTAAGATCGCTAAACTCTAGTAGTTAGACTTGGGTTCAGTTCCAGCAAATGAGCTAATTGATTGGAAGTTTTCATGGTTTTCTTTGTGTATAACGTGAATACAAGCAATTTCCTTTAAAAAGTCCTCCAACGGTGCATGCTAGCCCTTAACCATGTAACCTTTGTTTGCTTTGCTGTAATCCAATTAACCAAAGTAAGGCATCCTTCATCTATTGAGTTTACAATCAATAACAAATGTTAATTTTAGCTGATTAATCTTTCCAGAGGTGATGCTTTCAACTGGTTAAATAATTTGTGAATTAAATGAAAATTGTTAGTCCAAAGGGACTTTCCCTGAAGGACTATTGTTTACGTTTTTCAATTTTGCGTTGATTGATTAAATTTGCATTTAACTTTTCAAATTGTTGCCACCAAATGTTAGAATCCTGCATTATATTTGAAGAAATTAAATAAAGAAAAATCTGCATGAATGTATGCATATTTCTCGCATTGTGATAAAACAACGGTACCTAGAGCCATCGAATTTTGAATAACGTAATCCTCCTACGAATATGGGAATGTGGAAGCCCAAATTTGAAATTTGGAATTTGTTTTATGATCGATTTCATATTTTGTAAAACTTTAACGAATTTTGATTAACAAACTCAAGGATTTCAAAGCGAGCGATGGCAACGTTGTAGAGAAGAAACATTTTTATCTCCAGCGCGTGAGTCTCTGTATCGGAAATTCTAAAGATACGCTCATTTTAAAACTATTTTGCGATATTGCTGTTAAACTGAATTTTATGGTTTAAGTGCGAAGAACGTGATATTTAATAAATAAATGTAACACACAAAATGTTATAAAAACGCTCCTTTGCACGTAATTTAAAATCTGAAACCTTTCCGATTTTTAATTTTTGTTATTATTACTATTATTATTTTATCTCAAAATCACTGAAATTCAGAACCTGGTGTACTTATTTGCAGTAATAATTTATTTTGTTTTTGGTTAATTTCATTAATAGAAAGATCATGTGCTGACGACGATGCACAAAAGGACTGTAAAGAAAAAAGTGCCGGTAAATGTGAGGACAAGTGGACAGATCAGCAGATACCCTATAAATGCAGATGTACTGGTGACTATAAGGAAGATTCGCATAATAACGATATATGCACAGGTAACGAAATTTTTCAATTTATATAGCATCTATGGAAACCAAATTCCGAAATAAAAATGTAAATATGTATTAGATTTTACTATACATTTCTATATTATACATACTCTTAAACAAATTACTGTTTGCACAAAACATATTTTTAACCAGTGTCTGAAGGCATAATTTGGTGCTATAATAACACGCGGTCACATATTAAAACAAATTTCTACTTTATAAGATTAAATAGTATTTCCATTCTTTATTTAGGAACAAAATGTCATTTAATAGAACAATCGTCAGATCGCAGAAAATTCTTACACCAAACATTTCGTTTTACTACAGTCATGTGGCGTCTACTGCATACTTTTTACCACTATAAAAATGTTTATATGACTTCCTTTTTAAACTATACAAAATTTTTGCTGCCTTCCATTTAAAGTTATTTCCTCAAATTTAATTGGAAATATATTTCTCATCCAATTAATTCAGGTCTCACTTCGCGGCAAGGCAAAAATACATAAAAACCCAAACTGTCTTCATTAAGAATTGAAAAATATGAAAAAACATAAAACGCGAATGCAGCTAAAACAATTAAAAAACAATTTTTACAATTAAAAATAGCGTTTCTACGCAAAAACAAGCAATTCGGCAGCGGGCAAGAAGACAGATTTTTCAGTGCAGAAAAATCTATCTTCTAGAAGTTTGCTTTTTGTCCCACCGAGAAAAAAGATAATGAAGGTGCAGAATCTGAATTCACTATTCTTCTAAGTGTAAACAAATATGGTTGCTCCATTAGACTTAGTCGCTCTTAAACAAATTTTAAATTATTAATAATTCTACAACTGTTGCATGCAGATTAACTAAAGGCATAAAATCCTTAACCGGAACAGGTGACAGGTGACGGAGGACGGGGACGCCTGGCGTCTAACAGAGGTAAACAGGCATATGTCCCACACCCTCCCCTATCCAGACGCAACAACTCCCTGTGGCCCCATAAGGGCGCACCGGGAGTTTATCGATACTTCAACATAAATTACTACTTACTCATAAATTACTGCCTACTGATAACATATAAATTCTGCTTTTTCGTAAATTATCGCATACACATAAGTTACTGCTTGTGCTTGTACCTGAATAACTGCTTACACATAAATTACTGCTTACACATGAAATACTGCTTACACATGAAATACTGCTTACATTAATATGACTACATTAATATGGTGCATTAATATGATGCTCAGTTACATATACATGCTACATTACACGTTAATTTGATACATAATTACACATTATTATGATACAAATACTGAAAAATACTGCTTACACATTAATATGATACACAGTTGCATAATACATTGTACATATGGCAACATTCAGATCGCAGTTCACTCATATTGGGTTATTCAGTGCGGAGTATGAAACAAAATGCTGTTTCAGTTAAAGAATATACTACATAGTTGCAATGCACCGTTGCGTTACACACACATATACTGTTGCACTATACATAACTGCTACTTTACAGATAAGTTACTGCCTGCTGATGACACATAAATTATTACTTATATAAGTTACTGCTTGCACTTAAAATTCTGATTACACATTAATATGATACATTATTACATATCATTGTACATATGGCAACATTCGAACCTTAACCGGAACATAAGAACAACATAATTCGATCATTTTTAATGCAAAAAATGCACAATTTACCAACATATAAGAATAAAAAACACTGAGTTCTACGGGCCGAGTAACAGATCGGGTGTATATATATACTTTTGGTTCGGCCAGTTATAACCAGTTAAAGAAACCACATGTCCTATATACAAATTTGAATGTTCTGAGGTTACGCGTTTTTGAGTTATACGAGATGCACACATACGTACGTACAGACGTCACGAAAAAATCTCTTATGAATCCATTTTACAATTCGCTTTGGGACAAAGATTCTTTATTCTACCTCACGTACAGATTTCACTCAAAAACGTTTTTAAATTGTACTCGATAGAGATCAAAATGCATATTTTCGTTGAAATATAATACTCGAAATTTTTCGCGATTGCAATTCAGAGTTTACTTCGTACAAGGAAGTAAAAATAGAATGACCATACATTCTATTTTGTATGGAATAGTGTCGTATTTTCGAGTTGTTCTGTCATTAAAAAAAAATGACAGATTTGTTCAATTTTTAGTAAAGCCATAAACATACTTGATAAATTATCAGTTAAATTACTGTTCATAGTCTTCAGCCATATATAAAACGTCTAAGATGGACTCTGTTCTGATTTCGTTTCTGCAGAAAAATATCTTGCGAGAAATTTTTTCAAATCCCAGACTGAAATTTAATTGTCATTTGCAAAAGATCAGTTGTCCATAATAAAATTAGGCAAGCAGCAACTTTGTGTTTCGCAGATTTTCAGTCACATTTTTATCGATTTTGAGGGCAAACAAATACAGGTCCCTCTTCAGCAGGAGCAAAGAAATCGGCCTATGTCCCAGTCAAAGATTCTGCTTTTGGGCAGATTTCTCTGCTCCTGATAAAGAGGAACCTATGCCTATTTATCCTAAAAGTCTTGATTAAAATGAACGGAAAACACAAGGCTACTCGTGTCTTGAGATGTACATTTCATTAATATAGAAAGATAATATCTCAGTCACAGAAGTAAACCTTGAAAATGATTTAAAAACCAGTAAATGAAATACTTTGAAAAATTAAGAAATAAAGTAGATTCTAAGAAATGTTCTAGTGGATTCTATAAGAGGTATTTGAGTAAAAAGAAACACTAGCACATATGACTGAAGAACTCATATGGGATTGCTATGACACCTAGTAGTGCATCTCTTTTTTTTCTTTGCAATCGGCCGCACGAAACATGTATAAATATGCATGCATATATGCATGGAAATTCTAATTTGTTTTTACAAATTAAGAGGGGTGATAGTACTCATCCAGATGAGCAATAATTACCATAGAACATTGGGTCGCATTCCACCTGAGAGAAAGAAAAGAGGAATATTAGAATTCCAACCTGAACTTACAACAGTGTTGGGAGAGCGAATGAATGAGACCAAAAGTTGCGCAATCAGTTTAGTGAAAGACTCACAGAGTACACAAAGCGGATAAAACCGAAAACTTGGCGTTCGAGTGTTAAATTCGAGCTCAGACTTTGATGGCAAACTCTCAAATGTAGATCTTTCGTTCGCAAGGTCTCAACCTCGCAAACGATTGCAACAAGTTAATTATTTAATCAAGAGCTGAATATTATCAATCAACTCCAACTCAAGGTAGGTTTGACATACGTATATTGGTCTATTAACCACTTAGACCAATATACATATGTATCCAATATACCTATACCAGCCAATGTACCTATGTATGAAACGTTTTTTTAATTATATACTGAAGCATATATGCATACGCCCTTGTTTGGCCACGTCAAAACCTCATACTCTCCATTAATATATTCCCGATGCAGCCCTCGCAGGAAGCCGCGAGGGTTGTGTTGTTCTAGATAGCTGCGGGTACCGGACGTTCTTTGGGACGACACCCGACTTGACATATAAAGCCGTCCGGGTGTCCGCGCCCTGCATTCTGAACTTCCTGTACTGCGTTCATTCTACTTGAAGCCCTCTTCTATGGGACACGAAGTTCTGACAGCTGGAATGCAGCTTTAGCTTTTCATTCTAATCTCGGCTAACAGCGGAAGTTGGAGTTAGTTGATAATATTCAACCCTTGATTAGATAATTAACTCGTTGGAATCGTTTGCGAGGTTGAGACCTTGCGAACCAAAGATGTGCATTTGAGTGTTTGCCATCAACGTCTGAGCTCGAATTAACAGTCGAACGCCAAGTTTTCGATTTTATCCGTTTTGTGCACTCTCTGTGAGTTTTTCACTAAACTGATTGCGCAACTTTTGGTCTCGTTCATCCGCTCTCCCAACACTGTTGTAAGTTCAGGTTGGAATATATATTTGTTACTCGGATCGGTGATTCTTATATATTGGTAAATAGTGCATTTTTTGCTTGACTGAATTATGTCATTCTTATGTTCCGCTTAAGGATTGAATTATGTCGATTAAATGAAATTAAAGATGATTGAATTATGTCGTTCTTATGTTCCGCTTAAGGATTGAATTATGTCGATTAAATGAAATTAAAGATGATTGAATTATGTCGTTCTTATGTTCCGCTTAAGGATTGAATTATGTCGATTAAATGAAATTAAAGATGATTGAATTATGTCGTTCTTATGTTCCGCTTAAGGATTGAATTATGTCAATTAAATGAAATTAAAGATGATTGAATTATGTCGTTCTTATGTTCCGCTTAAGGTTTTTATGCCTTTAATAAGTGTGCACGCAAAAGTGTAGAATTGTCAAAAATTTTAAAAGGGTTGTTAAGTCTAACGAGGACACCATTTGTTTACATTTGAAACTCTTAATGGAATAGTGAATTTGGTCAGTTGGTGCACTTAGTTCAATGTCTTTTTGGCCAAGTGTGAACAAAATTTAATTTTTTGCATCGATAATTTTGTCTTCTTGCCCGTTAGCCAAATTGCATGTTTTCCAGTATAAACTCTCTTTGCAAAAATTGCATTTTATAAAATTGTTTTTAAATGTATTTAGTTTAAATGAAGTCAGCAAAAAAAATGTTTATAATTTTATTAGGCCGTACAAGTAAGTCATGTGATGCCTACATCAGGTATTTTTAATTTTATTTGCAAATAAGGATTGGCTGGCTTTATTTTTCTTTTACATATATTATTCATCATCTATTTAAAACTGACTTGTTTTGAGAAATGTTCCTGAGTACGTTTTGGTACCAAAAAAAAAAAAAACCATTTCATCAAAAAGTTCTGATAAAGAACTCCATAATTATTCACGTAATTTGAACAAACAGTTTATGTTTAATAAAAACATTAAAATATCAAGCCTCCCATCTTTAAAATTAAAATATTCAATAATGGAATTCTGAACAGAACTTGTCGTTAATTTCTGGCTTTTTGCTACACTCACTTTATATACTGATTTATTAATGTATTTTTGTTACATTATTAAAAATTTCCATATGCAGACGATAGTTCTGCAATGTTCAAATACAGTTCAAATGCTGACGATAGTGATTTATTTTCATTTAAAGCAAAAAATTCAGAAAAGACTCATCTTCTACAAAAAAGATCTCAAAAAATTTTCGAGTGTCCGAATTATAGTGTGAATTACCAATTAACCCTTTTTGAATAAATTACTTTATTGTAAGGAGTATTTTGATGATATTTAATTTGTAATAAGCAGGAAAGCTTCATTTTAATAGAGAAAAAGCAGTGTATTACAAAAGCATCTGAAGTCTGTGTTTCGGTATTTAGTACAGGATATACACACGCACAACTTTCAAAAATACTGGTTTCAGAGAAAAATTTGATCTGCTGTATAATAAAATAAAAGATAAAAATAAGGTTCTCGGACCATTCCAATGTTATCTATTGTATCTTCTTCATTGTATTCTAATGCTGCATATCCGACACCTAAAACTGTAATTTATGTGTCTTTTATATGTTACTTTTTTCCCAACATCATTGTACATGTAAAATATTAGTGAAATATTATTTAAACCTTTTAATAAAAGTGAATAATTAAATATCTGTTTTATAGATTTATTTTTAATTCCAAACCCTTTTAAGTATATGGTGTATGCTATCATTTTAGAACCCTGTAGTTTATTCAAAATAAAAGCGGAGTGTGGTGGGAAGGGAAAAGTCTGCTATCTAAATGATAAAGCTGAGGGAAATTGCGTTTGTCCTCCTCCGTTTAAAAATGAGGGTACCTGCAGTACATTGGGTGAGTTGTCTGTTTTTTAATTATAATGTTTTACTTGAACTGGTGTCTTTGTTTGTTGATTGTTTGGCTCAATTTTTGAAATTTTTTTCTGATCTCATTGACAAATTGGATTTTCTTAAAATATTTCTTGCATAGATATTTGCCTGAGAGTACATATTCCATAGGAATTAATTAAATGTACAGTACGAAAAAAAAAAGACAGTTCTCTCGTTCTACTGGTCGGACTGACGAAATTCAAACTGCGTTATTCATGTCTCGAAAGCGTAACTTAGGCTATATATTAGGTTTATACACAGCATTGTTTTAATATAGGTATTTTGATACGGACTTTTTCTGAAATGGCATGACAGTTTTTCCCATATTTAGATTCTACGACTCAAATTATGTCTAAATATTAAATTTGGTAAAATTTGGTGAAACATTTATCGAGAAATTCAAAAATTAATCTTGTCGCATTTTTTTCAGTTTGCGCCAAGAATAATTCTTTATATATGGCAACCTATTTTCCTTTCCCTTTTTGCAATGTGCATGAGCGGGGAAAAAGTTACATCGTTCCTGGTTCTGATAAGCAATATGCTTGTAGAGTTTAGGAAATTTTATTATTATATGTATTAATATAACCAATGCACTATTAATGTATATCGTATTAATATATCGAATGCGCCTTTTATGTTATGTATGTATTAATGTAGTGTATGTATGCATGCATTATTAATGTATAATGTATACAGTTATAAGTTGCATAATGTGCACTGGTACTGTTCTGCAATAAGTCTGCAGAGTTTTCGAAATTTTATTATTGTATACATTGACATATCGAGTGGACTATTAATGTATAATGTAGAACATCACTACTGTGGTAATTCAACGTATTAATGTTACCGTGAAAGAGCAAAATTGGAGAATGTCGACTTTCACCGGAGAATATCAACATTCACCAAATACGTCGGTGAAAGACCGAATGTTTCACTACATTCTTGTATATTCGGACCCTCACCGGTGTATGTCGACAATCACAGATATGCTCTGGTGAAAGTCGAAAAGAGAGGTCATAAAGTGCCATAATAGTTTAAGTTGTTGCAATAAATAAGATTTGAATCACATAATTTAGTAAGTTTTTTTATTACTGTTATTTTATTTTCTCATTTAGAACGTACTGTATAATTAAGTAAGTTTTTAACTTCTATTATTTTCCTTTCTCATTTTGAATGTATTGTGCGTTTTAGGTTCTCATGTTCTTAAATTCTTATTTCAAGTCTCAAGTGCGTTTATTGGCGACTGAATTACGGAGAAGAAAATATAATATTGTTATATGTTCAACATTCACCATTAGCACATGGTAAATGTCGACATTGACCTGTGTAAGTCAGAAATAAGAGTATTTGGAAAATATTTCGGACATACACCAAGAGACTATGTGAATGTTGACATTCACCGGTGAAAGTCGACATTCTCCCGATTTCGGTGTTTCACCGTAACATTAACACCACTTCCTAACGTAAAGTTTCTCTATATTGTTATATACTGTATAATAAGCATTGGTATTGTTCCGCAATACGCCGGTCTTCCCATCAGCCGCAGTTTGGCAATGCTGTTTTTCCGGAAAGCTGCGGGATCCAGGCGATACCCGAATAGTCAGTAAAAACCGACCGGATGTCCGCACCCTGCTCCTACCTGTCACCTGGCACATCGTTCCTACTTTCAAATAATTTTAACAAAGTGTCTAAACCACATTTGACGTTATTATCGCTTTCAACAAATATGCCAAATTTCAAAACGCGCCAATATATAAATTCGCGTATATCCTAAAAATATTTAATAAAAAACTCTTATTTTTTGCAGGTATGCTTAGAAATAAATCTACTTTAATATGGTGTTAAAAATTTTATAGATCATAATAGAAAAATGTTGGGCCTGGGTTCGAATCTCGGAGAAGGCGTGGTTGTAACTATCTGTCCCTCCACAGGAGCGATGGTGGCCCATTTATTAGGTGCCTTCATAATAAAGAGACCACCACATCTGGCCTTGTATAAATTAAAAGACTGAGTTACAATGTAACTGTTCACAATCTGTCATTGGAAAAAAAATAGAAAAATGTTTTCGAAAAATTTATAAAAGGTATTTAAAAATACAAATTTAAAAAATAAATTAGAAAAAAATGGACGCATTTTATTTGGAATAAACCTAAATTTCGAATTCTGGAAGAAGGAATCAAGTAAGTTTAATAAAAAAGTGATATTAATAAATATATATTAAATTCAATTGACAGTCAGGCGCTAACATGTTGAAAACTAGTTTTTTAAACCACTCCTGCGAATTTTAAAAAACTTGACAGTTTGGCATAATTTGAGTCGTAGAGTTAAAATATGGAAAAAAATTCTCATTTCATTTTAGAAAATGTCCAATTTTGTATCAAAATATCTATATTAGAATAATGTTATACATAAATCTGATATATATCCTAAGTCGCGGTTTCGAGACATGAAAAAAGCACGTTGAATTTTGTTAATCGGCTCAGTAGAATGGGAGATATAGAACTGTACCATAAGTAAGAATTGAAAATTCAGAAGTCTGTAAAAAGCCCTTTATTTTAAAATGGAATGAGATGAACATAGGGCAATCCTTTCGCTTACAAGTCTGCCAGCATTTATGGCGAGAAACTAGAAGTAGAAATTGAAATGTAAAGCTAAATTTAAATAATGAGATAGATTCGCAGGAGAAGAAGAGGAAGAATGAACTTGCTTGTTTACATTAGCTGTGCATAAGTCACGGGATCTCTGATGTCATCTGCATTTTCTGGTTACAAAAGCTATACATAAGTCACGTGATCAATGAGGTCATCAGAATGTATCTCATTAATAGCCAAAGTCTCCACGGGGCAAGTTAACGCGAAGCTGCCTCTGAATTCATCGGTGGAGAATTTAATTATCAGCAAGTATAATACAAGAGCCTTGAATTATTCTTTCCGAAGATTGGAACTCTTATTTTAGAATAGCAAACCTTTTAATGTGGCTTCACGAGGCAGAATACACTCTGTCTTAACAATCTTAAACCCTCACTTAAATACACGCGAACTTATCTGCGTTCTAGCAGGAAAACGTAAAGAAAAAATTATACTACAAATTTCAAAACATAACATAAAACTAGTTATTCAAATTAAAGAAACCTAATATGTTAACCAATAACAGCCTGATTAAATCTGAAAAAATTTAAAGTTTATAAGTTTTTGTCTCCCTCTTTTCCAGCATGCGTTCGTGCTCTAACGAAAGCACACTCGGCGCGTATTCGAGAGATCCAAGTTCGAGTCCCTTTAAGGGCAGTGACCATTTTTCACATCTCCTGCTTCAAAATAACTTAATGACTGTACAAAGCCTTTCGCTTTGCCGAATAGCAACATTCTAAAATCTCTTGTACGAGGAGGCAGATGTAAAATAGTTTTATTTTGTGTAGCATCAGTTAACCAAGTGCTGCAAATCTTTTTATTCTTCTCATCAGCCGGTTTCGCGATCATCATGGTCTCTAGTAATTTTAATTGTATTTTCAGTGATAATAAAACACCTCATTTGAGATGTAATAAATAAATTTTCATAAATTTAATTCTAATTTAATTGCTATATGTTAGTGATAGTTTCAGCTATATGTTATTTGTATTAGTTGGATCCCAAATTGCAGTCTAATTGTATAAACTGTTAAAACAATTGCAGTTACTGAATTACTTGTAACTGAAATTGTGGTGTAAAATGATTTTGTAAATGTATGAATTGTTTAGCGAATTTACTGCAGCTGCAATTACATTGCGATAAATTTATTAATAAGGTACATTCCGCTGTAGAGTCATTAGATTTTTTGAAGGTACATTAGCCTTTTTTAGAAGAGGAAGACACGAAATTTATGCAGTGCCCTCGCCGGGAATCGAACCCTGGACCTCTAGAATACGCGTCGAGTATTCTTTCAACTACAACAGGAAGGCATCCGGAATGTAAGGGGAAAATACCTTATACTGCAAGAGAAGAACAGGAACAAAGACCTTCTTTCTTTGCATTAGATATACATGCGTCACGTGAAATTCTCTCAAGTTATCTACACTGTTTGTTTACATTAGCTATACATAAATCACGTGATCTCTGAGATCATCGGAATGTATCTCACTGGCCAATAATTTATTAATAACCAGCTATCCTTATTAATATTGTTGGGTGAGTACGGGTTCGTTATGAATTGAATGCACAAACCCAATGAAAAATGAACAAAAATTTATTATTTTCACAACAAAAATGCTTAACTTTCTCTCAGATATTCGTGCAGTTTTACAATATCTCACAGTAGTTACCTTTTAACTATTCAAACGTTCAAAAGAAATTAATTCAAAACAGCTAGAGAAAGCTAATCCGCGAATTCGCTACAGTCAACAAGAGCAGTTTTCTAAGCAAACTCTTAAAACAACAACAGACTAACTAACTGAATGCCAATGCCAATGATTAAAAGTTACGGAGTACCTATGGTTCAAAACTACGTACCTAACTAACTGAATTGATATCTATGTGTCTATGTCTTATCACTTAGTAAGAGGCAATCGACCATTAACGGCCTTTACCAATATATTATACTTGACTTTTAAATGCTTGAGGAATCGAGTAAGTTGTATCCAATAATATGGAAGTACTTGTGCACATGCTGTGCTAGAATTCAGAGATTACTAGCGACGGAGGCTCCTGTGCGGCCGTTCATAGAATAAATAAACTTGAAACAAATGGAAGGCGCTCGTGTGGCGCTATCTATTAGTAGGGATGAAAAGCATTTTAGTCGGGTGGAGCTCTGGTGGCGCCATCTCTTGCAGGATGTATTGTAAGGCCTTTTTAAAATTTCATAAAAACTATTCTTCTGATAAGCAATAATTGGAAAGTGGAATGATGAAATCCACAATTTGCAGTACATTGAAACGTTTCACAAGGATAAAGCTGAATTGAGAGGTTTTCCTCCTTTTTATAAGATTTGAAATCGAGCTCGAGAATTTTCTGGAATTTTCTCGAAATCAAAAAAAGAGATATTTTTTATTTAAATATTAAATGCACGCGCTCTTGTATTTTTAGTTTTCCGGCTTAGCTTTCTTTTAATAGTCGTCTCGCGCTGCACTGTACGGGGAATAAATCAATTTAATTTATAATTCTATTAACATTAGCTATTTAAATACCAAATACGTAACAATATCTTATATTTATCGTGCAGCCTTTAACAATTCCAGTCTCAAGACTTGAAACAATGTTTTATAATGTTTATATATAGAGAGGTGATTTCGCATTTTGATCAGTTTTGATGCAGCAAAACAATTCCACTGTCTTTCTACAGTGTCATCCGCCACATACATTTACAGCTTCTTCGTTTCATAATTATATAAATTTAGTCACTGATGTTAATATATGGTACTCGTATAAGCAACGAGTAATGATGTACTGGTAGCTTTGTCCTGGTGGTGCTCGAATTCTTTCTTACATTGAGTTACAAACGAAGCTGAATTTCTTTTGTACATGTGGTAGCTAAAACATTGTTGTGATAATGCGTAGCAAGTAGAATGTATTTTTACATTTCCTTCAATTAAGTTCTGTTTTCCATTGTATGGAAAACCAGTTATGATCATAGATATTTTACTCAACTTTTCTTGAAACCATGATTTTATTTCTTTCTGTTCTCGTCTTGGTTAGCAAATTGTCGTTTTCTGTTATAGCGATTCAAATAAATCGATATTTCTTCTATATTGGTAAGAAATCTCTTTTCTCGTAATAATTAATTTTCGTAAAATATTCTAAAATTCAAGTTTTTTGCTCCGCGAATTATCTCAAAAAACATTTTTGCACATTTTCCGAAAACAACGAAACACACTTTAATTTTTTTTAAATTTATATCTTTATGTATTGTTTCATCCACAGCAAAAACGCAGGTGATATTTCCCGTTGAGTAGATAACGAGGCGTAACACGACCTTTACACAAACCACCAACTTTCAAATGCGATTTCCAAATTAGGAACCCGTTATATTATCTTCCCATTTATACACAATGTAGATGGCGTTACTCATGTCTGCTTTGTGAGCATGCAATGGAATGCTGATCTTTTTTGTATCTGTAAGAATTTGACATTTGCTAATACCACCTTCATGGTGTAACAGTTTTAATGACCACTAGTGTATTACAACATAGATGCAACATGCTTTGTCTGCTTAGAATATTCTGTAGCTGTAACCGGTAAGTAATTGACTCCAAAATATGAATACATATGGTATTACAAGAATGTAAAAGTATTCTGCAGAGAAAGGATTACTATAAAAATATTCATTGTGGATTCAAATATTCAACATGAGGAAAAAGCCTCATAACATGCATATTATACAAGCCACAAAAGTCATTTCAAACATTTATTTTTCATTGGCAAGTGTTAGGGATGAAATCAGAAAACGAAATTCCTTTTCAATAAAACACAAGCTTTCAGGAAATGACTACTTGCTTTAGGAAAATTAGAAAACTAGCTAGTTAGCCTCGTAAAAGAATCAGTTTATTCAAGATAATATTTATGGTTGTTTTCGAATAGTCAGTTCTGGAACAGATGACGTGGTTGCTCTTGATAGTGATGGGCTGATTCCAATAGTGAACACGCAATATCTCTTCAATTAGATATCCCGTAATAAAGTAGGGATAGCGTTGCAAAAATTAGTGTTTCTTTATAAGTATACTAAATCAGCCACAATCAACAGCTGCGTGACGGCGACCAGAACGTTTTTCGCAAAACTTTCCAAGCGAGAATGGATGTTTATATGTTGTGATCGAGGAACATACCTTTACGGAATGGGGTTTACTTGTACCTGAACAGCAACACTCAGAAATGTTGCGTTTTGTCAAAGGAAACCTCACATGTTTTTCTGGACATCTGGGCACTAGAGACGCCTAAAGTCGTAGTCTAGTGTGGAATTACTTCAGTATGCATCTTCTAAACCATTCTTCTTTGAAGAACATAATTGCTAATAGTCCCATAAAAGTTAACAGATATAGCATGCTGCAGATATTTTTTCTTATTTACCTTTTCAACACCGATGCCCAATGTCTGCCACTTTTCTATAAGACTATGTTTTCGCATCCGTAATTTGGATTTTGCATACAACAACTTTTGTTCACACATTTAATCAATTAGCATGGCCCTTCTTGTCAGGCCACCACATATTCCGAACCTCAATTCCTATGATTTCTGGCTGTGAAGTGACTTAATGAACATTATTTATCGTAGAAGTATTGCAACTTGAACAGAATCAAAAGATTATATTTCAATACAATTACGAAGTATCCCTGAGAATCCTGTGTGAACACTGTTCATCACCTTCAAATTTTATCTTCTTCTTCTACTTCAACAGAGAACGCATAGAACAAAAGCTGTCTATAAGTTACAGAAGCCTTATTGTAAGAATCATGTATGTTACTCTATAGTTCATGCGTTTCATTCGTAATGCTTGTAAATGATATTGTGAATGTTAAATTGTCTTCTGTAAGTTTGCTGCATTTGTTTAATAGGCTTCTTTTTCTTTGTTTTAAGGGATAGCCTCTTTTCCCACAGAACAGTTTTCCGTATGCATTGATTACTATACCTGCAAATTTACGCATCCGTTCAATTAACGGGTGCAGCTGTAGAATGGTATAATAGGCCAACTTTAATTGCGATCTTCATATATTTGAATGCTCTCCTGTCTTTTTATACGTTTTCCAAATAAATTGTTGCTTAATTTTGCATTTTGAAAATAATTTTATGAAAGTGTACTTTTTAGATCTGTATGTTATGATTTAGGTTCTTTTTGCGATGATAATGATTAACATTTTTACTATATATTTTAGAATATCTTTATATATTATTTTATTATTTTAGGTGAATATGTCCATAAGTTACAGAATGTACGTGTCTTAAAAAAGAGATATATCAAGTCTGAATCTGTTATCGATATTATATCGTTGACAAAAGATATCCAGGAAAGTGTAAGTATTAAACAAATGTATAACAATTAAACTGAATTCTGTAAAATTATTTTTTTCTTCACATAATCCTACTCATTAAAAATTCAGGGTGTCCCATAAATTTGAATATATTTAAAATAATCACATAGCTTCAGAAAACAATTTGGTGAATAAGAGTGCTGCATGACCTTCATACTTTTTTTTACAAATGGATGGGGAAAAGGAAGCACCATGAAGAAAGTGTCTGATTATATGGAAATTAATTATGCATAAAGCACATACGCAATTGCATATTAGATTGTTCAAATCAGTAACTGGTGAAACTCCATTGGTAGCGATGCGTGTTTGTAAACATCTAAGTAAGGGATGATAAACATTCCTATTCTTATTCTGCGATATAATTCTACCAGGCGCTTCTTAATTGTTGCTCTATATCTGCGATATTTTTGGTGACATGGAAAAGGCTGTAGTAGGTTAGGTAGAGGACAATGATGATGTCGGGGCAGTTCGGGTCTGTTCTACAGTCATCCTATCTTACCTCGCATGCGTGTACCTTCGCCTTCCAAAGCCTTGACTCTGCTGATGAGTACTTTCTGCAACCATTGTTGCCAGCAGCTTTGCACAGTCATGTCCATACGGTGAATGTGACGACCTTGTTGGTTGGTATGACTAGTCTCTTTCAAGCATCCCTACTATGCGTCCACGGTCGAAAGCGTCTAGTTGTCTTCAATAATACCGTTACGGCGACAACGAGAAAAGGTAAATGGTTCGCAATTGCGCCTTTTTTATACGATGCGCAGTAGAAACGTCCGCTATGATCGAAGTTAAAATTTATTGCCCTCGAAAATTTAATCGTTTGCACACAACATTCCGGAGATTATCGGAATTTTTTTCTGTGCTTCTTTTATTTATTTATTTATTTATATTTTATTTTATTTTATTTTTCTGCAAACGAGTATATTTATGAAAAATTTTAATTTATGAAAAACACTTTATACTTCTTCCCTTACAGAAAAGTATCTTTTAATTCAAATTTTCACGTATAGATGGCGTTCTTCGTATCACACTGTAAAAAGGAACGATAAAAATTAAAATTACACTGTATTTGTTTTGTTTGCATTTGCGAGCATATTCGGCCACTACTAATAATGCAACCGTCCAGTGTAAGCTTTCAGTTGCACATCTTCTTTTAAAAGATTTACGTATTCACATGTTCGCGATGTAAAAGATATAACGGCATCATATAGTGTCAATTAAATCTAAAATATACATAACACCAAAATATCTCTTCTCGGCATTAAATCTTTAAAACAAGCCTCAATCTAATTCCCCAGTTATTAATTTTATATGGTTATTCAAAATGTGTCCGAATTTGTGAGACACATTTTGTGCAGACTGCATCTAAAAAGTTTAAAAATGAAGTTCGTAGGAAGAAACGGCATTCTTACTTCTTAGCCTGTTGCAGCTCCCTTTACGTATAGTATTATTTTGTTTTTGCGAAGTTTAGTTTCTCTAGACTGGCAACAAGAAAAACGTAAATAAAAAAGTTCGCTCTGGTGTTGTAACTCTAAAGTCTTCTTTTAGAATTATGAATTTAAAAATATGCTTAATCTATTCTGGCATTTTCATAAATTTAAGTTATTAAATTATCTCATGTATTGACTGAGCATAGCGTACACAACAGGCCTTCAATATACGATCCGTGTTAATTTATGCCGTGCTTGGTACATTCATGTAAGTTTGCATATATTCGCTTGATTCATTTGTACAACTCATCTTTGAAATAATGTTCAAGTCTCTGGTTACAGTTTTCTGAATTTTTTCAATGTTATTAAAATAATGGTTGTGGAGATGACATTTTGCTAACAGGGATAAGAAAATAGTTTGCAGGTGCAAAATCTGGGGAATGAAGAAATAATTGCGAAATACTTTACTTGTTTTGCTGAAAACTGCTTGATTGAACGTGAAATTATGCGACGGCATATTGTTTTGCAGCACTAATAAGACATTTGATTGAGATGTTTTCTCACTTAACTTGCCGAATTCTTTTCGAACGTCTGACAAATTATTTGGGAATTTTCTCTTCCTGTCCAAAAAAATCATCAACATGGTTTTCACCCAAAGTTTCTATGGCCGAGTGGTAAAGTTGCTGAAAACTGGTAATTTGAGCTGGTTCCTATTTCAGGTGAAGAGGCTGACTGCTTAGGTGTTTTTGTGGTTTTTCCTCATGCGTAACGTGGATGCGAATGAGTTTACCTTAGAAAATCTCCCTGAAGGCCCCTCATCCTTTAAGCAGATAGCTCGCTCGTGTTTTGTCAAATAAACCAAAACTAAACCAAATGTGCCTGTGCTGAACCTTCCCTAACCCAAGCAGACGAGTACCATTTTGGGTTGGGAGCATGCCCAAAAACCAAGTTTATTCTCCAGTAACAGTTTATTTCTTCAAAACTCAGGAGTTACATATGTCACCTGGATCAAATGAAGACATGAAGAAGTTCGATAGTTTGTACTATCAATGCTTAAGGGATAAAACGAAAACGAAGTTTTCTTTTTTCAAGAGCTCCCAAGAGAATTCTGTGAGCAGCATCTTTGCTGTTATTAAATTCTTCAACTATAGTTCAAAGAGACTGGCGTCAGTTTTTAACTTCCGAAACTTTTTGGTGTTCTCATCCATTCAAGATTACAAAAGGTGGATAAATTCTGTTTCATTATCAATAGCTTCGCAAATCCTTGGCAAAAATCATCCATATGTTAATCCTTTATTTCTCTTTAATTTATACAATATTTTATATATCTCCCTTTCTGTTTCCTCTTGTCAGCAAAACTTTATTACCGTTCTTTATTAAGTTTTTGAATCAGTGACAGCAGACATTCAACAGGTGACAGCAGTTATTCTGTTTGTAAGCAGGTGACATTTTAGAAAAAGCAAGTTGGGATGCCATAGTAATAAATGCTGTTAATTATCATTTCAATTCACATTTTTCATCAATCCGTTCAAAAGAAATAAGTTTCAAATTGCAAATATAACTCTATACTTTAAACGTTAATTGTGGAATACTTCTTTGACCAGTTAGCTGTGATTGACGAGTATACTCGTGCTTATATTATGAAATTGAAAGATAAGAGGGAGGTTTATTTAGTAAGTACTGTACATAATGACAACGTAATAGAAACAGAGAAAAGAAAAATAATAACAAGGAAACTGTAGCTAGTGATTGATTATAATAAAAAAATGGGTGGAGTGGATATGAGCGATGGAATTATCATAGCGTACTCCACAGCAAGAAAACGACTCAAAAAGTAATACAAAAAGATATTTCTCCATTTTAGACATTATTGTCTGAATGCATTCATATTATATAAAAAAAAGAATGGAATATTATCGCGTATCAACTTTTTGCTCAAATTTATTGAAGACACTTTTGCGACGTATCCAATTGAAAGAAATAAATTGATACAAACTCGGCTATTTAGACCTAATATAAGCCAATTAGGCGGGAATCATGTTCCGGATTATATACCCGGAACATCTTAAAAAAACAACCCTACGCAAAGATGCTCGCATTGCTACAAACGTAAGATCAGGAAGGAATCGCGTTACTGGTCTTCTGTTTGCTAAGTCCCATTGTGGATACTACCCAGTTTCGCTGAATATCACTCCACAGCAGGAATTTAAAGTTTTTACTTTTATATGTATAATATTTAATTTAATTTAATTTATTGCGTTTTTAGTTTAATATGTATGTAATATATATTTACATTAACCAAATAAGTAAATATTAGTAATAAAATTTTCAATTTTATAAAATACACCCATCTTTTTCATCCAAAATCTTACCAGCGCAACTTACTCTGTGATTGACGAATATACTTGTGATGGCTCTTCTGGCGACACAAAACGGTGCGCAGTCTTAAACGAGAGCGCCACAGTTAACTGGTTAAAAAGTACGTTGCTTCTATAGGTTATTCTATGTTTTAATTAATTCAGTGTGTCATTATATAAGCATAAGGTGATGATGAGTAGATGTAGATGGGGATACCAGAATTTCACCATTAGTAGTATAGATATAACAGTGTCCAGATCATACACCATTGGCCGCATTAACTGCGTAGCTCCGGCTAAATATTGATGGAGAACACCCGGGGTACGAATCCAAAAGTTTCTCAATCCTCTTCAGCTACTACCAAAGAACACGAGAGAACTTTTGCCTCTGCAGTATTTAATGTGTCGCTATGCCGCTTAGGCATTATACACTTACAAGCCTCCATGCCTTCTCCGTGACTCGAACTGGATACAAAAACGTGACAGTCAGCATCCCTAACCTTTATACCGACCTTCTAATGCATAAAAGGAAACTTGTGCTTTTCCGTATCCTCCCTGTCGTGTTACTTCTGAATGTTTCAACTTCATTATCTTGATTAAGATTCGTTCACAGTAACTCATTAATGTTTGGAAAACACATTTGTGGGGGAACATGAGAGAGAATTTTAGCTACAGTATTTTTATACGCTATAAAAATACATCATTTTTAGTTTACAACTCCAGTAAATTCCCACTAACTCTTTGTATTTTTATACGCTATTTATATACTCGCGTATTTTTTATACGCGCAAAAAAAATCTTTTAGTTTAAAACTCCAGTAAATTCCCGCTAACTCTTTGTATTTTTATACCTATTTATATACTCGCGTATTTTTATACGCTATAAAAATACATCATTTTTAGTTTAAAACTCCAGTAAATTCCCGCTAACTCTTTAGTATTTCTCGCGTATTTTTATACCTATTTTTAAAACTCATTTTTAGTTTAAAACTCCCGCTTTTGTATTTTTATACGCTATTTATATACTCGCGTATTTTTATACGCTATAAAAATACATCATTTTTAGTTTAAAACTCCAGTAAATTCCCGCTAACTCTTTGAAGCTTAACTTGCCTTCGAACTAGATCCAAATGCCCGTCAAGTACATTGTATCTCTTTTTTTTTCTACGTTGCTATATCCGATGGTGCATTTTTCAATTTTGAAACGGTTTGTCCAAAGTTTTTTTTTTTCCCTGAATTGAAATAAATTTATGAATCTCTCATTTTTTCAAATCTTTTTTAAGTTTATTTTTTCCCTTTCAAGGTAATAAATTATTAAATTTTCTCCCTTTTTCCCGTATGTATTCGTGGTGTAACGGTAGCTCACTCGGAGCGTATTCGAAAGGTCTAGGTTCGAGTCCTGGAGAAGGCATTGCTCCTTTTTCATGTCTCCTTCTTTAAAAAACTTAATGACTCCCCGGTGTTGCTCAAACTAAAAGGTGGTGGGTGATGATTCTTCACTACCAGGATTTAGGTACTAGGTCTCCTAATTCCCAGTCGCCTTGTAAAATGGGATGTACATAAGGTATGAATTGTAAAAATTGGAGATTCCCTTCAGACGCGAGTGTCCCTATAGCACCTACACACGAGTGTCCCTATTCCACCTACATACGAGTGTCCCTATAGCTCAAAAGAAGGGGCCCCGTCAAGGAAGTATAAGGTATTCACTCACTCCTTTCTGCATTTATTTGTGGTGTAAAGGTAGCACACTCAGCGCGTATTCAAGAAGTCCGAGTCTCGGCGAGGGGCATTGCTCATTTTCATGACTCTTGCTTCAAAAAATTTCTAATAACCTCTACCAGCTGAAAGAAATATTATTCTTCAATTTATTTCTGCGCAACTATATATGACTAAATATCTTAAGAAATATCTATAGCGGATACATTCCTTCAGGTTCATTAAACTAATTTTTTCAAACGATCTCAGTTTATTAAAGGTTATTTGTTTAACGAATTATTTCATTTTAATTTTATTATTTATTTAATTTTCTATTATATTGTTACGTTATTTTCTTCCTTCATGTTCGTATGGGGTTCGTGTGGATTTGGAGTAAATAACGACGACACTTGATGAAGTATCGAAACACACTTTATTTAGCCAATATTAATCAGGGCAGCTCCAAAGTCACTTTTTACAGTCGTCGAAGATCTGCTATAAACAAGCTGACACAATCAGCGACACAACTTTCAGTTTATCAAGCTATCACGGTGGAGACAGCTCGCGTTGCACTCGACGACACATAGAGCACAGCTCCCTACTCTTCGGTTCAGTCGTTCCCGGAGCTTAACACACTCTCTCGACGATGCACTAACTGCTATACACTCAGAGACTCTTCGATCCACTCGACGACCCACTCGGCACTCGCTGCCCGGCTGTCCATCGACTCCGCACGGACTAACTTGAGACACACACACGCACACACACACTGACTGACTGCGGACCAGCAGGGTTTATATAGCTTTCGGCTTGTGTTCAAGAGCATTCTGGGCTAAACCGGTTAGAATTCGTTCTAGAAGGTTCTCCATCCGTCCATTTCATATCGCCAATTTTTTCGTCAAATGGGCGATTTCTCGCCAAATGTGGCAACAATGCTTGCCTTGCCATTTTATGGCAACCCTAAAACTGCTTTGAGGGGAAGCCATCTTACCGTGCCTGTACATTTCGTAACACTATAAATCTTAATTTAAAGGAATTTTATTTAGCTTAATACCAATGTTTCAGTATAGAGATAAACACAAACTTGAAATTACAGATTATTTAAACTTATTTTATGAGTGTAAAGAATTTTATTTTACGATTAAACTGAAAATGATTCTCTCGTGGCAACTACTTTTACTGAAAAAAAAAAGTAATTTTATTCTCAAATAAATTTAGTGCTATTAATGCATTTCACAAAATAAACATAAATAGTTAAATATTAGGATCTAGCCTTAACAGAACGGCATGATTTGTCTTAGGAATTTCTTTTTTGTGTTTGGATTTATTTCTCTAATATTTTCTTTTCCTTAGCAAATTTACTCTTAAAAAATATCCCCGGTTGTTATTGTCACAGAAAAATAAGAGGAACGGAATGCTAAAATAAACTTTTTGTTAAAGAATGAGATTAGGAATTATTTGAGTCGACGTAAGACGACTAGATTCTCACGCAAGTTGCCTGGATAAATGTGAGACTCCTGATTTATGTATTTTATACCGCAGAGCCGAGACCGTGATAGTACGGATCTCAGCCAATAAAGATGCGACCCCGAAGAGGAAAGCTACCTAAAGATGTATTGGAATCATAAAGCTTTGAAGGTTAGAAAAGATGCTTATCCGCAGAACACCTTGCATAAAAAATAGAACAGTTCTATATCTCCCGTTCTACTGTTCCGATTGTCGAAATGTAACTTGCGTTTTCCAGGTCTCCAAAGCGCGACTTAGGATATATATTAGATTTATATACATCATTGTTATAACATGGGTATTTTGATACAAAATCGGACTTTTTCTGTAATAACATGCCAATGTTTTTCCATATTTTAATTCTACGAATCAGTTTATGCCAAAGTGGCAAGTTTTGTAAAATTCGCACGAGCAGCTTTTAAAAAATTTTACCTCTTACATGATAATTGCATTTAGTATACATTTATTAATATCTCATTTTTGTTAAAGTTATTTGATACTTCCTTTTACATTTAGAAATTTACGGTTATGTTCATTCCAAATAAAATTCAACCATTTTTTTATAATTCATTTTTAAAATTTATATTTTTAAATAATTTTATAAATTTTTCGGAAAAAATTTTAAATTATAACCTATAAAATTTTTAGCATCATCTTAAATTAGATGCATTTCTAAGCATACCTGCAAAAAATTAGAGTTTCATATTCAAAATTTCCTATGATATGCGTGAATTTATATATTGGTGCCTTTTGAAATTTTGCACATTCGTTATAAGCGATAATTACGCCAAATCTGGCTTACGCAATTTGTTAAAATTATTTGAAAGTACGAAGGATGACCTTTTTTTCCGTTCATGTGGAATGAAAGAAAAGGAAATAAAAATAGGTGTCCATAAATTAAGAAGTTGGCGCAAAATGAAAAAAATGTGCCAAGATAATTTTTTTAATTTCTCCCTAAATTTCTCACTAAAAATTACAAAATTTAATATGAAGGCGTAATCTGAGCCGTAGAATCGAAATATGGAAGAAAATTATATATTTTCTGTCAAAAATAAATATTTTGAAAATAAAATTTTAATGCTTAAATCCAATTTTTTCCCATAGATGAAGACAATGTACATGAATCTGAAAGACGCTTACCTTTACAACCACCGGTAAGTTAATTTTATATTTTTTTTTTATTTTCCTCTGGATGAAAATATTAAATTCTTTATAATGTTAAACTTTGTGCTATTTAATCAAATCAGAAAAGGACAGCTTTCCAAATATATTTTTATGTTTTGATGGAACAACTCATAATTAACAAATATTTATTTAAAATTATTATAATTAATTATTATTAAATGATAATAGAATAAATTATTAGTTTGGTTTCGTGAACAAGTAGCTGCATATGTCGTTTTTCTGAAAGCAAGCGAAGTTTTCACTCTTACTAAATAATAATTGAAAGAGAGAGAATTTTTTAAGAACAACCTAGTCAATTGAGAGATATTTTTATGAATATTCAGTAAGATGCTTTATTTGTATTATAGTGATGATTTTAACACAATAAAAAGAAATTTATATAAAGTATTTTCTAATATCTTCCTCAAAAATATTATTTAATCTTAGTAGTATGATAAACATTATCCTATGAACCTAATTTTTCACAACTTACTTCCTAATCATTTTATTTTCAGCAAGAAATGTATTATTATTTTGCCATTTATAACTTTTTAAATATATAATTACATTGTTTAGTAAAAAAAGCACGCTCCCTATTCAATATTTGATTTCTCAAACCTGAAAAATATATGATTCCTTCTTCACATATTTCTGTGAGGATTAAAGCAAATACTTTATTGAAAATATTTGTAGCTTAGTTCTTCTATCAGATGCGTATTGGAATTCAAAATTAATAAAATTTACATTAATTCGAAAATAACTAAAAACAATAGCTACTGTACAACTATTATGGAGTGGGACGATATTCATTTTTAATCATCTTTCATACCTATTGTTACGAAATGCCCAGCCGCGGTAACTTTCCCGCCGGGCAGGTTTAGGATTGCCAGAAAATGGTCAGGGAAAGACAAGGTTGCCATATTTGGCGCGAAATCGCCCATTTAGTGACAAAATTTGGATAATCCATAAACGGAAAAGAACATTCTAGAGCGAATCCTTATCGGTTTACCCCAGAATGTTCTCGAAGGCAGGTCAAAAGCTATATAAATCCTGTCTGTACGTGGAATAGTAGTGTATCGTCGAGTTTTATCTTGAGTGTGTTGAGCTCCGAGAGCGATCGACCGAGTCGGGAGCTGTAGTTTAGTGTTTTGCTGTGAAACTGTCTTCACCGTTATAGTCTGAAGTCCTGATAGTCTGAAAGCTGTGTTGCTAATTGTTTCAGCGTATTTGACGTCATTTTACGACGACTGAAGCGGGTCTTTGGAAATATATTCTGTAATATTGATGAATAAATTGTGTTTTGATTCTTTTTAGGTGTTGTCATCAATCACTCCAAATCTACGAACCCGCAGAACGCAAAAATATACACGTGCGGCTTTACTTAATCAAAAAATGCTACTTAGTCCAGTAATCCCAATAGACATGAAGTAAACTATCGCTATGTCTGAAGTAACTGAAAGTCGTGAGAAGATTTAAAATAACCTTTTTATTTGAACAGAATTTATACATAAACGCTCTGTCTTGTGCTGACAGTATCAGCCACAACTCGTGGTAACAGAATTAAACAGAACAGTGAAATTTAAATTAAACGTCCAAATGTAGTCAGACCACTCAATTTAATATCACTTCAACCTGGCTCAGTAATTCTATACGAGCGTCAAAATCTGGGTTTCAGCAGCGGTATTACGCAAAGCCGAATAAATACAACTATCAGAGCTGGCAGGAAACTAACACGTAGCGTGCATCCGAAGCTAGAAACACGTTCTGTCTTACTCCAAAAACCTCAGTTAATATTGGCTATCTCATTTGCATTCGTGTCAGGAATACGGAAAAGAAACGTTAAAGTTCAAATTCAAATCGTAATAACTGGTTAATTTAAAAACATAACCTTATATGCAGAATAAATTTTAAAGACAATTATATCCTGATGATTTCGTACAAGTCTCGTCTTTTCCCACATTTTGTGACTTATAAGATTTGTTTCACTGCAAATATGCTGAAAACTTTTGTACGAGAAATATTTATTATTGATAACAATCGGATATCGAAAAGATAAAGTGAAAGCATGTCTCAAGTGTTTCTGTAGATAAATATCTATGTAAATAATTGTTTACTGCAGCAGCAATATCGATCGAGTCCGATAATTTATAAAAAACATAGGAAATATCACTGTCATACTCGAAGGCGTATGTACGTACTGATATGAATGTTTCGGCACAATGTTCCACGTGGAGATGTGGACAAATAACATCTATCACACGACTGAGTATGCAAAATGGATACGTCTGCAGTGGGAAAGTCCTGCTTTATTTGTCAAATTCCTTTAGTAAATCCTACAACAACTGAAACTTGCCTGGATTGAATTTGACCCTCACTTGCAAATATTTCCAAATTCTGTGCTGTCTGAAACTGAAAATTATTCCTTTTTGTTGACATCCTCAGACTTACGCCACAGATACATTAATCTTTTTATTTGAGGACGTTAAGTCAACGAACGTTTCTTTTTTGCATAAGCTGTTCGTAAAGTTTGTTACCTATCATAGGTAGATTTCTAGCTCAGTGATTTTTTCGAATTTGATCGAAATTTGCATTGCACGTGGTAACTAATTATCTTTTATTGAATTCTAAAACAAGAAATACCTTTCCCATTGCATTCATGGAGATTTTATCTTCTGAATCGGGTGAAGCCGCTCCTACTGCTTACAAAACACATGAAATGTTGGTGAAAAAATTCCTTATTGTCCGCACAATATCTCGTCATCACCAAGTTTTATCGCGATATCTTTCAGCGCATTTTCCGTCTAAGTTTCTGAAAAAGTATATTTTTTTTGTAATAACTTGCAATTTGAAGATACTTAAATTACTGTCGAAACATTGAACTAAGACGTAAAAGAATGACATTTCTATCAGTAGATTTCCTTTAAATCACAACTGTCATTCGAATGTCCAGACAGAACCTATGTCTAAAGACCATTAGAACCTATGTCTGAAGACTAAATTTGTACAAACGAGTTCAGAATAAAAAGTTATACAAGTTTATAATCTATGTAACTTTAAGCTAATGTCCATCTGAATTTGAAGCAGAGAACATAACAGTTGCCAACAACAATTGACTTAAGTAATGTTTAATGATGCATTGGTATTTAACAATGATCAGGAGCTCAGGTTGTTTCCCTGTCTATAACTGTAAAGAATATAAAAGTAATTAATATATGTCACAAAAGAGAAAACCAATCACACATCATTTTAAGCATCGATTTTTAGCTGCTTGGGGTAGATGGAGGGAACATTACACCAGAGAGGGAGGCTTCCAAACCTGTGCACTTTCAAGCCCTTAAGACGATTAATTGCGCCATCTACTTCACAGGTGCCAGTTGACAGCAAGACTGGACACCTAGAAGGCTTTCAAAGACTAATCGGGTATAGTCTGGAACCTGCATCCATCCAGACCATAGCATAGTGACATAACATGTTTACAACATAAAATACCGAACGTAACATTACCTACACGACCAGTGGGCATTGCATGGCGACATAACATAGCTCAGCATAGACATGACATGGCATAGCATTGCGACATGACATAGCATAGAATATAGACATTGCATAACGACATAACAGACTGACATAATATGTTTACAACATTAAATACACAACGTATTAACGACGGTGTAATGTAACCTACACGACAGGTGGGCATAGTGTAGCGATATAACATAGTTAAACATATATAATACATAGCATAGTATTGTAACAAAACACAGCATGGCATGTGGACATACGGCAATACATACGACTTATGGACATACGGCAGAGAGACATAATACACTGAGGTCACATATTTACAACATTAAATACAAAGTGTGGCATAACCTACACGACAGGTGGACTTTGCATGACGATATATAGCGTATCATAGACATAATTTGACACAGCATTGCGATATGACATGTCACAGCATAATATAGGGACATAACATATTTACAGCATTAAATACACAACGTAACTTAACCTACTCGAAAGGTGGACATAGCCGGTCCAAGGAGGCATAACCTACGGTCAGCCCACGGGGGGGAGACAAATTGCTCACAGTGAAAGTCGTTAATACGAAGTCAATGGCGATCAGGCTACGGCCGGTCATCCACAAAGAGAACTAATTCAGGTCAAACACTGTCCCCCAATGTGGACTAAGCGAAGTTAAACCTCAAACCTATAAGGGCATTCTAATCATGCAGCGTCCGCACAACCAAGGGGCAAACAAGATAGCACCAGCATGATCCCTGAGGAGCTTGAATGTACAACCGATGATGATTCTAATCATTACGAAGACTGATTAGACTATGAAAACCCCAAGGGTCGAGTCTTCCTTAATACAGGTTTTCTCCAGAATGCCAGGTGTGGCTACCAGTCGTGCCCGGGGTGGTGGGAAAGTCTTTTCCGCTAGCATCAACAACTGGAATAGTAGTACTCTATTATTCTTGAAGATCTGTTCATTTAATAGCCATGGAGTTATTTCAAAACTATCGGTGATTTTTTGATTTAAATCAAACTAATACAAAGCACACATTAAAATCAACAACTTTTATTTATCCATAACTAATGAGTTACGATTTAAAAGGAAATACACATGTAAAAATTGTCGAATACTTGTTAACATTAAACTTGTGCTAGTAAATCAAGTGATTTTCTGTTTTACTGTATTGAATATAAAAATAATTTTTAATATATGTACAACTACCAAAGGTTATAAACATCTAAATCTGATCTTTGTTTGATGGTCTGTAGCAGTGGTTCGCTTACCGTCTAGAACAGTCCGGTAATTTCAACTTTTTTTTTCTGTAAAGTTAGTTTGACAAAACATGCTAAATGAACTTACCTCTCCCTGCACCTTTTAACAATTGTAATTGCCATGGAGTTTTAAGTATTATAACAGCATTAAGTATAAGTATTAGAACATTGCATAATACTAATAAGAAATATGCCGTCCAGTCGTTATAGTAGTCATTGACCCTGACTGCCGTGACGATAGGCTCGTGTTCGAATCCTGGAGAGGCACGTTCCTTTCCTTTTTCCACTATTTCCGTGTGTAGCTTGCAGACAGCAAGCTGTATACCGGCTGTCTTGGATTATTATAGACACTGCAAGTATAGGAAATGCAGGAGTGTTGCCGGAGGACAAGATGCAACGAGAAACAGGGCGTGACTACTTTGTCAACTGAGGCTGTAGAAGCATCTGGTAGGCTGGAGAGATGCTGGTCCGAGTTTCAGGAAACCGTGTGAATTTTTACAAATATTCAGTCCATAAAATCATCAAAGTGCATTTTTCTCACAATTAAAAAGACGATTATATACAAAAGATTAATAAGTAATTTTGAAGTTAAAAATATGCAGGCAGTCCATCAGAAGCAGTCAAAGATATATCTCAGTAGAAGTCTTCTGATTGGCTATTGAGATGAGTATGCAAAAATCATGAAAAATTTGCTATTTACAAAATATTCGAATGCAAAACATAGTTTTCCAGTATACTAAAAGTTGAAATAAATAAAATAAAATAATTTTGAAGCAAATAGGAGCAATAAGAGTTCTACAATTGGCAGTAGAAAACTTGAGTTCGTAGTCACGTAGGAAGGCCGTCCGTTTATAGGGGACAACGTTGGCCACCTGTTAGGGGGGCTTCCATAATGAAATGGCTACCCCTTCCGGCCCTTGTAGTGGCGCAAGGCTAATGGCTATTAAATAAAGCTTCCGGCCAATTAAAAAAACTATTCAGGAAATTATCATTTAGCTGTCATTTAGCTGTGACTTTTTTTAAATCAATGGTAATGTTCATATACTTGAAACTTATCTGATAAGTCATGTCTCGAAAGCAAGATCATCTAGAAAATTATATAGTCAGCCAAATTTAATTATGCCAAAATAAAGCATGCAAATTATCTTAATTTTATATAAGAAATATTTTCACGCTTATAAAGTACTTAACGATTACTATAGTATAGGTTGAAAAGGTATTCGTGCTGGATATTATACTTTTAGCTAAAATTTATTTTATAATTTTTCTTATAAATTGATGCAAAATTTAATGCAGCGAAATTTCTCATTAATTAAAAAGTATTCAAAGGATTTTCTTTTGTACTTTTCTTCAGATAAAAAGGTATTCTTTTGGGGTTTGTGAAACGCTTTTAATTATATTTACTATTTTCTTTACATAAGACTAGACAAAGATATTATAAGCTGTGATATCTGGCTGGAGTTCAAGAAGAATGCATCTGAAGAAGTAAGCCGTTTCGATAAACAGGGAGTCAGTGATGTTGAATGTGATAACTGCATCAAGGATGTTGTTCTGCTTCCGCCATCTTTACTTTTAGAAAAAGGAAGTATTAAAAACGGTAAGTGTCTTTGTAAATATTGAGATTTCCACGAACGTCATTATAATATGTGATATATCATTAGCCTCCCATTTATATACTCTTATGTCTGAGCACAGCCCTATCACCACTCATTACTATATGAGAAATATATATCTTCTTCAGACAGCTGCATTTGCATCACAAAAGTCACAATATTGTTAATTACCCTATAAGAGTTTGGTCTCCTTAGGGAGCATACACTATACCAAAACTTTGAAAAGATAAATGTCGAATTACCGCTGTGTCTTGTAAGTACCACAGAGCAAGGGTGTAAAGGACCCTTTTATCAACCCAAATAAAGTTTTAACAGTTAAAGATAACAATAGATAGCACGAACTCGTGTTTACGGAAGCCAACACTTTTGGCTTAAAATCAAGAGATATCGGATAAACTAAAGTTAGTGTAATTTAAATCTTGCCTAACGGTTTCAGAATTAAACTTGCCCGCAAGTTGGCTCTGACCGAAGTTTGCGTAAACAAGCCTAACGTCGAGAATAGCTCAACGCCGCAGAATTCTATTTGTTGGAGAATCAAAGTTAGCAGCGTGGCTTTCAAGCAGGCAGAACACACTCTGATTTAACCCTCCAAACTTTTCCTTTAAATACTTCCTTCTTTCTACGTAATTTGAATATCCCGGATGGTGGAAATTTGAATTCTGGAAGGGAAATAAAACGAGGTTTGACAGGAAAGGGAATTTACCTAAACTAATGGGTTATAGAATTAAAATGATCCTTACAACCTTTCAAAACAAGACCAAGATATCTGCGAGCAATAATCGTTACGAAATTCACGGGTCTGTACTTATATCACCGCATGGTATAGTCTTTATATCCCGTATGCTTCTTCCTGCCGTGTCCTGCTTAGAAATGTAAATAGGCACATACTTAAGCTACGTAGGTAAGTTGAAAAATAAGTTTCCCCTGTCGACTGTGGTCAGAGTTGTGTATGAAAGTCAAAAAATAGAATGAGACATTAAAGATATGACATACCTTTATTTTTCCACATAGGTACCAAGTACATTGAGACATTTGTCATATCGCTTGATAAGCTTCGAAAAGCCCTCCAGGAAAAAATCAGGGCTTTGCATATGGAAGAAGCGTTGAACGGCTTGGTTTCACTTCAGTATTGCTTCCAAAGCGCCTTCCCCCGAGATTTTTCTTCAAAGCCGGAAACAGATGGAAGTCGCTTGGTGCGAGATCGTATTTTTTAAATTTCCTTTGTAAAACTTAGCGATAGATAATAAAGAGTAAAGTAATTTTTATACATATGACGGCATAGAAAAACGCTGAAACTGTTGAGTAGTGCATAGTTTTATTTTAATCACATTCTCATTTTGTATAAACTAACTTTCCTCAAGACATCAGCAATATTAGATATTTCTAACAACTAAGTATTTAAAGTGTGAAATCTCTCTATGCTCTTGAACAGCTGCAGTCTGCGAGATGGTTACAGCCGAAAAAGCAAAAATCGCGGAGAAAACATCGCAAAAAAACGCGAAAACGAAAACGCGCAAAGGCGAAAAAGGGCGCAGGTGTGCTCAAAAAAAAAACAAAACATCGTGGGAGAAAACATCGCAAAGAGAAAACATCGCAGTTCTCTAAAACATCGTGTTACAAAACATCGTCGTCGAAAATAAAGCGGTTCAAAAACTTCGCAGTTTAAAAACATCGCCGTCGAAAATATCGTGGTAAAAAATAAAGTATCTACAAGTCATCGCATGACGATAACATCGCAGACATGCTTTTTTCAGGCATGCTTTAATAACTGTAAATAGATATTCCCATAATGATTTGTGAGCGCAAGTGATGTAAGGAAGGATAATTTTTACTTTCACGTTTTTTATTAACTAATAAATTTTTGCTGAAAAAATAAGAAAGGAAACTTAAGCATAGAAAATTAAATGCAAATTATTGCTTATACTTTTCATGAAAAAGTACCTAGTAAAATCTTTATATAAAAATGATTTTACTTAATGGTCCATTGTTAGTTAACTATGTCGGTTTAAAATTCTTATTAAGTGCTATATGTTGCATTAATTTTCTATGCTTAAGTTTCCTTCTTATTTTCTCAGCAAAAAATTTAATTATTTAATAAAAAATATGAAAGTAAAAATTATCCTTCTTTACATCTTGCGCTCACAAATCATTATGGAAATATCCATTTACAGTTATTAAAGCCTGAAAAAAGCATGTCTGCGATGTTATCGTCATGCGATGATTTGTAGATACTTTATTTTTTACCACGATATTTTCGACGGCGATGTTTTTAAACTGCGAAGTTTTTGAACCGCTTTATTTTCGACGACGATGTTTTGTACCACGATGTTTTCTCTTTGCGATGTTTTGTAGCACGACGTTTTCGCCTTGCGTTGTTTTCTCCGCGACGTTTTCGTCCGCGATGTTTTTGCCGCGATGTTATCGGCCAACACCCTGCGAGATAGTATCTGTCTGAATGCCAAGCCAAACAGCTGCAGCCAAACGAACAGCCGTTCCTAAACTAAACGGTTTGTTACTAAACTGTTCTTTCACATTAAATGCAAGAATTTTTAATGCTTTTTCAGTTAATGGGAAAACTATATTTCCTTTCAGAGAAGGAAAAATACATTATTTTATATCTTTCAGTTACGGAAGAAGAGATGGATGTTTGTTCAGCAAGCGAGGCACTGTGTGGTCCTTACGCCGACTGTAAAAATAATAAATGTTCTTGCCGAGAAGGTTTCCAAATTTCCGAATATGGAGCAAGACAAGGGAAAACATTCACCATTGTGAGATGTGAAGGTAATGAAACTTCTGTGAAGTCTATCAAATATTCAAATATATCTACGAAAGAAACCTTATGTATGCCTTTTTATATCAAACATTTCTTTTGTAAAATTTATATGGTTGTTCATGGGGAAATGTTTTTTGCTAGAGCAAATACGTTATAGTCGTTGTTTAGTTAAAATTTGTACGCATTTGAAAATGTTTCAGTGCCAGAGACTTTCAAAAATTTCTACATACAAAAAGTGATTTAAAATTCAGTACACATTTGAAATATTTTTGACTAGTAGCTTCGCTGCCAGCGTTCGTCTGGCTTTTAAATGTACCGGAAAAATGGCTGAAGGGAACATCAAACGTTAAATTTAAAAACTGCGTATAATTTTACTCTGCAGAACAACTTCATAAAAAAAAGGGTACTTTTCCGTTTTGCCGGCGAAAGCGATAAAATCGCCAATAATGGTACAACCGATGCCAAACGGAATATTCTCGCTGGTAACCTTTTACGCCTCATTTTCAAAACAAGTCGCAGCTTTTTCTTATCAGATTGATTGTTTTCTTTCATACTGGCATATAATTACATAGAATTTTTATCAGATAGTTCAGTTTTATGTCTAAGGCCATTTTCGGTAATTAAGTCATTAGGATGCAATCACAGCTCATACCCGAAGCCGAAAATAGAAAAGGAAAGTCAAGGGTTAAATTCATCCATTCTAATGAGAATGCATTAGTGAAGTAAAGTACTGCAGTTTTACATAATTTCTGAGTAAGCTATTCGTACGCATTGAAATATTTCTTGCACTTAAACTTGTGTTCCAAATTAAGATTTAACTTGAAATTAATGTACATAATTACTGAGAGCATTAGATTTTTGTAGAGTAGTTTACGTGAGATGAGATCGCTTGGAGTCACGTGATATGAACCGGCGAATTAGGACGTTGAACCATGAAAGCATAGTAAATTCTTAAATTAATGTCTTTTTACGAATTTATTGTCTTTATTTATTGATTGGCTTTTTATAAAGTTTTAAGCGATATTAAAATGTTTATGCCTTCAAAAAAAGAATTCTTAGAACTAAAATTTTTTAAATATTTTTTATGTGTATACTGTATGTTGTCGCCAATAAAGTTTGCTTGGCGAGATTTGCGCCGGCGAAACGGAAAAGTACCAAAAAACGTTATTACGTATAACAAAATTACAATGAAATAAGCAATATCCCTTAATACAAATATTAATTATCCTAATAAAAAAATTAACCAACTTTCCGTTGAAGACAAAAAATCATGCAAAACTTTTCAACATCTTATAAACAGTGAAATAAGCAAAAAATAACATGAAAGCAACTCAAAAAAACATAAAATTCCGCGCAGAATTTTACTCTGCAGAACCACTTCATTAAAAAAATAAATAAAAATTTTTATATATATAAATAAATGAAAATAAAATATTTCAATCTCTTAAAAAAACAGTGACGTAAGAAATACGATAAAAATTGTTGCCAAACCCATATTTCTAAAAGAATGAAACCATTTAAAATGATGCGATTTCATCAAAAATCTATCAACAACAATAAGACGGGAAAATTGTTGCCAAAATCACATTTTTAAAGATGTGAGAAGTGTAGTCGGAAGCTTCATTTAATTTTTTTTAAATACAAAATATTATCATTTTTCCAAAATTCTTTTTGTAAAAGCAGTCGCAAGGATAAAAGTTTAACGTGTCCAAAAATCAAAGAAAAATAAACTGTACATTTTTTTAAAATAAACTTTATTAGAAAAAATCCCACTGAAAAGGTGTTAAGCTCCCTTTGTTAAATAAATTCGTATTTAATGGATTTATTGAAACACGAAATATATTTTAAGTTCGTAAAATAGCTAAAAACGTACGTGTCATGGCGATGTGAAAACGTAGTGTGTAGAGTAAAATCTCGCTTTCCTATAGCCCATTATGTCTCAAAATGACGCGATTTCTTCACAAAACATAAAATTAAAAAATTCGAATTCGAATTTCGGAAACATCGCTTCGAGGTGCACTGGCTCTTGTCTAGATGCACCTACCAAATTTCGTAGCCGTGGGTCTATTAGCTTACGCGCAAAGCGCGAGCGAAAGACACACACAATGACAGACTCTTTCTTTTATTAAATGTAGAGATTTAGTGAATTTACAGTTTTTAGCAACGCAGCTAGCGCAAAAACACGTAAGAAGCTCTTTATGCAAACTTGAAATGGAACTAGCTGTTACTCGGAATGCGTTGTAGTGCTACTTAAAGGAAAGAAAGTGTTTGTGTTTTAATTCTGTTTATTGAAATGCTTTTGGATATTTTCCGTCAGGTGCGTGCAGTTTCACTTATCTACCCACATAGCATTATTCCTGGTGCTTCATTTTTAAACTTGAGGGTCCTGCAATACATTATAATTTATCCATCTTGTCAACGACCACACTTGGATGTAGACTGTAATCATAATTAGCATCGTAATGGAATGCACCAAGATTTAAATCAGCGTGCAGTGTTCGTCTAGATCTAGCAGTGCGTACTCGAATATTGTCCAGTCTTGCTTTCCGTTGCTGGTTTGTTTCATACGAACGGGCTTGATTCAGTACGTACTCGAGCCTTTTCCAGTCTTGATTCCCGTTGCCAGTTTGTTTCTGAAACTTGTGATGCCCTTTTTGTTTCTCTTGCTTAAAGTGCAAATCGAGCAACCTATTTTCGCTTTAGTAGCATAACTGATTTCACAGCAAATGTAACGCTTTGCGACGACTATTACAAATTCACTTTCAAAAGCAAAGAAAAGGCGCGAGATGCATTAACACGCATGTTGATGCGTGCGTGTTATAGCGTGAAGAATTAAATATTTTACGCTTTGCTGAATGATAACACCTTTTGAAATACTTGTGTTTTAATTTGGGCAGTGGAACACATTTTTCTTAGATAGCCGAGGGTCTAATGAAATTCCAGACAAATTAATATAACTGCGTTTTCCCAAGTGGCAACACAACAAACACTCCTTCAACAACGAGTAGTTTATATCGCCGAATATTCTGATTAAATTTGAAACATCTTATGCTTCTGCAGATTGACAATGCAAAGCTTTCAGGTTTTAATTCACGTAAAACATATGTATATTGTATTCTTTTAAAACAGCGGACGTCGACCTTTCCAAGAACCCAGAAAAGAATTCTTTAAAGTTTGGTGACGATATATGTAGTAATGACTGAATGTATCGCAAACAAGCAAACGAACACACAAACAAGACACATTCTTCTTTATATATATAGATTTTGTCCACTAAACAATGCTATTTTGGCAGCTTCAGATTTAGAGATAGGTCTATTATAGGTTAACATAGCATTAACTAGTTTTGAAACAGCATTATTCCTATTACGAAAGACAGCCCACTAGCAGCCGAGCTGTGTAGTGGTAGATTTGTCAGGTAACGTATGTCCCTTCACTTGCTTCGGGAACATACTGTGTCTGAATAAGAACAGTGAGCTTACTAAAGCCCTGTTCCAGATTGTATGGAATAGACGACACAAGCAGGAAGGGTATACTAAACCCTTTATTCTCTATTACTTTACAGGCACTCCCGAACTTCGGGATACAGAGACCAACCACTTGTGGTCTGAACGTAAAAATATAAAACTACTAACTAAAACTCTAACTAAAAAGTTAAGTTTGAATTAATATACAAATGCCTAGCACTAAGACTGGCCTTTATTTAAAAGGGTGCGTATGTAGTACGCCGAGCTGCTGAAACTACAAAACGTTTTCAAATATCAAGAGGGCTAAACCTCTGGCCTTAAAGGCAAACAGCAACCGAGTGAAAAACTCGTAAGCCTGCAATGGCAAGCGGCTCGCTTCCCTAAATCTCCTTCTCTCTCTCACTCTTGGCAAAAAGCCACAACTTGGGCGTTAGCAAGACAATTTGCATAAACAAGTTAAAGCATTTAATTCTGGCCGGAATTAGAAATTAAGAAGTGATAGTACAGTTTTAAAATAAAAATAAACGTTAGTAAAACTTAGGATCCTTACAGATTAAGCATTAAAAAAATATTGCAAAAGCAAAATATAATACTATGATATTACGTAAGCTTAATTCATCCTTAATGAGTCAAAAATTGCTGCATAGGATTTCTTTAAACCAAATTACCATTGGAGAAATAAAGATCAGAGTGGAAATTGATCGGTTTTTAGCTTTCGGTAAGGCTTTGTGGGCATTCTAGTCTCAGATAATAGCTGTTTATTCTGTTTTACTAAGTTTATTTGATAAAATAATTTTACAATTTTTTTAAAAAATATCTTTGTGTATTACATAATGTGGTAATCAAAAAACATAGTTTTTTATTAGTTTTTGCCGCTTCGATTCTGAAGGCGACGGCAAACTCCAGACTAGTTTTCAGACTATATTCTGCAGAGATTTGGCTTTCCATCAACACCTGTATATATTCCTGAATTTAATTCAAAAAATGAGCTCGAAATTTACGGGACGCGTTACACGCCGGGTATAAAAATGATATACTTTAAAATAAAGAAAAAGATGAGAATACAAAAATTTGATTTCTACATGTCCCTAAATGATGTTATTGGCGACTCTGGCAATTTTCCATTACCCAGTTGGCAACACTTTCCTCTAGGATAGGCCATGTCGTTATTTCTTTCAACAAAGCACATCCATGTTTTGGCATATTTATTGTGATATCATTTTTCTTACACTCACGTATGGAGCAGTCGTTAATATCAAACATCCTTGTTGCAGCACGATTTCGCTTTTCCTTTGCAAATGGAATGACATTGTATTTGAAACCAGCACTATGTTTGTTTCGTTTCTCAGGAGCTGTATTTACTACTAAAATTAACCATAAATCAAATGTATTTCAGCTAAATCAAATGTGATTTACTAAAGCTTCGATGTTTCCTTCAAAATCATCGCTTCGAATGACTACAGAAAGAGAAAACATCTAATTCCTAATTCCACTAATCATTCGTATCTGAAGTACATTCGTATCCCAAATCATTTCCTCCTTTTCTAGAAACTCTATAACGACATTTTTATGCTCATTTGTATTGAATACAACTCCATAAAGCATTTCCATAAAGCATTTTTCCCGTACATATATTGTTCCCCTTATGTCTCTTATAGTGAGTTCAATACATCGTTGTTCGAAAGCCTATGAAAAGTCTTCGAATGCAAGACTTAAACGATAACAGCATCGCACATGTATCGAATATTCGGGTTTTTTCTTCTAACGAAAAGAGTGCAGGTTACACGGCGAATGTCTCTAAAATTAAAAATGTAGTTTGAAATTACAGGTGTGCGCTATACACCAATGCGCGTAATATACGTAATATCCCCTGAATATACGTTACGTATAATGAAAATACGTTATGTACGTATGAATGCCTGAATATACGTTATGTACACCAGTGCTATCGCCAGAATATACGTTACGTATAATGAAAATACGTTATGTACGTATGAATGCCTGAATATACGTTATGTACACCAGTGCTATTGCCAGAATATACGTTATGTATAATTACTGAGATTAAAAAGTTGTATATAATATTTCGTACACTGTTATTCATTTCATTCCTGTTTTGCATGAAATAAGAAAGAATATTTTTCACTTTAAATTATTAAAATTTTTGTTTTCAGCTCCGTGAATTTGGTTTCAACTTCTAATCAATTATTTCCCCCACCCCACCACAAATATCCTTAATTTTGCAATGAGTTATTAATCTAATTTCATTTTCTAAATTATGCAGATATTGATGAATGCAAAAAAGGTACCCATTCTTGTTCTGCTAATACAACGTGCCAGAACACAATTGGAAGCTACAACTGCATATGCAAACCGGGTTATAAGAAAAAAGATGAAAAAAAAGTGACTTACAAATATGAATTGAATAAAGACCCCTGTGTTGGTAAGAGAACTTTTTTTCTTTTCTGATTTTTAAAAACTACTGACAATTTTTTAAATCTCAGATATCGAACAATTTTAAAACATAAATTGAAAGAATGTTAAACATTTCTTAGTTGTTATCGCAAATGGTTATATGTATTTAAAAAATTCCATTTTAAAATAAAGACCTCACTCAATATAAAATAAAACTGCCTTCTGGAAAACCTCGTATTTTGCAGCATGTATGGATGAACTTATTTAAAAGGGAACAAATTCATAATGATATTATATCTACCTGCTAAGTATCTTCTAGAAAAAATCTTTATGAGCTTATACAACTTTGTGCACCTCTTAGAAAATTTCTTTTCTGAATAGCTTTTGTAATTAAGTCTTTTTTGTTTCGTCCAGTTGCGTTATGTTATGCTAGGCTATGTCCAAACGACCTGAGAATTGTTATCATTCTACAAGGCATAAAATCCTTAACTGATCATCTGTACCTCCTTGCAGATTTAAATTCTCATAAATGTTGCCATTCGACGAATCATAAGATCTTTAAGTTATTTTCAGTCTGAAACTTTGCTACCATTCGATTTATCATAAGACCTTTAATTTACTTATGCATTGCTTCTCCACAGTTCCATTAAAGTGAAGAACTGAGTATTAAAACTGTAACAGTTATGTTCCTGTTATTTTTGTTACTAACCATCCTAACCTGAACCTCAACTATATCACATCTACGAATTTTATAATGGCCATTTTTAAATTTTATCCTTACAAGGGCTGTCTTTGACTTAGCCTTTGGTCAACAAATAGATGATAATATAAGGTTTCTCACCCCCCCCCTCTACATTATATTATCACTCATTCGCAATTTATTTGATGGAAAACATTCAGGAGGACGAATCCTGTGTTTCCTACTCCTCTTCCTCTACTGCAACCTATCTAGAAGATTTCCAGCTCTACAAAATTCAGTGCCTTAGCTAAATGCTATACACCTCTCCGGAATTCGAACCCGGACGCACGGCTATGGCATCCGGCTTCCAAAAGACAGTTATACATTGCTTAACTAATTGAATAATTTAAAATCAATGTGTATCATTTTATTTTCTATACATGTGAAAATGTGAAAGTGTTAATTTCATTTTACTCTGGGAGATTTGCAAATAGGGTAAAGTTTAACTTGGGGGGAGCTTAGGATATAAAGAATGACTACAAGTAGAAAAGCAACTTTTATTTAAAAGAAAAATTTTTTTATACGAAAAAAAATAATAATTTCATTCATATTTCATGTAAAAAAATAACATGAAAAATAACTCTTTGATAATAATAAATGGATCTCTTTTTTATTGCGGTCATTTAAACATATCCAAGATTCAAATATTGTGACTTCATTTTTTTCCATTTTTGTTCGAATAATTGTTTCTCATAGAGAATTCTGCTTTCGGCGATATGTCGTGGAGAAAGACGATGCGCATTACTTTTTTTTCGCCTTTTTAAGATTCAAATCAGCATTAATCACTTTATTTACAGTTAACACTGTGCATTTTAATGATTATTCAGTTATCCTTTGATTTTGCAGTTAACATTAAAGTGCTTACCTAAAAACATTCTAAACATTCCAGTTTGTCCTCAGATGTGTATTTTGAACAATTTTTCTCCTTGAAGCCAAACTCTGGTCTTTTTTTTAAACCTTTCTTATTGATAATATTATCTATCGTTGCTTTAGATACAGAAAAATCATGGCTTTCGCAGCATTTTTAATAGCTAAATACGAAACATTTTCTTCGGAAAGAGCACGAACATAGCCTTCTGTCGATTGCTTCTTTAACAGTGCCATTTTGCATTAAAACAAAATTGTCACGCTGCAGACGATAATTTACATTTTGGAGAATATAGCTGCAGTTAAAAAAAATTTTACAAGTAGGTAATTTCTTCTAAAAAATGTGCTAACAATCTCTGTACGTATGTTACTAGGTATCCGCCGATAACATAGCGGCAAAAACATCGCGGACAAAAACGTCGCGGAGAAAACAACGCAAGGCGAAAACGTCGTGCTACAAAACATCGTGGGAGAAAACATCGCAAAGAGAAAACATCGCAGTTCTAAAACATCGTGCTACAAAACATCGTCATCGAAAATAAAGCGGTTCAAAAACTTCGCAGTTTAAAAACATCGTCGTCGAAAACATCGTGGTAAAAAATAAAGTATCTACAAATCATCGCATGAGGATAACTTCGCAGACATGCTTTTTTCAGGTTTTAATTATTGTAAATGGATATTCCCATAATGATTTGTGAGCGCAGTATGTAAAGAAGGATAATTTTTTATTTTCACATATTTTTATTAACTAATAAATGTTTGCTGAAAAAGTAAGAAGGAAACTTAAGCATAAAAAATTAAATGCAAATTATAGATTAAACTTTTCATGAAAAATTACCAGTAAAAACTTTATAAAAATGATTTATTAATGGCCTTTGTTAGTTAACTATGTCGGTTTAAAATTGTATTAAGTGCTATAAGTTGCATTAATTTTTTATGCTTAAGTTTCATTCTTATTTTCTCAGCAAAAATTTATTAGTTAATAAAAAGTATGAAAGTAAAAATTATCCTTCTTTCCATCTTGCGATCACAAATCAATATGGAAATATCCATTTACAGTTATTAAAGCCTGAAAGAAGCATGTCTGCGATGTTATCGTTATGCGATGATTTGTAGATACTTTATTTTTTACCACGATATTTTCGACGACGATATTTTTAAACTGCGAAGTATTTGAACCGCTTTATTTTCGACGACGATGTTTTGTACCACGATGTTTTAGAACTGCGATGTTTTCTCGTTGCGATGTTTTCTCCCACAAATGTTTTGTAGCACGATGTTTTTGCCTTGTGTTGTTTTCTCCGCGACGTTTTCGTCCGCGATGTTTTTGCCGCGATGTTTTCGGCTGTAACCATGTTACTAACAAGAAAGAATTGTTATTTTTTAGTTAAATCGCGAGAAATCCATGCGTATTAAAATGAAATTACGATAACCCGCATTTATATTCTTTACAAACTACTCTATGTAAAAATTGTACTGTAATATTCTATGGAAAAATAGTGCAAACATCCGTTTTTCTGTGGTTTTATAATATTCAATTCATTAAACTCCAAAAAAGGTGATACTGTAACATAAAATTTGATTACTTTATTTATTTTTAGTATATTGCTTTACATGCGTTAAATTTTAATATAAATTTATTTTGTATTTTTTCTTCTTGTATTCCTGTTTTAAATTATCCTATATGACATTGGTCCCATTGCGCAGGATAGTAGTCTGTTAAATTTGTTTTTGCAAATTTCAAAATACTTTGCTTTTAAATTTATCTATATTATAGTATATACTTTCTTACAGATCTGTGCACCCCAAATCCGTGCGGCGACAATGGAGTTTGCAGTATCAGTGATGATAAAATGTTTGATTGCAAGTTAGTTTCTACATTTCATAACTTTTAAATACTCGTAGCATTGCAATTTTTCACTCTGTCTGGTAAATAGTGCGTGATAACTGGCTTTTTTGCATCACTTTCTCTATAACTTGACTAGCAAAATCAAATTTTATTTTTTATATGTTCTTAATATTTAAATAATTGGAGAAACAAACTAAAGTACTCAAGTGTTATCGCAACCCCTTTAGCACAAGTCACCAAATTTTCAAATCTTGCCCAACTCTAGTAACCATACTTCTGACAACCATGCTCATAATTATCCTTCAGTGAAATAACGCCGCCGTTTCTGTTTGCATTCTTTTTTAGTGGATTCCAAGTTCCAACGGTTTTTATAAACAACACAGTGTTCTAAAGCAAGTCTTTTTGGCTTCAAATGCCAAAAATAGTTTGACAGAACATGATTATACGCTAGCTGTTTGAGCAGACGATATTTGGAGTGGCGGGAAACTTTCGTTTAAACTCGATATGAGGGAATGTGCCAGCAATGGAAAACATTTTTTATATGTTGTTAAGATTTAGATAATATGAGAAATAAACTGAAGTATTTACGTGTTATCGGAACCACTTCAGCGCAAGTCACCACATTTTCGAAAAGCGAACACATTTTAATCTCTGCGTGAATACAGAATACATAAGCATGAATACATAAAAATTTCTGCGGGAATACAGAAAATTCCTGCAATTTTTCTAAAGATAACAACGAGAAAATGCGTTTCCTAGATAGCCGCTGTTTCAGAAAGCCGGTTTCGGCAAATTTTTTATGTTTTCTAAGCGGAAACAGATCGCTGTGTACTTGGGAAGAAGAATAGCCTCAAAAAAAAGAAAAGATTTGAAGAAGAATGTATATATTTTACTTTTATAACGTATCATATAATTCTTATTTAATAACTAAAGTTTGTATTTTAAACTGCTAAAGTATGTTTCCTTTTCACATTTTGATAAAGTTCACCAACTTACAATAAATATCGATAGTTCGGGAATCGCTGTGAAAAGGAAGTCTCAAAAACCCCTAACTTGCACTCGATGAGTACATTTTACCTTTTCATGTGTAAAAAATCGCCAAATTGCGCCAAGGGGGTTGCGTTAATACGTAAGCACCGAAATTAAGTTATATCAAGTAATTTAAATCATCACAACGATGTATAAAGCAATTCGTCGAAATAATTTATATCTGTGTTTTACTAGACGCCAAACCTCTATAGCTTAAAATACCTAACCTCCATACACATGGTTTTTGTATTTGTATTTATTTCGATTTTATTCTATGCAAAAGAGATATATGCATTGGTACTATAGGCTGTATAATAATTTTCATTATTAGCAAATAAGAACTAATTCTGAAATAACAAACACCAATTACTTCAAGACAGAATCTCATTTCAAATTCTCTTTACAAATAGTTCAGAACAGCATCAAAACCAAATGCAAGACTCTGCACATAAGAAGCTTTAAATGTTGCACGTTTCTGTGAAATTCTTGTGTTTTTTTAATGTGAAGACTGTCGATGTCACACAAGATAATGAGAACCCTGTATGTTTTTGCAGAAGCAAATTTATCCTGCAGAGCCAATTTTCAATGCTGCTTCTATTAAGCTCAACACGCCTTTGAAACAGCCATCAATACCACGGCTTCTTATGATTTCACTACCAGCTTCATAATACCGAATACTTCATAATGCAGAAAGTTTATTCACACATATATATGCTTCTAAACTTGGAATAATTTCATTAAAGCCGTCAATTTATAGCACTTTTCTCTTAATTTATTTCTCAGTTTCCAAAGTTAACTATTTTTTTCGTCTTGATTTTAGAAAAGGCATTTAAGACTATATTCCCATAGGAAGTAATAGTAATAGTATAGTCAATAATAATAGTAATGCATTTTAAACTAAAACGATGGACCCCGCAAGCTGTCATTTCGTCACGTTTGGTTTAATGGCATCGGTATTGGAACTATGATTTGTTCTGAACGATTACATTATTTAAAATTTAATGTGCCTTGTTGCTGTGCCTTTGCTTAGAACTTTTTTAATTTTTTGCCTTTCAGAAATTGTGACTATATTTTAAATGCGTAAAAACGCCTTAAACGTAAAGCGTTTCACATCAATACTGTGTTGCAATTGTAGGCGACTCAATGCATTTTAATGTATAGTATAGAACTCAGGCCCACCAGCGGCCGAGCGGTAAAGTCGCTGAACACTGGTAGTTCGGTCCGAGGTTCGAATCCCGCGAACGGGCTGGCTGCATGGGCGTTTTCGTGGTTTTCCCCATGTGTAACGTGTATACGAGCCAGTTTCCCTTAGAAAGTCCTCCACGAAAGGCATCCCTCCCCTTAGGCAGATAGCCCTCGTGTGCTTTGCCATAATTAAATACACCAACACCAAGTATAGAACTCAAATTTTTAAATTATTCGTGCATGTTCTGTCTTCGTTTCGAATCGTTAGTTAAAAATGAAATCTATCAGACCTTAATTTGTGTGTTACGAAAGTAGCTTATGAAAAGGAATAATAGGAATATATTTTGCGAAATTAACTGATAATAAAACATAAAACTATAGATATACTATACTTTCTTTGCTTAGCTTATATTCCGAAGTTTTGCTGTACATGTTGTACAAAATAAACACTCACTGTTGTACAAAATAAACAATCACCTTAAATATTGGCAGTAATCTCCAGTTACAAAGTCTCAGAAAGTACGGTTCGGAATTTTATAAAACCTTGCTCATTGAAAGTAGTAATAAAAGAATAATATCTTTTTTAGAATTCGCCAAGAAAAATATAATTTTTATATAGTCACTGTAGAATAAGAGTACCAACTAGTACAGTGTCCGTTATGTTTTAATTTTAGAAATGAAGCATTCCATATTTTTATGCGTAAAATTCAACGACGTATGCGTGACAGAATTTTTACTGAATTAAAGGGCCAGGTAAATAAAAAATAGCTCAAATACGGCTAGGACTAATTTTTGTTTCACCGAAATCGTTATTGCGAATGAATGATGCTACAGGACACCTTTAAAAGCACTCCTCTTCAGAGTCGATACATTTTGCCAACGTTCTGGAAGCATTTTCATGCCCTTTTCAAGGAAGTTTTTCAGCTGGTTGGGAGTCCACTCTTGAACACTGACGGTAAGGGCATCTTTATTCAGAAACGGCATGTACATCTTATTGGAATTCAAATTGGGGTTTGAGACTGAAGTAATGGATCTACGTTTAATTGAGGTCACTATGGACTTCCTTAGTATTTAAACCTCCATTAAAGAGACCTGGCCAAAGAACGTCTATGTATTCTTTGACTAATATGTATACGTAAATAGAAATATACGTAAATGTGAATGAAAGAATATGTATACGTATTTAAAGAGTTGTAACTAGTTTTTCATTATTTTTATTTCTTTTTATTTTCATTTTCTATTAATATCATTTTTGACAGTATATTATTTTTGGTTAGTTGTGAATTTTTTGACAATTGTTTTGTAAACTAAAAGTCCATATGAAAGTTCTTTTAACTGTAACTCTCATTTTTAGGTGCAAAACTGGATACGAAGGAACTTTATGTGATAGAAATAATGTAGCATATGCCAGTAAGTTTGAGTCGAATTTTTTGTTCTTGGAACGTAATCTTAAGAAGGAAAATTTTCTTAAGAAGGAAAGTAATGAAATTAAATATAACTGCGTGAAATTCGTGTTTCATACTTTCCCACAGTATTGATATTTGTAAACTTTTAAGCACTTCAAACTGATTTTGACAAACATATATTGGGAAAAATTGCTATATAATTAAAATTGTTAAATTTTATGTATGTTAATACTAAAAGAACCTTTTAATTTGACATTATTTAAAATGTATTTTACAATTTCTGTAGCAACCAGTTTTTTAGTTAAAAAATTATTGACTGTAGGCTCTCTCTTTCAGTTTAAAGAGCCGCTGCTGTTTAATGCATAAAATTACTAACGGAAGTGTGAGGATGTTATAGAGCACATAAACGGAACAAAAAATTTTAGAAGCAGATACAGTGGTACCTTGATATACGAGTGACCTAATAATACTATAAATAATGTTTTGAGATACGAGCCGCCGAGCGAGCGATATTTTGTTTTGAGATGAGAGTAAGATTTGAGATACGAGGAATCGCACACTACACCGCTGCACACGACCGCCGCCTAAAAGTTTCTCCCACCTCAGACTAGACCTCAGTCTGTGTGCTTGTTTCCCTCGTTTTCGAAGCATTTTTGGTAAGTTAGGTTCGCGTTTTTTGCTTTTTGTACATTTACAAAACATTATCATATTTATTTTATAAACCATGGGTCCAAAGAAGAAGATTATGTCTATTGAATTAAAAAGCGTGAAATGAATTAAAACCATGAGCAAGGTGTGCGAGTAATTGACTTGGCGATGATGTACGGTCGTAGCACATCAATGATATGTACTGTGCTTAAACAGAAGGATTTGATAAAGGGTATAACGCCAGCTAAAGGCCGTTACAATAATTTCTAAGCTCCGGGACCTCTCTCCGTGAAAGATGGAGAAACTACTGATGGTGTAGGTGACAGAGAAACAGCTTCAAGGAGGAACCTTAACACAAAGCATCATGTGTGAGAAGGCACGAGTGATTTACAGGATTTGCTGAAAGCAAGATTCCACAAACGAGGAATCGGAAGACTCGTTTAAAGCCAGTCGGGGCTGGTTTGACAACTTTAGGAAAAGGACCGGCATTCACTCCGTCATCAGGCATGGTGAGGCAGCAAGTTTGGATGTGAAGGCAGCTGAGGTTTACATCAAAACGTTTTCCGAACTGATAGAAGCCAAAGGATACATCCCCCAGCAAGTCTTCAACTGTGACGAGACAGGGCTTTTCTGGAAAAGGATGCCGAATAGGACTTACATAACGGCAGAGGAGAAGACGATGCCAGGTCACAAACCCATGAAGGATAGATTAACTCTAGCACTTTGCGCCAATGCGAGTGGCGACTGCAAAATCAAGCCTCTGCTAGTATACCATTCGAAAAATCCCAGAGCCTTTAAGTCATATAAGATTTTAAAAGAAAAACTGCCAGTTATGTGGAGGGCAAATCCGAAGGCGTGGGTCACCAGGAAATTCTTTGTGGATTGGATAAACCTGATGTTTGGCCCTTCTGTCAAAAAATATCTACAGGAAATTACCTACCCATGCAAGCCCTTCTCGGCCTCGACAATATTCCTGCTCACCCACCAAATCTCGAAGAATTCAAGTTTATAAAGGTTCTCTACCTACCACCCAACACCACTCCTATCCTGCACCCCATGGATCAGCAGGTGATTTCTAATTTTATGAAGTTGTACACCAAGCACATTTTTCGGGCTGATTGCTTTGAGGTGACGGAGAACCCAAACCTTAGCCTTCGAGAGTTCTAAGGACCACTTCAACATGGTGATATGACTAAGAATTATTGATCAGGCCTGGTTGGTTGTTACAACGAGGACCTTAACTTCTGCATGGAAGAAGCTGTAGCTGAAAGGGCCTTCGAAGGATTGGAACCCGAAGTGTCAGTGGTAGAGGAGATTATTTCTCTGGGAAAATCCATGGATCTGGAGGTGGATGAGAGAGATGTGAATGAGCTCGTCGAGGAACAGTCTCAGGAGCTGACAACCGAGTAGTTACACGATCTACATTCGCAGCAGCATACGGTGTTTCAACGAAAAATTAGTTTTGAAGAGGAGCCAGAGATGGAGGAGGTTATCCCTATAAGAGATATAAAGGAGATCTTAGGAATGTGGGAGAAAGTTGTAGAGTTCGTGGATAAAAAACACCCTGAAAAAGTTGCAACTGGTCGTGCATCGGAGTTGTTCAACGAAACTTGCCTAACTCATTTCCGCACTATACAGTGGTAATAATGGGGACATCTGTATCTACTTTAAACTCTTCATTAATTAATAAAGTAGTCTCAGAATGTAATGTTTCCTCACTGCGCTAAACAAGAACATCAGTCTCCTGAATTAACAGGTGGATAAACATGTACGGATGCTAGAATAAATTTTGAGTGTCCATTAACAATTACATCAAACGTACATATATATCATCTGCTTCTGGATACTGTATTCTTTTACGCTGCTTAACAGTAAATTCTATTAGTGCACAATCTGCCACACTCGTCAAATTTTTATAAATCGCGACACTACTAGCTTGGTGAAATACAAAAAAATATAGCAAACATGACGCAAACACACTGACACTGTCTACCAGACGACCTTGCTGCTCAAACACGGTCGCGCATGCGCACGGAGCTTTGACTTCCCAACTATACAATGCGCATATTTTTCGGATATGCTATGCGTATGCGTTATATGCGGATATACTATGGGTATATCCTTCGTCCCATTTGTTTTTAAAGGTTCAAAGAAGCAATTTGCCCAGAAGGACTATTAGTTTCGTTTTGGCATTTTGCGTTAAACGTTATAAACGGCGAATCACTTTTCAAATTGTTGCCATCAAATATTATCGCCCTGTATTATATTTAAAGAAATTAAATAATGAAAAATGTCCATGAATTCACGTAGGTTTCTCGCATTGTGAAAAAAACAGTGGTACCTAGAGATAACAAATTTTGAATAACGTATACCTCCACCCGAGTACGGGCACCTGGAAGCACGAATTTGAAATTTATTTTATTGTCTCTTTCATATTTTGTAAAACTTTAACGAATTTTTTATTAACAAACAGAACAATTTCAAAGCGAGCAATGACAAAACTGTACGGAATTAAAAAAGAATTTTATCTCCAGCGCCGCCAGACTATCTATCGAAAACTCTAAAAATATGCTTTTTTTATATAGAGAATTATAGCTTTCAAATATCGCCATCGAAATTTTAATTCATCTCATAAAAATACTTTTAGCTAACAACATACTAAACTCAGTGGCGCAACAGCCCCAGTGGGCCAAGGCCAGCACTGCCCCGAAATCTGCTTTGTTGACCGTGGGTGCCCGCGGTGCGTAAGCATATGCCTTGAACAGAAGAAGCATACATAGTTAAGAAAATAATAACATTTCAAGTTATTATTTTCTTAACTATGTATGCTTCTGAGAAATATTATTTTAAACTTCGTTAGTGAGAATTGCGACAGGTTTTGGTAATCTGAGAGTCGGAAGTCATGCATTTTTTAAGCCTAATAGCATTTAAAAAACTGAGACAAAAATAACTTTCTACAAGACATATCTAACCGAGGAATTCAATTAAACGTGCCGACAAATCAGACTATTTCTCTATTTAAGCAATTTGACCATACAAATGAAGTAATTTAATCAAACAAAATTATAAACAAGATCTGTTAATCATATAGACTCAAATCTTCTCTTTATTTTCAAAATGATACTGTATACACAGCAGTATAATTTATTCTAGTTAATCTTTTTTACACAAATATTGTTTTAAGAACTTACAGTAAAACTGTAAGATATATACAGTAAATTTATACAAAAATACTATATGATATATATTTGATTACGAGTATTATGCGTTTAACTGACTGTATGATGCTAAAATATTGATGCTTTTAATTTCAGATGCTAAAACGGCTACTACAGTGGTCGGTGCTGTATTGGGAGTTATCTTGGCCATCTGTCTCATTGCATTCTTTTTATACGTCAGAAGGTAATACTTACGTGTATACAAAACTTTGTTACTAATTTATCCAATTTGTTCCAAGCGATTTTATTATAGCGTGGCGTAACATCATTTATTTTTAATTATATTTCCAACTAACGAAGTAGTAATTATGTTAAACAATAGCCCTAATATTACAAAAACAAAACCTCCTTCTAGGACACGTCTGTTTCAAATGCAAAAACGTTATTAACGAGTCTCCTAGCGTTCGGTTGTGAACTAAAATGAAATAATTCTCGGAAAGAGTTTCTATAAAACAAATAGAACGTTTATTAAACTCAACGTTAACGTAGCATAAAGCAAAAGAAATAAAGGGAGGTGATCAATTGTTCCATGTGATACACGGTAAAGCCACTATTGGGCATTTTTGAAGAGTAGCATTACAAACATAACAGCGTGACTCTCTGTACTACCAGTCAGCAACTTGGTCTCGCAGCTTGGAATCAACTGCAAAGAGAAATAAACGCACCGCTGTCCCAAGCTACACTGCAATAACAGGTATAATACCATATGTCTACAAAGCACACTGCTCCATCTACAAAGTAACATCCATTGGAATACGGCTTACCAGTGGCCGAGTAGTAAAAGCCGCTGAATATTGGTAGTTCGGTCCTAGGTTCAAATTTTGGCGAACTGGCAGGCTATGAGCGTGTTTGTGGTTTTCCCATGTATTACATATGTACGAGCCAGTTTTCCTTAGCAGGTCCTCCACAAGGATCTTTCTCCCTTAGGCAAATAACCCTCGTGTGCTTTGCTGTAATCAAATATACCAAACCAAATAAACCATTAGAATACTACATACGTCCAAAGTTTCTTACGCTTCTTTAAGCATTAAACGTAGATAAAATGTCTCTTTTTATACCTCTGATAGATTGACCTTCGCAACATTTAGGATAGTTTGAATAATATCAAAATGTCCATTCTCTAGAGCTATCTTGAAGCGAGAAAACAGCGGCAACAGAAGGTGAGAAATCTAGCATATAAGGTGATTGATTCATGATAATTTTCTGTTCAGTTGTTTCTGTTTCTGATAAAAAAATGATGCTGTATCGATGCTCATTAAAGTGGATTCTTACGAAAACTGCTTTTGAAAGTAGAACGATTAGTGGATATGAACTTGTCTTTGCATGCTAAGTAACGCAAAATCTTTTCTCCTCGGACAAGAGACAGTGTAAACCTTAGTTTCTCTTTATACTTCGATAGGTTTATTTGCATATATTTAGCATTTTACCTGTCGCTAATCTCTAAAATTATGTCATTCATTTTCGGAAACCGTGTATAAATATTCTCCATTAATTACTACTTGTTATATTATAATTAAATATATAAATATTATTATATTATAATTATATTATTAATTAAATACTTATTATATTTCTTTACTCTAGGGTAAGAAAGAATTCCGATTCTGAAGATTTTAGCCCTGTGCCAACAAGACAAGACAATGCAGAAATGGTAAGTTTATCTTCGTGATTTTAAATTTTTTTCCTCTTGTAATGTGTACTGGCAATAATAGGAGAATTTTTATTTTCCTAAAAATTCAATACCTATACGACACTTAAAATTGATGTTTTTGTTTACCTTTCAGTGTGTGGACTTTAAATTTAGAATATTTTATTTCCTTGTTTCATATAATTCTCATATTCTGTGCATTTGTAAGAATTTTTTTATGATAATAGGGATAATAATTTATTCTAATGCTTCTTTTTTATAAATTTTTATAGACCGAAAGGAGGCAATCAGAGGTGCAACGAACAGAGGATATCAATGAAAGATAAGAGTACATTAGACTGCCTGTCTGAGACGTGGCATCATGTATAATACTGTACCATAAACCTTTTTTTTTTCCTTTATGGACTATATAAGATCATCGAAACTGTTTCATAACACTTAGAAGCGCACTTATCTATTGCATCTGCAACAAAAAATTTCTTCAAACGTAATGCATAGATACGATTCTGCTCAATCAAGACATCAAAAATTGTTTGAATCAAAGGTTTTATAGTATTTTAATGTAATTCTTATTTCAGTATGTTATATTTATGATACTAATATATTTTACTTCTTATGTCACCTGTTTCATATATGTGTGTAAGTCATTTTCTTGTTTATCATCAAACATTGTAAATTTTTTCTTTAAAATCTGTATTTCAGAATTTTCAATAAAACATAATAACTCTTTTAATTCATTTTTATTTATTCGTTTACAGTTACATAGCATATAAATTTCTATAAAACAATGTAAATTATAAATTCTTATAAAACACTGCAAAATATCTTCAAAAAACATTACAAAACTCTGTTATTCAAATGATTACAAATGTGATTTATTAAGTGGAAAGGCTATTAATTTCAATATCTTTTGCTGAAGATTTGCATTTCTTAAACGAGGCATAAAAAATAAACACATTTATGTCATCTTATGTACTCTAAATTTCCATTTTAATAGAGTAGAATTTCAATAATCCGATATAAAAATGTTTAAGATTAATTATATATTTTTACTGTAAACTAATAGTTAAAATTATTTTAATATTAATGTGCAACAGAACTCCTAATTATCCGGATAATTTCTTTTTTATCTTTATGAAATACACAAGTTTTTTTAATAATTATTTATGCTTTTTGACCTTACTATTAATTTAAATTATATAAAAAGTACATATTGTGCAATACGTATTTTTTAAAATCTACTAAATCTATTTTTATAAAAGCACGTGACATGTAGGTTAGCTAATAACAGTGCATTTCATATCTTATAAATTCGGAGAATCCATAAAAATATTTGTCTATTCAAGGAACCCATAAACCATTTTGCTACTTGAGTAAATACACAAAATCGGCATCTAAGGACATTAAACAGACTTTGAAAAACGACCCAAGAAAAATAGGATAAAATTGACATTATGATACTAAGAAAATTTTTACTTTCATTCGAGCTAGATCTATAGCCAGGTATCAAGGCCATTAGAAAGAATCAAACTGCTTCAAAACCTGCACTTTTAATGCATAGAAATTAATTATCAAAATCGTTTGCATTAACTGTGAACGATCTTCTTTTTTTTTTTTTATTTATTTATTTTACTCGTGAGAAATTTTTATTTATTTTATTTGTGTAGCAGTAAATTTTATCTCTTATTTTAACCAAATGAAATATAATTTCTTCCTTAATTTACTATAGAAAAGGTAAAAACAACTCTATGCCTTTTCTTCTAAATATGCAATAAAAATACGTAATATAATAATAACGCGAGTAAATAAATTCCATTTCTTGATTTTTTTAAGCTTTCTTTGAAAGGAATTGTATGTTTATGCAAATAATTAACTTCATTGTATAATTACCTAAATAATCGTTTGACGTAACTTGTTTTAAGTAAAAAATAAACTTTATTCTTAAGAGTACAATGTAAATGAGATAAAATAAGACAAAGGAAATAAAATTACTTTCCTTGCATTACAGAAAAGCCAAATAATCGTATCTAGATGGGCTGTGGTCGGAGTTAAATCGGATGTTTGAAATTCTACTACATTTATCGATTATGACATCAAACATATTGACCTTCTGCTCATATTTAAGAGGCGTAAAGTGTTTTTCAATCCCTAATTTGCTATCACCAGTATATTTTTCTGGTAAAAATACATTTAAATGTTCATACAGCAATGAAAAATCAGATGTGCTAATGAAGAAAATAAGTTAATTGCCTGCTTTGCCAGCTGGGAATTACTTACGATGACATTCTTAGTTTACATTTTCGTATCTCCATGAATAATATGCATGTAAATGTGTCTGTACAAATTCTTTGTATAAATAAAGTCACTAAAAATGTATCACAATTCTAGCGAATGTTCCTCCTTGTTTTGAAATTCCAGACTTGCAGAATCAGCATTATAAAGTGCATTTTCAAAACTTACACTTTGCCCCCGCATTTGGATTTCGTTTGTCCTCTTCCTGAGAGGTTTGTAGTAAATCACAGCTGCCACAATTGCGATGATCGCAAGAGCTGCACATACTAAGATGCCCGTTAGTGCAGCACTTGATATTTTGTTTTCAGAATCTGCGGAGAAAGATCAGAATCAAAATTAAACTCGGAAAACTGTAAAGCAACATACAATGAATTTTGTACTCTAATTTATAATATATATTATATAAAGTTACTATTTCAGCCTTTGCCTTGAACATCTTTAATGTTTAGTTTTCAAGCAAGCTCGTATTAAGTACTCTAAATTCCTGAGTCGGTGGTAGAATAAACTTATCCGGTAAAATTCCCAAGTAGCCTAAAATTCTTACGTCACAGAAAAGAATTTTGACTGGTTATAATTTGAACTCTGTAATTTAGAAATTATCATCGTTAAGGATCCAGGAATTATTAGATGTGATTTATGGCAGATTTTTTCCTGGCTAAATTTCGTAATTAACAGTACTACCTCAAACACTCTAACGGATCAAGAACAGAACAGAACGCCGCCAGAAGGATTTATACTTCCTAACTCCCCGAGAGATATTTTATACTTGCTGTAAACGGAAACTGCTAGATTTTAGGATGACAATATGCAATTCATTTTACAGCATTCATTACAGTACATATAGCACAATTCTATTAATTAACTTGGCTGGCCACTTAGCTGCTAAACTTTCTTAGCAGCTGAATGATGCAAAGACTCATTGAGGTTCAAGCTGCTAACCAGCGATTTCATAATTCAACCAGCGCTTTAAGATTGAACCAATGCAATCTATTTAATTTAATACGATATTGATCACAGCCTTTGAACAACCGTTGTCCTAATCTTTCTGAGTCGTTGGAAGAGCAAAGACTCAGACTGCCATTACGCTCAGGCCATTGAGCAGCGATTTCGTACAAACCAGCGCAACAGCTTGATTCAAGATTCAGACAAAAATACGAGATTGTAAAATTATGTCCCCATAAACTTCTACAGCCTTTCATTAAAATTCACAAAAAGCAATACCATCGGTACCTACATGCTATCCCGTATATCGGGAAAGTGAGATGGCATTAAACAATGAAAACTGGAGGAGAATTTTCAAAGTTTCACCAATGGGGGGACCCCGTTGCTGGAAAGATCCCCATAAAACCTGCTAACACAAATACTGAATAACTATCATTTATTTAATTAAAATTAAATAATTAAAATGATTTAGAAAACAAAACATCCCAAAACTAATAAAGAAATCTTACATCTAACAGATAAACATATGTATTGAGTATTGAATTATTTGAAGATTTTTATGCCCATGGAACGGATTTAATTTGCCGCTATATAGATTAATATGTAAAATCAATACATTTATTGAGAATATACTTATATTGGTGATATAAATATAGTACTTTTGGTATTGCTATAAGTTGTAAAATGCTATCATTTCGGTGGCTAACTTTTTAATTTATGTCGTCATTACAAATTTAATAAATTTGACATAACCTAATTCAGTTACGAAGAAGGGGGAGGAAAACATTTAACTTACCTGCTGTAAATCTTGCATTTTCCGGTATTACTTCTATTTCGTCAACTTTAAATGAAAAAGAAAAATATCTTTAATATTTGTGTAATGTAATGAATGCATCATCGAAACATATAAACAGAAACATTTGCATTACATGTATCTGAAAACAGTATTTTTTAATAGTATATTCTCTGAAAATTTTATATCTAAGTTATGCATTATACTTTGTGTTCTAGACAAAATAAAAATAGATTAATTTCTTACTTTAATCATATGCTAAAATGCAATTTAATGCTTTTTAATTTTAGAATATAACAATAAAAATGAGGGGTTTATTGACAGTCTGTATAGTAAATAAAATTTGCAAAATAAATAAAAAATATTAAAAAGTCTGAAAAATTTCAGATTTTAAAAGTCGCCCAAAAGTGTTTGTTAAGGTATTTTAAGCTCTCGCTTAGCTCGCAGTCTACCAGTCTGCTGTTACACTTATTCATACTAACAGTTTTTTTTTTTTTTCGTCTTTTTAGCTTACTATTAAGCACCATTTTCTTCCCACGTACTTCATATACAATTCAACAGCAAAATTACAGTAATTTTAAAAGAAGCATACAAGAATACGTTTAGAAATCCAAATGCAACGTTAAGTGTTCTCCTACGTTTTTCGGTTTTTCTCAGGCTTTTTTCAGTTGATCATATCAATGTCCAATTTTCTTCCTAACATGTCTCTACAAAACTGATTTTTGTCTTTTTATTATTAATGTTTCGTATGTTTGCTTTATTTAATAAATATCACCTTCTTGGCGCTTACGCCACATTAAATTCGATTCAACAGCAAAATCACAAAATATTCAAAAAGAGCATATCTTTGCAATTCCCGATATACAGTCTCGTGCACTGGAGACAAAAATGTGTTTCCCGTACAGTGTTGCTGCTTCTCCCTTTGAAGTCGCTGAGGGTTTAAACCGAAAATTAAAAACCTTTAAAGTTTTACAAAATATGAAACAGATAATAAAACAAATTCAAAATTCGGATTTCCAGGTGAGCATGTTCGGATGGAGGACTACCTTATTCAAAATTTTCTGGCTCTAAATACTGTCGTATTCCCACAGCGCGAGAAACATACATACATTCATACAGATTCTTCATTATTAAATTTCGCTAAATATAATACAGGGTTACAGCCGAAAACATCGCGGCAAAAACATCGTGGACGAAAACGTCGCGGAGAAAACAACGCAAGGCGAAAACGTCGTGCTACAAAACATCGCAAAGAGAAAACATCGCAAAGAGAAAACATCGCAGTACTAAAACGTCGTGGTACAAAACACCGTCGTCGAAAATAAAGTGGTTCAAAAACTTCGCAGTTTAAAAACATCGTCGTCGAAAATATCGTGGTAAAAAATAAAGTATCTACAAATCATCGCATGACGATAACATCGCAGACATGCTTTTTTCAGGCATGCTTTAATAAGTGTAAATGGATATTCCCATAATGATTTGTGAGCGCAAGATGGAAAGAAGGATAATTTTTACTTTCATATTTTTTATTAATTAATAAATTTTTGCTGAGAAAATAAAAAGGAAACTTAAGCATAGAAAATTAATGCAACTTATAGCACTTAACAGAATTTTAAACCGACATAGTTAACTAACAAAGGCCATTAATAAATGATTTTTATAAAGTTTTTACTGATAATATTTCATGAAAAGTATAATCTATAAATTAAATTTAATTTTCTATGCTTAAGTTTCTTTCTTACGGTTTCAGCAAAAATTTATTAGTTAATAAAAAATGCGAAAGTAAAATTTATCCTTCTTTACACCTTGCGCTCACAAATCATTATGGAAATATCCATTTACAATTATTAAAACCTGAAAAAAGCATGTCTGCGATGTTATCCTCATGCGATGATTTGTAGATACTTTATTTTTTACCACGATATTTTCGACGACGATGTTTTTAAACTGCGAAGTTTTTGAACCGCTTTATTTTCGACGACGATGTTTTGTGCCACGATGTTTGTTTTAGAACTGCGATGTTTTCTCTTTGCGATGTTTTCTCCCAAGATGTTTTGTAGCACGACGTTTTCGCCTTGCGTTGTTTTCTCCGCGACGTTTTCGTCCACGATGTTTTTGCCGCGATGTTATCGGCGGACACCTAATACAGGGCGATAATATTTGGAAGCACTAACTTGAAAAGGGATAAGCCGTTTATAACGATTAAACGGAAAATTCCGTTTCCGGACTCATGTATCTCATTCAGGACTAATGTCTTTTTTGGGCCTAAAAATTAAGAGATGATGAAAATTAAGTACGTTTACTAAGTACGATGAAAGAAAAAATTTGTATATGCTACAATTAGGGGAAATCTGCTGATTGTATGATTTAAAATTTCCCAGGTATCACTTTACCGAAAAATTAAAATAGGTATTAGTGTTCCTGGTCTAAAGGTATCTTTTCTAATCTGACGAGATCTCAGATTGCCCATCAAATTGTGATGTTCCAATCTTGTATTTACAGCTAAATGTGTGAAACTTTAAGAAGTGGTGAGCAAATAATCGCTTAGTTCAGAAAGATAGAAAAGTGAACTCACAAAGGGTTAATTACCCTTTATTGCTCAAATAAAGTTTATAGTCGGTCCTCTCTCAGGACATACACAAAAGCCTCTACTTGGGCTTGAACTCAGGAATACTAAGAAATAAAACTTAACTAAGAAGATATAGCCGAAGCTATCACAATTCTACAGGAGTAGGCCCCTTAACGTTAACTAAACGGCGAATCTATCAAAGGCCTGAAATACGGCCTAGCGTAGAAATAGCTTAGAAAAAGTGTAGCCTAAAAGACGAACGCGCGCTGGTCAGAATCTCTGGCTCTCTAACGAAGTCAGTAGAACTTCAACTTAACATTAACCACGATTCTGGAAACACGTTCTGACAGGAAATTGTAAGCTGAAATTAAGAGGGATAGGAAAGTAGCTTTTTAACTCAAAATTAACTGTTAAAAACTTAGGATAAACCTTACATTGTAAATGCTTTTTATAATAATTAAAAGGCTTGTTGTAACAAACAAAACAATTGAAATTAGTGTTGTTAATTTTCCTAAATCTCTCACGCTTATTAAATGGCAGCAAAATTATATAAAGAAAGGAAACTGGAGGAATATACAAAACCATCACCTAACATTGCTAAAGATATACGAGTACATACACTTTGTTAGTTATGATAAATTAATGCATCCCCATGAGAGCAAATGCTCCACAGTAACTAAGGAAGTAGTGTAGATGCACATAACAAATTACATCCCAGATACGCTGCACATTTTCTGACCAAGATTTAATCTCTTACGCTTATTAAATGGCAGCAAAATTACATAAAGAAAGGAAACTGGAGGAATATACAAAACCATCACCTAACATTGCTAAAGATATACGAGTATTTACGCTTTGTTAGTTATGATAAATTAATTCATCCCCATGAGAGCAAAAGCTCCACAGTGACTGCGGAAGTAGTGTAGATGCACATAACAAATTACATCACAGATACGCTGCACATTTTCTGACCAAGAGTAGCTTCTACTCAAACAATCCTAATCACAAAAAAAATCTAATTCTTATCCCGAATGTGAGAAAAGTCTGGCATTTCATCTTCAGCATTGCAGAAAGAAACAAACGGGAAACCATTTTTAGGTTTGCTCAGTTTTGCCAAAGAAATAAATACAGCAGTTGATTTGATAGCACAGTTTCCGAAACGGTTGGGATTTCAGTCATGACAATTTTCTTGCTTAAATGTTATTTCATACGTTAGAACTCTGCAATTTTGCGGACAAGTATTTGAATTCGGTACTTGATTTAATATTCCACAAATCAAAAACCACAGTAGTTATAGTTCAGTTTCCATTAATATTTATGCTGTTTTATGTACTTTCAGCTCAGTTTCCATTAATTATTATTAATACTGCTATAATATTTATAATATATATTCAATATTTATGCACGGATATGCTAGTATCTGCCTATGTTCAACGGAATGCAACACCAAACAGGCCACAAATTACAATAGTATTATTTATGGAAGCGGGTATTATATGATGCATTATAGAAAAGACTGAAGTAATACATTCTTTTATACTTCGAAAAGGACTCGCTAAATTTAGTACTTCGTATGCCCACTTTTAGTGGTTATAAAGGATTGCAGAGATTGTTTCAGTGGTTAACAAGGATTGACAAGTCATCGATAAAGATCTGGCTGGTTCTCTTCTTCTATGGAATATCGGAGGCAAACATCTGCCCTGATTAAAGCCTTTCAGGAATCCTTCTATGGAATGTCACTCGAAGAAAATTCGACAGTATGGAGATAACAGTTGTGAGTAGTGGCATACCAGGCAATCCTACGAATAATCATATTCACGTCTGGCTGAAGGGATCAAATCAGGGAAAGGCAAAATTGGTAGACGCAATACGGTAGATACGTTGGACATTGAGCGCGATATGATGGTAACACTAAGGTTAGCTCTGTACCTCTAAGAAGGTCTGTACACTAAGGTTAGCTCTGTATTTAAGGTTAGCTCTGTACCTCTAAGAAGGTCTGTACACTAAGGTTAGCTCTGTATTTAAGGTTAGCTCTGTACCTCTAAGAAAAGCTTCATAGGAAAGGTAGGGCTTCAGGTTCCAAGGCTTCACTATTCACATGGTTCTTGCGATTCAAGAAAGGTGACAAGTAGAATAAAGTGTTAAAATATTATGTTTTATTGATATTGAGAAAAGTTCTTATATTTCATTAAATTTAAATCATGTCGTCATACGTAAATATGTGTCAGACGTTTTTGTTTCCTAATTTGGCAACAAAAATTTATTTACGAATTGGTTGCTGTTTGGACATTCACACTGAAATGTTTTTATACATTTTCTTTTCAGGTGTAGGTATAGAACTTATAAATTTTGCTTTGGCTACAGTTCATTTCATTTGGCAGGCTTGCTCGCTAGTATCTGCATAAAAGCTGCAACATAAAAGGAATCGTTTGAAATAAATAAATAAAGACCAGACATAATGAGTAATTCACGTGATATATGAAAGCCTTAATGTTTGATTGCCGCAGTACTATAAAACATTCAGGGAAATCTTAACTAGTCTGAAATCGATTTTGCGGAATTACAACAAAATATTCAGGGAATTATTTAACTGCTCTGAAAATGATTTATCGTTAAAATGATTTTCATTAAATCCTGAATTTTTAGCTAGACGTAACATACATTCGATTAAACTTTAATAGATAAATTTTAAATACAGAGTATATAACCTCTTTAAATATAATAATCACTTCTTAAATTTATGAAAGATAGTGAGTATAGAATATCTGGAGTTTAATTTAACTTTTTGAAATCCAGACACTTCGCTAACCTGTATCCTCAAAATACCGAACCGCCCGAAATACTTTTCCAGCAATTTCCTCTCTTTTCCGTCCATTAACGCAGAAAATAGGTGTGAAGATTTCGAATGACATCCTTTGTACTTTCTAACAATGATTTCATTAGCCTTTGACCCCGTTCTTTATAAAATTATTCTGAAGGTCAGACCAACTAGCCTTTCTGGCTTTGTTATGATCACGACTGAGATTTTGTTTATTTCCGTTATTTTTATAGGAAGGAATAAATTGATTAAAAATAAATATAATCCTTAAATTTTTAAAGTGCATTTTTATTGCTGTTTAAAGCTGATAAGCACTGTGTACCACAAAAGAATCAACAACGAAATGTCACGAGCAACCAAAAGATAAGAAACCTCGTAGGTCAAGCTGTCTGCAGTAAACTGATACAATGCATTTGGGGAAATTGCACCTGCTACTGCATACCGTAGGGGGAGGGAAGAAAACAGGATTACAATCTTGGCCGATTTCGGGCGGTTCTGGTTCTTTCAATGTGTTGCCGTGGGGGGGGCGGACTGGTTGTAAAAGAGTTAACCTCTTAAGAACATACTAATGCCTTTATAATTTTCTCAAATAAGCCACATTTTCTACATCTGTCAATGCTGGGAGAGATATTTCGCTTAGTCACATTTTTTTGTAGATATTTAGTTATAATATCTTACCTTTTTTGGAAGCGCATAGGAAATGGCGTTGAGCGTGGCAATCTACCACCCTCCACTTCATGGTAACTGGAGACATTTCGACACATTCATCTTGTCCATTTTCTGGTTCATCAAGATCCCAATTCACAAAGTCGACTGGACTTTTATCTGACCACTCAAATCCACCTAAAAAAAAGCAACGAGGATACATTCGATTTTTAAATGAGTATAGCACCAGTACTGAGGTAAAACTACTTATTACAAATAATAAGACATTCGCAATTTCAAATATAATGAACCCATCTCCTAACAGCCACTTCGTTAAAGCGAACTTCAAAAAGAGACCATCATTTCTGCAAATGTAAATGAACATCGTAATTTCAGTTTTAACACTGTTCCTTAAGATGACCACTTCCGAAGTCTAACTGAGAACTTCTTATATTAAATGTCCAGTTTCGCTATTTAAGTTAATATATTTTACGTTCTAAATAAATCAACGAGTTACATTTACAGTTCTTGCTATAACAGCTAATTGCTATAGGTAAATGGAGTTTCTGTGATTTCATCACCAGGTGAAATTCCATAAAATTTTATTTGGTCCTTGTTTAGTTATTAATCTCTTATGTCCATAATCGTTTGTTTAAAACCATTGTCTTGCTGACAAAAGTAAAGAATATGTGCATATAGGGTTGAGCAATGAATCGAGCTATTTTAAAAACCTTATTAAAAGGAAATGATGAAATTTCTTTGGGTGAAACAAAATGGATTACAAACTAAACATAAAAGCATTTACTTATTTGTGAATTTAAGGTACTAAACGGAAAGTAATGTTGCACAAACAAAAACACTGTTCTTGTTTTGTTCCACATTAAAGTGTGGCTGGTCAAAAATGACATCTTGCGGATGACGGCCATTCTGTTTGATACACTCAGGAGGTCTCTTGCTAAGGTCACCCACTACTGTTTGCAGCATACAGAAGGGAATTCTTGAAACTGCTGCCTTAAAGTTAGTAGGAAGGGACCTGGATCACCTGTTGGTAAATATTTGGTGTCCATCCCTACTTGTACCTGTACCTTTACCTGCCTGAATGCGCTATTTCATTTCTGGAATTGCGTGAGGTGCAGGACCTTTCAAGATTTGAGATTTTAGATACTTCCCACCCACCTAACACACACAGGGGAAAAAAATACATGTCGAAGGATCATATGCTTCTAAATCCAGATATAATATATCTAGGAACAGGCTATTGAAAGTGCCGCAGAAGCACATGCAGTAGGGCATGTAACCCCCGTTCTTTTGGGGGGGGACATTTCGTCACTGACTGGCAAATAGGCAAACACAGGAGCAAGTAAGTTTTCCAACATGTGAACGTAACATGGTTCCATAGCAGTGACAACTATTTCATGTTCATTTTCAAAAAATATTTAAGCCGGTAACACCAAGTGAAAACATCGCGTGCCATACTATCACTTTGACCCCGAGGCATTGCTGGCTTTCTCTCGTGTTTTGGGATGTGTAATATCGGAAATTTTGCTTGTTCACAAATCCCAGCAAATGGAAGTGAGCCGCCTCGTTTATCAGCTAATTGTACACAAATTCTTGTCTTTTGTTAGTTAACATTAGCATAGGTTCGTAGAAATTTACTCCATTGTCATAATTACTTTTTGTGTATTGCATGGGTGACTTGAATGTTAAACGGATGAAACTTCAAAATAATGTGTAAAATTCACCGCCTACTGCGATCAGACAGTCCGACGCAGGCTACAGGTGACGGAGAGGGAAGAGATTTGGTGGCTACCAATGGTTAGTAGAAATTGTCTTCCCTCTCCTTCAGGAGCTTATTATTAAAACAATTAATTTTGTTATCGCCAAATAAAGGCAAGAGTAGATAAATAATGTATTACAGATCTCTTCCTGGTGCATAATGACCAATATGGTTTCTTTAGCACTTGTTCTATTGTAATTATTACTTCTGAATTTTATTGGCACATTATTTATGTTTGGCAAATGTTGTGACCCACAGCTGAAATAGTGTTAATTGTATTGCAGTTGTTCTTAATTGATACATGGTTTTTGGTAGTGAATTTCTTAAACGAGTTCATATTGCAGGTCAGTTGAGGTAACTGAGTGGCAGCTGTGAGTGGACAGGAAAAGGCATAACGGTCAGGTGACCCTTCCAATCCGCAGATATATGTACTTGTAATTTGAGATGCAAAAGGCCATAAAAATAGAGTGGAAAGAGGCCATGATCCGTAATAAAATTAGTTAGTTGTGAGGTGGCTATGTGTTTTTATGTATTGACTTTAGGAATGAAAGTATATGTGCATCTAACAGTTTTTCTAGATCCCATTCTACTTCCCATTATTGCACTGCCTTTTCATGCAGAATTCTTCTGTCCAAGTGACACAGAACGGTCGCGTAGACCGCCGTAAACTTCACTCACAGGCCTCTCTAATACTCTAGGTAGTCTCCCTAGCGTATATACTGTTTTCACCCTACTACCTTGTTAAGCTTAGAACTAGTGGTCTTAAAGTTTCCAACCCATGTCTTCGTGGTGTCACTTAATGGATCTTAAAAATGGTAGAATAAAAAGAACAAATCAATTCCGAAAACTTTGAAACATTAAGAAAACATTAAAAAAATGCAATAAATTTTCCTTCTCCTTGAAGTCCTAAAATAAAACACATGCTATTATGATTCTCAAATAAATTTCTCTTGCTTGAAAGAGTAAAGCAAATCAAGCTTCAATTTATTTACACAGAAGTATTTCTACCAATTTACCAGAAAAGTTTACCAATTTACCGTAAAAGAAATCAATCAACCAGTATACCAGGATTCTAACATTATTAGAATGACTTAAAAATCCTAGAAGATAGCATATTATTTAAAAATTCTATGAAATAGCAAAATTACTTAAAAAATTCAAGGTAATGCTACATTACCTGTATTATTAAAGAATTCTATGAAATAACCCAATTTCTCAAAGATTTATTAAATAAAACAGTTGCTGAAAAATCCTACGAAATAATGCAATTATTTAAAAATTTTGAGAAGTAACACAGTTACTTCAAAAACAACAGGAAATACCCCAATTTGGAAATGAATTATTGTGTATACTTACCTAGAGAAGTCCTTCTGAGACCAATGAAAAACGGTTTAGTACCGGGCTTTAAAATTTTTCGTATTGCCTCTACATCCTCTACGGAATGCATACTCGCCAACAGACTACCTACAAGAATGTATTACTGAAATCAATTCACACATCTTTTACAAAGCACCTATATGAATACCAGCAGTATCCACCAATTGCATGAGGTATCTTTTAATAAACCATTAAAAATATGATTTTAAGATCAAGAATACTATCGTTTAAATACAGAAGAATCTCTTTTAACCGACAACAAACAAGACCTCGGTAATTCCGAATAAGATACTTTTCTGTATCGTTGAATATGAACTAGAACTTACTTGTTTATGTTTTGTGATGCCATCTGCAGCATTTTAACCAGGCGAAATGCGTCGGTCGTACATTTGATTAATGGCCACAATTAAATAAATAATACTGAAATTCTTCCAAATTATATAAAATTAAAACATATAACATAATTTTATATTTCAGAAAAAAAAAACAGCATTTTAAAAATACCATAGTTATTATCACATGAAAATAGCGATTATCTTAATATGATGGCATAAAACTTCGAATGACTCCCTGTTTACATGATTGTCACTGTAATTTTAAAAATTCGTTGTGTATGCTATGAACCTTTATAATATCATACACGGAGTCTGTTAGCCCATTTTTTAGACGATTCTCCTTGCTATAAAAAAATCGTCTGCTTCGAATTTTTTTAACTTCAACTATATTTTTGAAAGTATAAATTATCATCTCCTACTTGACAGTTTTATTTTCATGCAAAATGGCGCTTTTAAACCTTTCAGCGTTATGGACGTAAACTGCTGTACAGAAATGTGGATTTTTTTCATATTACACATGAAAATTTCTGCCAGCCTAAATGTATTCGAATTACGGTTGAATGTAAACTGCAAGAAAAGAACTCAAATTACAAAGTGAGTGGGTTGTTTTTTAATTATAATCAAGAAAGTACCGTTTATTCTTGATATTTTGAAAAACATTAAAATTTCAAAAAGGAATGGATAATAGGCTTTGTCTGTGAGAAGGTTTTCCGATATCTAAACCTTTGGTAGATAACATTGCAGCAAGAAATGAAAAACGTCAAGGTTTCAAGTGGAAAATGTTTTTCAAATACATGTGCAAAGAAAAAACGGAATGTTTCGAATGTTGAAATGGTAAGATCTTAAATGTTAAAATAAAATCCACTTTGCCAAAAGACAGTTGCAAAATCATTTAAATTCTCAGTGTCAGTTGTAAACAAAGCGATTAATGCTGATTTGAATCAAAAAAGGAGAAAAATATAATGTGCATCGTTTTTCTCCATGGCATTCTCGCCGAACGTAGAACGCGCTGCATAATTTTTTATGAGAAATGTTTATCGGGATAAAAATGAAAAAATGATACCACAATACATGAATCTTGGATTTATTTAAATGGCTAAAATAAAAAGATATCCGTTTATTGTCATCAAAGAAGAGACAAAAAGGCCTTAAAACATGGTTCAAAGAATCTAAAGAAAGCTTTTCAAAGGAATTTATGATTGTCGTTGGTTTCTCATATAAAGGCAAATTAAAAACAAAGAGCGGAGAAAATATTTTAAATCAACTCCATAAATGCGCATATGATCAGGAACGTTATTTATGCCCAGTTTCAAAAATGAAAAATACCTTCTTCTTACCTACGGTGCCATAAATCCATAGGAAAAGAAAACAGCCATACGTCCAAATCGACAGCTGATTTCCCGAAAACATGGAATAAGAAACGGGTATCAAGGCCATATGATTCACTCATATCTCTACTAAATCTCTTGATGTATTGGATCCATCAATCAAAATCCATAGGACCCATGCATTCTAGCGCTTTTGAACTTTTAAAACGCGGATTGTCCACACGTCCCCCTACCTCCTTGGATTTTGCAAAGCTGTTTATATAAGTAATGGAATAAAATATCTCTTCCGATATTACAAAAGGTTTTATTGTCTTGGAAATTACGCTGCAAAAAGGTAATGAAGAATGAGGGTTATCAAAGAGAACAATTAAAACACAATAATTTGAGATATAGTTTCTGTAAATACAATGAAAATCGTCTATAAAATGTGCGAAAAACCTCTGTACTGACATCGAGTAGTATTTATCAGCAAATGTTATAAATGCCTGTAATATTTCGGCATCATCTTACCATATAACATTCTTGCCCCATATGTAGTTTCTACCTTTATCCGAACCTCCTCATCAACATCATTCTCCTTTTCCAGTGTATATGTTACTGGCAAAGTATGAAACGTCGGCATTCTTTATAGAATGTCTAGACATTGTATACAACGCCGGACGATTTTAGGCAAAGTATGAAATAAGAGAATTATTACATACTTTACCTAGGCATTGTATATAATACCTAGGCATTCTATAGAAGGACAAATGCTTTTAAGGCAAAGTATGAAAAAAAAAGGTTATGATAAGGGACAGACGTTTATTCGTCTATAATACAAATTTTATTTTGGAAAGTTAATGAAAGAGCGCCATTAAAAAACTGTTTTTTTTTTTTCAAAATATGTAAACTAAATAGTGAGATGATCTTCATACAACATAATAAATTTTTATTTTCTATCTGGCTGAGACTGGAAATCGGTAAGATCTACCTGACAAACGGAAGTTAAATTCAGAAACAGCCCTACGTCCAAATAGACAGCTGTAATCCAAACAGACAGAAAATCGTAAGTTTCGCATCAGTGCCTTTTTTAATACCTTTTCGTTTTTTCTGGAAGAGCTCACAAAGATGGTTGTTACAGTTCAATATCATTACGTGTAAACGGTTTCGTAATTGTTTGAAAGTTCTTTCGACATTCTCTCGCGTCGTTCCTGTGCAGGACTCAAATGAGTTTTCATGAAATACGGAAAATAACTCAGCGTCCGTGACGCAATACTGCATAGTATTGACGCTTTCTTTAACAGGGTAAATGAATGTAATTTTGTTTTCCACAAACATCACAACCTATCGCTTCGGTGGCCAGTAGTCCCGTGGTTCCTTCTTAGTAGTCATTTTGGCCTTTTTACATCATTTATTAACTTCTGGTAAGTAGTTTCGGTTATTCGAAACGAATCGGAAATGAATTTTATACTTTGTCATTTGGTATTCTATAGAATTCCTAGAAAATGTGTGAAATATGAATCGTTTCATATATTGCCAACTGGTTTTAGGCATCATAGACAATGCCAATCATAGAATGTCGGATTTCATACTTTGCCGGTAATATATATACTATTATTTCGTCGTCATTTTAAGAGAGTGAGGCAAGAACAGAATTTTATACATCCAGCCAAACCTGCACCTTCTTTCCATTAGCACTTAATCTTCTCTGGAACAAAATAGTAAATCCAAGATGTCAGACACGGAATCGGAGCGGTTTTTGAAACCAAGAGAATCTTTACTATTCGACTTGTTCTTTATGAACATTATCATAGGCCACAATTTACACCAACAGCGACGTAATGGGATGTTTTTTATGTTTTGCAGGAATGATACAAAATATACATTAGCGTCTTTCAGAGTTAATTACTTTTGAAAATCGTGACCACTACTTTCAAAGATCAGGTATGGACGCATAAAAATGGACCGGTAGACGTCTTTATATCCTATATCAGCGGTTGTCAACCATTTGGCTAACGCTTACCATCTAAACAAAAATTGAAAAACTTCAGTACCACCACTACATTTTGCAATGACTATTTTTCATTTTCTCAATAGAAATATTAAAATGGTGAAAAGGAATAGTATTATTATATTGGCTATTTATATTAAATTTGCATACATAAAAATATTAAATTAAAAAGTGATTACCATTTTTGCTATTAAAATTTGTGTTATAATAATTCAATTCTAAAATTCAGTGCGAAATTTGGGTCTGCTTAAGAAAGATCAATTTCTTTATGTCTGTCTGGTCTTATTTCGCTTAGTTTTAACCGTAAATTAGGATCTACTTTTAATTTTGTTCTGCATTTATTTTTCAAATATAACATGGAAGAAATCCTTGTTCACACAAATAGGGTGTGCAAAAAGGCAATAAAAATTTAATAGCTTTATTTGAAATAACTTTAAATTATTTTTTTCAGTTCAGCCAAAAGTTAACAAGTGTGTTATTTTTGAAATCTTCAGGTATAAGAGTTCAATCATAAGAAATGTCTATCAATTATTCTTTTTCTTCACGAGATTTCTGAATTTAGTAGTTAAAAATATTTTGCGTACCATCTATTTTTCTCTTGCATATCACCAGTGGTACGCGTACACCGGTTGAGAACCGCTATGCTAGGTAATTCTTTGGCTGGATAAGACTTACTGCCTTGGGTGTCAGAAAAGTAACCCAAATGTGTTCCCAAGTTTGAGTACGCATTGCTAGCCCATCACAATATTTTTTCTTAGTTAGACCTTCAAAAATATCGTTGTTTTGATATTTCCACTTAATTGGGTGCCGGTTACTGTTTACAGCCGAAAACATCGCGGACGAATACATCGCGGAGAAAACAAAGCAAGGCGAAAACGTAGTGGCACAAAACATAGTGGGAGAAAATAAAGCACCTTTAAATCATCGCATGATGATAACATCGCAGACATACGTTTTTCATGCTTTAATTAATTGTGAAAAGATACTCCCATAATGATTCGTGAACGCAGGATAGAAAGAAGGATAATTTTTACTTTCATATTTTCAATTACTAATAAATTTATAAAAAACAAAACAAGAAATTTAAACAAAAAAGAAGTAATTTTCATTATAAAAGTATCAGATTAACAAAATAAAGAAAATAATTTCATAATTAACATAGCAATTTTTTATAGATAAGGGCATGCAATTACTTATCTTCCTTTTTCTAGCCTTTTTTAGATTATACTTTTCATGAAACATTACCAGTAAAACTTTATAAAAGTAAATTATTAATGACCTTTGTTAGTTAACTATGTCTTTTTAAAATTAAGTGCTATAAGTTGCATTAATTTCCTATGCTTAATTTTCCAGTTTACATTTTCAGCAAATATTTATTAGTTAATTAAAAATATGAAAATAAAAATTATCCTTCTCTCCATCTTGCGCTCACAAATCATTATGCGAGTATCTTTTCACAATTATTAAAGCCTGAAATTTTAAACTGCGAAGTTTTCAAAATGCATTATTTTCGAAGGCAATATTTTGTACCACGATGTTTTAGAGCTGCGATGTTTGCTCTTTACTTTATTTTCTCATACGATGTTTTGTGCCACGACGTTTTCGCCTTGCGTTGTTTTCTCCACGAGGCTTTCGTTCGCGATGTTTTCAGCGGACACTGCATGTTAAACGAGACTTTAGTGTAGTTTAAAATGAACTTTATAGCCTTCTTCTTGTGTTGTGAACGAACTTATCCAATTAGAAATCTTGAGCTGAGTCTTAATGTTTAGTACTACATTGCAAACTAAATTAAGCTGTAGATGTAATGGCAATCAATATCTCATAGCGATTTACTCTCTTGTTTCCAAAATTCTGATATGGACACCACATGACTTCCTTGATAATAATTTTGGCCACCACATGATTAACAATATACATCTTTTGCACTTCATTTAAATTCATTTCATCGAGTTATTCTAACTTAATTAACCAATGTTGTATGTTATTTTCACTTAGTTAATAATATAATTTTATGGTTATGCAACTAATGTAAACTGAGAAGTCAAATAATTAAAATCATTATACCTTTAAAACACCATATTCGCAACACATGTGTAACTAAAACGTATTCGCGGCCACGTAAAACTGCTTCGGGAGCTGCAATTTGAGACCACTACTCTAGCCTTTTCATACTACATAATGAATGTCATTTAAAAAGAATTGTTTATTACAATAGTAATTTATCCAATTCAGTCCTTCGAGGTCGATACAGGCTGAATACAGTTAAACATAGTTACCCTCGCTTTTCTTATGCCTCAGGCATGAAGTTTCAAGTTCATTAAGCTATTATTAGACAGGCTTCAATTAATTTGACAAGTGAGTCAATTTCTCTTTGTGGAATACACAGCACATTTTGTAACTAATTCTTCTCTGCGAGACTTGTCTCAATTTCAGAGTTTTCATTGGAATTCCAAATAATCTACATTTACAACATAAAGTTTGTTAAATTTTGTTCTAGTACTAAAGTCATATTCAATAATGTAACATACGAGAATTCAGTAGCATACAACGTTTGCCATTTTTGAATTGATTGAATTCCTTCGATATCTTGCGATTCAGTACGGAAGTGTATTCAGTGTGACTGTAAAATAAATTCTAGATATGAAATTAGGGAATAAATCGGGCTTAGATTTGGATGCGTTTCACGTGAAACTGTAGAGATTTTAAAGCGACTCACAAAGATTTATCTTCTTCAAAGAGCAAAAGAATTCTGCTATGAAAGTAAAGCAAAGAGGAAAGGATGAGAAAAGAGCAAAGGCTAAACGAACTAGTGGTTGAAATGCGAAATATATATAGTGATGGGCCATTTATCGAGCAAGACAGAAATAAGAAATTATCAGACAAAAATCGAAGGAAGGAAAGGAAAATTTTCAAAACTTAAACTGGAAATTTAATCTGGAGTGGATGTCAATAATTAAAGTAAGCAAACTTTCGTAAATCTGAAAGGATCTAAGAAGATCTGTAAAGTTTTTGGGATAATTTTATTAGTAAAAACTACTGTCAAGGAAGGAACTATGACTATCTACTGAAAATCTGTTTCTTCTTCTTTTCTTTTTTCTTTTTGTAGGTAGAATTCTTTATTTGCCCTCTTCTTTCCCGGAATTTGAACCTGGATTGAAGAGCCACCAGTGCTCAAGGATCTTACCACTCCGTCATTAATGGACACACTTTGAGAGCTACTAGATTTATATTTCGAACATAATTGCTCTACAAGCATTTACCTTGAATACGTTGAATACAAGAGTTATAACTGCCGTAAATCTTTAAAAATGAAAGTAGTTCAGAAGTCTTAGAAGAATTTATTATTAACTCAAACTCTCAGGATATGATTTCTTTAGGAAGAATGCCCCATTTACAGATGTAGTATGTGCTTCCTGAAAAGACACATCATACTTAAGAAAAGGTTCTACGATACAGAAAAGAAAAGATTTCTTTAAAGAAGAAAAGAAGAGTAACATCACTGCAGAAAGTATAAAATTATAAATTAGAAAACCCACTCCCACACAAATTGTTTTCTCCTTAAGAAGAACTTTATGAACCATTTATTATTGCTTAGCTTCGGATTTTCTGAACAGGTTAGGAAAGGCAGCGAAAAGGAAGAGAAAACGGGAGAGGTGCTGCGAGAAAGAGAAAAAGCTTTGAAATGCTCACGGAACATTAGATGTCAAGCGATTTGTTATTTACTTAAATATGGCAAAGCAAGCGGGAGCTATCTGCTTCAGGAAAGGGATGCCTTCGGATATTTTTCTAAGGGAAACTGTCACGTCTTTACGTTACACTCGGGTTAAAACCACGAAAACGCCTACGCAACCAGGTCGTTGCCTCGGACCTGATTGACCAACCAATATTCAGCAGTTTCACTTCCTCAGCTCTGGATGGCCTTAGTCAGTCGAAGAAAGCCTATTTTAAAGCAATTGAAGCAGCAAAGAAAAAGACAGTGATAGAAGCAACTACCTTGCCGAAGAAGTGTTGGCCTAAAGCGAGTGTGCAAGTACTGGCTGCTGTATCTCGTGATTCGGAACGGTCGAAAGAGGAACCTGTTACTTGGTGGTTGTGGTAATGGTCTGACTGCAAAAGAAAAAGAAAAGGCTTGGTGAATATTGAGCTTATTTACACATTGTCTTCTTATTTGCTATTGACTGTTCAACTCATAATTTGGCCAGAAAACAAACAAACATGTAGGAAAAACTTAAAATGATGCATTGTGCTCCAGTCATTCTGACCAGTTACAATGATCAAAATATATTTATTTAAATATTAGAATTATGCAAAATCATTGGATTGCCTGCAATTATAGGAAAATTCTGAAATAAAAATTATAAATGTATATCTTATGTTTAATTTAAATATCGCCATAAGTATTAATACTTAATTTGGAAATAAATCTGGATGGTAAAGTATTTAAAACATTAACGTAAATTTCGAGCGTAAGAAGTTACTGTGTGATTGAATGACAGCTCAACAAATTGATCATCAAATAGATTTGATTGGTAATATTATCGTGGTAGCACATCACCAGCACACACCATACACAGTGGCATGCCATGATTTTCACAAGAAATTGGCGATGATTTTCACCAAATGATTTTCATCACGTCATAATTTTCACCAAAATGAAAAAAAAAATCTTTTCTGGATATGACAAACTAGAGCAATAAAGTGTAATGTATTTTGGAAAAACTATAAATATTCGGAAGAGGTATTAAAAGTTTTAGTACTGTTAATAAATGCTAAAATGATAAATAAATAAATAAATTATTTTTAAACGGGAAAGAAAAGTTTTAAAAGAAATATATTTGCCTAAACTGGGGGACAACAAACCATCTAGTTGTTAGTTTGTATAAAGTTAGTCATTATGAAGTTAACCGTAATATTTCATTTTTGAATACCGAAAAAGCTAGAAATAAATTTAATTTTATTTTTACGATTTCTTGTCCTCATTCGGAATTTAGGATTCCCAAAATATGGTAGACTGGTAGTTAAGAATCAACAGTGAGATATTATTAGCTTTTCAGTGCATTGAATGCAAAATACTGTCGTCGCTTGTTAAATATGCTTCTTTATGATCTGTTGTGACTGACTTGCTTCGCTACCGAATTCCGTTTCGTTGTTTAATTAGAATTTTTGCAGGAATATTATTTATTTCGAACAAAGTACCGTAAGAGCTCTTTCTTGAGCACAAAAATATTACATTAAGAGTTCCATTAATTTTACTTATAACAGCCTCGAGAAAATTAAAATTAATTACGATTTATTACCGTTAGTTTTGAACATACAGGGTTTAACAAAAGTGCTTCTTACATGTAAATGCATTATAAGTAATGATCTCAATTTTGGTATTTCCATCTGAGTATGTACAAAGTCAGAGTTCCACATGGAAATATTTCAAGGTTACGTGCAAGAGCGTTCCGCTATTTTCATTGGATCATTGGCATTGTATCCAGTTGAGAAAGTTGATCCTGGAATGAGTCCTGGAAACATATTTCGGCACTCCAGTGTTGTTTTGGATCATTGGCATTGTATCAAGTTGAGAAAGTCGATCCGGGAATGAGTCCTGGAAACATATTTCTTCAGTCCAATGTTGTTGCAATCATTGCAATGGATGAAATCATTGGCATTACATCCACTTGAAACTGTACAAGTTTATAATTGTACACTATACGTGTGCATCATCGCAATGATGGCCCTTGCCATCCCTTAAACATTCCTTCACTTGTCCTTGACCAACCACTATGCGATAAATGTGAAGCACTTTTTGTTTTTAGAAATCGCTTCATTTGCATGCCCTTCTCCCCTTATTGATGCTTATTTACATACATAGTCTCTTTTGATGCAGATTGCTGACCTTTTGATGCTCCAGAATGTATAATTTCAGCTCAACTTAAACAGTGCTCTGCACTTTCTCCTGTATCGACACGTCCATGGGATCAAGGAGATTGCTCAAAGTAACTTTATCCCTTCAGCGTGAATTGCTATTCGGTAAACTTTTAAAGACTGCTGTATAATGCAAACTTTATTTCACTGGAATACCTAAATTCATTATAAATGTATAATTTATTTAATTAAGGTCTTTTTACTTATGCCACAATTTTTTATAAGAAGTTATTTAATGGAGGCAATTTTAGCTTACCTTATTTGCAAGGAAAATTAAATACGCTTGAAAATCATGAGTTCTCAAACGAGGTAAAATGCCTATTATTTTAGTAATTTAAGTGTTAAATAAATGTTAACTGGAATATTGTGTTATGAATAACGTTAGAAATCTCACTAAGTGGTTTGTTGGCACACCAATGACCGCAAGCGCAAACATGTATGAACATCAGTGATGGTGTGTGGAGGTGATTCATAAGTAAGCGGCATTATTGTAAGCGAAATAAAATTTTAGGGGAATAATTTGTAAATATGGTTAAACATCATATAATTTTTATTCACGTAATTTATTTATTTCCGTGTTTTGAAATTTATGATTTCGAACTATGCAAAATATTAAAGAAAAATTTTGGCCTATGTTATTGTGAAAAGTTATTTGATTGCAAGACTTTCTTCAAAATGGATGTTAGAATAGTGAGACCAAGACGCTTAAACCCAAAAGCAAAAGCAGCATGCAAAAAGAATTTTTTTATTCTAAATATGGAGTCTCAGATAGAATGTTCAAGTGAGTTAGCATATTTTTGAAGAGGAAATGCTTCGTTAAACATGAATTATATCTAAACATGCAACCTTCAGTTGGCTAATTGAATACAAATATAAAATTAGACAACAATTCAATCTTAAATTAGGATGGAATTTTGACAAATTTTCTGATTTAGTTTGGCGTATGCCTGTTGCATGCATATAGTTAGTTAATCCATTCTGATTTCATACACCCAAAAATGTCCACTTCAGAAAAATTTAAATTAATTAAAGAAGAGGTTAATATATAGTCGTTCGAGCTGACTTTTAGTGAATTTTAGTGAAAAAAATTACTGTTGTGACTATGTCTACTGTGGACTGACTGTGAGTGAAAACAGCAAAAGTAACTGGCAAGTCTTGAATTTAAAATGATTAATTCATAATAGATTGAAAGCATGTAATATAAATAAATTTGATTCATATACTAAAATTTTGATTTGAATTAGCTTAAGTTTCTCCGACTTCCAAATGGTGTTAAAGTTTAATATAAAAATTACAAACATTTGTGCTATTATACATTTAGTTCTTAAAGGATAGTAATATGATATTACATTACAGACTATTACATCTTTATACTCCTAATCTGGTAACATAACACGAGACTAATAACATAGCCTAGAATAGTAATATAATATCCAAAACATACACATAGTATTCATTTATAAAAAAAACTACTTACCTATTTGGTGAACACTTGAACTGTATTATATGCATACAGTCATTACTTGACAGCTTTATTACTGAATTAAGTACGATACAATTATTTCCTTATCATTGAATTCTTGATTGCATTTTACATAATCCTCTCCTGCATTAAAAGCCGAAAATTTTCTGAGTAAGATAATTCCTGCTGTTTTTAGGTAAACAGATATGAGCAAAGTGTTTGATAGGATTTCATCTGTTTCGGTTACGGCTAGGTTATATATATAAAATGTGCTGATTTATTTCAAAGAATTATTTTCATTCCTTGTTTCTGCCTAGCAATTTTTGATTAAAACTCCTTATTTTATAAGCTCCTCTGTGACATATCAATATTTGATGTTCTTGAACTTTAATGATTCTCATTCAAAGGTATTCTTTTAGCAGAAAAGTCCAATTTTTGCTGTTGAGATCTTTTTCACAAAATATACGGAATCAGAAGACAACATTATATTTTGATGTATATTATCGCAATGCTTCTTGTTAGAGAGATTAAATTTTCTTGAATATCATACTTATGCAAATGAACACAGACATTTATTCTTTTTTCATAAATATACGTGCCATTATTGATTGATACTTTTCCACAGAAATTTTCAAATTTAACAATATTTTTGCAATTTAACAATATCTGAATTAAACATCGAGATCTAGAATACTACTTCTGGATTAAACGACTTTTTCTTCGACACATATCTTGAAAACTGTGGTGCAGAGACAATTTGAAGCATATCTTTGCCGCACTTATCTGATTTCAATTCTAAATGGAGTCCTAAAATTCACGCAAGATTTGAATTTTGCGAAATTTGTTCAATAAAGTTTTGCCAAAGACAACTGGCAGTTAACAGATATGAGCAAAGTGTCTGATAGGTTTTCATCTGTTTCGGTTACGGCTAGGTTATATATATAAAATGTGCTGATTTATTTCAAAGAAGTATTTTCATTCCTTGTTTCTGCCTAGCAATTTTTGAGTAAAACTCCTTATTTCACTTTTGATACTATATAATACTATATTATTATTAGTATCAAAAGTGAAGCACTACAGGAAACAACAAAACGTTTTCATCGTTGAGCAATATTTTAAAAATAATGAAGGTTTAGCAGCTACAGTTCACAAATTTCGTATAAAATATGGTCAGAATAGTGATTTAACTTCCTTAACTGGAACGAGATTAATTAAAATTTTAAGGAAGCTGGAACACTTAAATTCTTAAATTCTCTGGCCGTTCTTCAACAAGTCGTTCAACACAAAACATAGAACCAGTTCGTTAGAGTGTTGCTAACAGTTCGGCACCGTGATCAAGAACTGCACATTTCAAGAAACTCTACAGCGTATTATCAAGAAAAATTTGCATCTTTCTGCTCACAGAGACTCAAGAACTCAATTGACTCAAGAACTGAAGTTTACTGACCACGCACAGTTAAGAGAGTTCGTTGAATGGATTATGGAAAACCAAATGGGTGCTGAGTTTCCGAACAAAATCATCCGCAGCAATAGGCCTCATTTTCATCTTAATGACTTCGTTAGTCGACAAAATTGTCGCATTTGGTGTTTAGAAAATCCATGAGTAATTGTTGGGAATCAAATGCATCCGCAATATGTCGCTGTTAGGTCTGGAAGCATCATCGGATCATTCTTCTTCAAAACTGCGGTTGGTCATGCAATACCAGTTAATGGCTATCGCAGCATGATAATCCAGTTGTTTGTGCCTAAATTGCAAGATATGAATTGGCTATGGAAGTCACGTGGCTTCAACAAGACGGTGCCGCATGCCATACAGCCTAAGAAATAATTCAATCACTGCATAAGTCCTTTCATGGTCATGTAATTTCTCATTTTGGTGATCAGAATTGGCTCCCCAGAGCATGCGATTGAACACAGTTGCAGTTTCTTGTTTGGGGCTTTTTGAAGTCTAATGTTCATACCAACAAACGCCCGACTACTCACGTCTTGAAAGAGGAAACTGAGAGCTGTATCAATGAAATTCAACCATAATTATGCAAAACAGTCATGAAAAATTTCAAAAAAAGAATGCTTGTGTGCCAGCAAATTCGAGGAGGCCATTTCTCTGAGATGATATTACATACATAACCCTGTACTATATACTTTGTGAATTAATAACAATTTTCAGTTTTAATTATAAGCCCGCGCTTTCTATCAAAATTGCTTCTTGCAGGAATTTTGGGGCATGTTTTACATGGGCTATTATTAAGAGATCAAAAGTACGAATTATACATTGGAAAGTTAGAATCAGTAAGAAATACCGAAATATATATAATATTCATAAATGCACATAATTTGTTCCATGTTGTTATAAATTTTGGAGTCTTGTAGGATATAGACTAAGATTTTGATGATGGTGGTGAATTCTTTAATAATTAGGAAGTCGTGGAATTTTATGACTGTATTTGTAACAGAGAAATGTCTAGCCTCGCCAAAGAGCAATGGACCAAAAGATTTTTTCCTACAACTTTTCACGGAATAAAAGTTATTCAATTTTCAATAGATTTTAAAGTAACTTAGTTTTAGACTGGACATGGCAATTTTAAGAACTATTTAAGACGACCTGGCCTTGCTTGAAGAGCTTAGAAGGAGCGGTAGCGGAGATGAAGATGTAAATCATATTTTTCTTGCGTGTGTTCATCATATGTCCACCACAGGAAGATATTTCAGACAACTTTGATGCGCCTGTTTGTATTTTGGCCACAAATTTTTTCTCTACTTTTTTGGACTAAAGAGACTTCTGCATTTCGGAAATTCATTCTCAATTTAGACTAATTCCGTTACTTTTTTATTTCATTTTATTTTTTCTTGTACTTATTTATTTATTATTTTTATTTATTCTTTTAATTGTTTTTCCTCATTTGCAGTTTTGTTGTACATTAGTCTATTTTTCTTGTTAGTATTCTACCACACTTGTATAAGAATCATGGTATACTTTATGGAACACGAGGATTTTAAATTAATGAAAAAAAATCTTTATTTAAAGGCATAGGAATATAGCAATGTAAGCACAATAAATCTCTGCATATGCTCAGAAGAGAGCACTTGTTAATTTCAAGCACAGGTTTCACATACTGACAGCATCATAGCTTTCGAAACACCAGACGTGACCACAGACTGTCACATATTTGGAATGATATAGGAATAGCCCAGAAGCAAGCCCGAAAGGGCGAAATTATGATAAGGATATCAGATGAAGAATAATAATGTCAATTGTTTTAACAAGGAAACACAATATTACTTAATTTCTGCTGGTTAGTTCTCGTTGAATAAAAGGTTTTACCTTAATTTTTATCTTATTTATCTTAATCGTATTATCTTATTTATCTTAATCTTATTTATCTTATTTAGCTTGCTTATCTTAATCTTATTATCTTATTTATCTTTATCTTATTATCTTATTTATCTTAATTACGTGCGTCAGTAGCTTTATATAAAGATTATACGACGGAGAATAAATCTGGAATAGCACACATGAAAACGATTTATTATAGCTATGTTAGCATTCACCAAATGAAAAGAGGAGCAATTAAATTAAAAGGTAAAACAATTTCTTATGTTACACTAAAACAATACAGTCTGCTTTACGTAGAATTCCATTAAGAGACAGAGAGCTTTGAATGTAGTCTATAGTCTGTCGATGAAGAATTTGCATCACCGATAATCGCGTAAGGTACACTTTCCATTTTCAGTGACTTTCCTGCTACTGCGCTATTGTATATGCTGCATCTCGTCATATTGCATATACATATACTGTGATTTCATATATCCATTTCACAGAGATTTATAATGATTCAGTTACGCAATCACGTAATTCATTGACAGTTCACTCAATTTCTATCAATTTTTTATCACTTCTTGCAACCTATGATGCTTCTTTGCTCGAAAATAGTTTCTATTGCTGATTATGGAATTCTTCGGGCCATCCCATTTCTCTCATATAGAGCGAATTTTCTCATTCATTAGAAGATTACAAATAATAGTTTAAAAAACGACTGAGCTGTCTGAAATTATTGCCTTACTTTAATTCTAAGCCATACCTCTCAGTACTACTCCAAGAGTACATTTCTACTCCAAGAGTTATCTGAGAAATATAAAAGTTTATAACACAATGATGCACAATGAATTATGGCATTTGAACACTCTATTTCTATACTAGACTAAGCGGTAACTAAAACTTCAAGTATTCTTTCTAAGTATAAATAGAGTATGTTGAAAAAAACTGTGTTTCTTACCATGTCTATAACATTGTAAGCTAGCTGTATACCAATCTGAATGCCTGTGATCGACAATATAACAAAAGCTGTTATCTGAGGAGACCCATTTGTCAGTGGTGTTTTGGCAGTCTCCTGTATACCGTTTTTGTAGTGGAGGCTTCCCTGAAATGGAAGTCAATTATAAAGTTGCACGCAGTATATGTATATATACATATATTCTCTAAATAAAAAGAAATCTTGATACTGTTCACTTTCGCCAGCGCAAATCTCGCCAAGCAGACTTTATTTGCGACAACATACAGTATACACATAAATTTTAACAAATGTTTGTTCTAAGAATTTTTTATTTTGGAAAGCATAAACATTTTAATGTTTAAAATTTTGTAAAAATCCAATAAATAAAGACAATAAATTTGTAAAAAGACATTAATTTACGAATTTACTATTCTTTCAGGGTTCAACATCTTGATTCGCCGGTTCATATCACGTGACCCAAGTGATCTCATCTCACGTAAACTACGCTATAAAAATCTAATTCTCTCAGTAATTATCTACATTAATTTCAAGTTAAATCTTAATTTGTCATACAAATTTAATGCAGGAATTATTTCAATTCGTACGAATAGCTTACTCAGAAATTATGTAAAACCGCAGTGCTTTACTTCGCTAGTACATTCTTAATAGAATTGATGAATTTAACCCTCGACTTTGCCTTTTCTATATTTTTGCCTTCGGGTGAGCGGTGTGATTTCATCTTAATTCACTTAATTACCGCGAATGGCCTTAGGGTAGAAAATTTAACTATCTGGTAAGAATTATATGTAATTGTATGCCAGTATTGAAAGAAACGATCAATCTGATAAGAAATGGCTTCGACTTGTTTTGGAAATAAGGCGTAAAAGGTTACCAGAAAGGATATTCCGTTTGGCATCAGTTGTACCACTACTGGCGACTTTATCTCCTGCGCCGGCAAAACGGAAAAGTACCGAAATCTTTAACATATGTTATGGGAAGCATTTGATAAAACAAAATTTATGTTTAATGATTTTTTTGAAATTATTATAAGTTATTTTTGGCGGTACACGCCGCACAAAAAAGAGACAATTTTATACCTACCATTCTGCTGGGACAATTGAAGAAATTTAATTTGCGTCTTTCATGTCTCAAAAGCGCGACACAGGATATATATTAGATTTGTATATAGCATTTTTTACATGAATAGGTAATTTGACTAAAAATCTGACTTTTTCTGAAATGAGATACCGATTTTTTTCCATGTTTCAATTCTACGACACAAATTATGCCTAAACGTTAAGTTTTACAAAATTTGTGAGAAACTTACCGAGCAATGTAAAAATTTATCTTGGCTCACTTTTCTCAGTCTGCGCCAAGAAAATTCACTTGGCGAAATTCTTAATTTATGGTAATCTATTTTTCTTTCCCTTTCATTGTGCATGACGGGGGGGGGAAGTGCCTTTCTCATTCTTTCAGGATCCGGATTCGAATTCGGAAGAGGGCATGGATGCATTGTTCATTCTTTCAATTTTAACGAACCGTGAAAACACATTTGGCATTTATAGCGTTAAAAATTATGAAACGTGACAATCTTGAGTGAATATCTTGAGAAATTCTGAATAACAAATCAAATTCTGATTTTTTGCAGGTTATGCTTAGAAATACATCTACTTAAAGGTGATGGTAAAAAGTTTATAATTCAAAATGTTTTCAAAAAGTTTATAAAAATTACTAAAAGCATACAAATTTAAGAAGTAATTCAGAAAATACCTGAGAATGTTGTTTAGACTGAGTACAAATTTCGACATGGGAAAAAAGGAATCGAGTTAAGAATATAAGATATCACAAGTTTATATTGAATTTATATTTTACAAGTTAATTGGTTTTTGTGATTCGTGGGCATCGCTGCATTCAATATTTCAATATATATTATTTTTAATAAATATTCAATATTATATATATTTAATATCATATTTCAATATACATTCAGTACTATATTTTAGATTGTTTGTGACCTCCAGTTTTCTCATAAGAGGTCTAAAATTTCTTTACCTGTTCAAGTTTTCCATTTTGTCAGTCTGTTTTCCACTGATTCTCTAACACACAAATAGTGTTAAATTGATTTTACCTTGTAAGGTATTTACGCGAATTAAGCAGTTGTGTTATGTTACGAACCTCTACTGTCATGTCTCCCTTTCTGTTTTCCTGCCAGAATGCAGTTGAATGGCAGTTTGAGATTATTTTAGGTAGAGCGTGTTACGCCTGTTTAAGGCAACGAGATACGACCTTAAACCAACGACTTTGATTGAGATGTTCAGCAGGCAATGACTTTCAGCACATGTAAGTACTGTGCAGTACTATAAATATTATATAACATGTACGTAAAAGTGTTGCCTTTGCATTTTAATTAATTAAATCCTCTTTTTTCTTTAAATATATTTTTTCCTCCATTTTGAACATACAGTACGTACAATAAATAAGTAAAGTGTACGTAGACCCTTTCTTCGGAAAAAAATCCAAGTATCCGAATTTTTGATTATCCGAATGGTGGGTCTGGTCCAAGTTGATTCGGATAATTAGAGTTCTACTATACATTGAATCAACACTATATTTTATGCTAGCTATTAATGCTAGCTAGTAAGCTTTGCACTTTAATTCCGTACTAAATTTGATACGGTATCTACTATTTGAAGCGGTTACTACTTAAGAAGTAAACAACATATTTACATATTTTATTATTTTGCATTTTTTCTTATTTTTTAAGTAATAACATATAGCAATACTGTTGGAAAACTGTTTGAGAAAGCAGTGTTCGTAAATTTTGAAATTTGTATTCGATACCTGTTGTGATTTGGCAAATGTAAGGCATTTCATCTGAGCAGGGAACTGCCCTCCACAGACCTTCCAGTGAACTAGCGAAACAAGGTTTTTCTGACAAGTTTGTTGGCTCGTTTTTCTCCCAATTAGTCATCGTCATTGGCCATCCGTTCAACCACGAAATCTTTCTTGTTGACTCCTGAAAATAAAACAAATCAAATCAAAAATATCAGTTTACATAAGAAACCTTCGTTCAGTTAAAAATACAGTGCTGCCCAACTCGTATAACGATTAGCGTCGTTGATTGCCATGCCGAAGGACCTGGGTTCGAATCCCGGAGAAGACATGGATGTTTGTAAATGTATAGTGTCGGTACGGCATGGCGGCACTCTAAATATGCGGTGAGCCGAAAGTCCTCTCGTGTGGTTTAGTGGAAGGGGAGAGGAATGGTTAACCACGGACCCGTCCCCACGGGGTAGTCTCAAGGGAGAAGGACTTATCAGTTGTTCCCAAAAGTAGGCACAGCTCACAGTTTAATAACTAGAGAAATACGTGGTTCTTATCAGGGGCATGGCCCTTTTCTCACGTACTTCTATGCAAGGAAACTAGCAGCTTCAGATCAACGTGCATGTGGAGACAGAGGCAGTCTCGACCATTATATATTCAAATGCCCCCTTACAGCTGAACATCATCTAAAAGTCCCAATTTCAGAGAGTGAAGTGACTCCCTTTATTAAATACGCTACCAAGAACATCCATCTCTAAAAAAAATCATAACTATAATGAGCTTCCTGTGCACAAGAGGCACTGAGCTACGCAGCACAACCTAGAATAATATAACAAAGCTATCACTTAAAACATAGTATGCAAGCAGACCTGGAGCTGCCCTCCATAGCATGTAAGTGCGAAAGGCACCAACTGTAAAAACACCAATGTATATTTAAGGGGAAAAGAAAGGCACTGCCCGCGGTCTGGTAGAATACAAAGCATTGCAAGCAACGCCTGGCAGGAACCCCTGTAAGTCCTGTGGGGTGTAATTTAGTTGGACATCTAGTGTGGCTGGACAATACCCACATTGCCATTGGTTAAACTATGGGTGTCCACCACATTTCTCCATATCCATATCCATTGAAATTGTGGGGGGGGCGGACCTGAGCTAAATCGCACTGTCACCTGAATGGTGCTCAAGGCTGTTGCCAACGGCAGGCGTAATCTAGCACTCCTTCCCATGAGGAATTTCATGGACTCGGACCGACTACGTCAAACAAGTGAGCATAAGCAACAACAGCTACAAAAATGCAGTTATTTGGTCAAGTCCATACTTAATACAATAGACCAAATCTTCGTCAAACGAATCTTAAGACTGATTTCTGTTGCAAAAGTTTAAAATAATTCGGTATCCCGTATTAGTACGTAGTATACACTCTTGGAATTTGAATACATAAGTGCGTCAAAAATAAGTTTTCCTTTTTTGATCCAGAATATGAAGGAAAGACGACAAATATGTGTTCTCTCACAAATGTTTATTATAGAAGCTCTGGATTTTGCCACAGTATCAAGACGCTTTAATTATCATACAAAGCAAGCAACCATCTTGTTATTGAAAGACAACTTAGCTACTTATATTTGAAAACAATCGGTTATTCTTAATGTATCCGATAGTTGAAACCAAATGCTTAAGGGCAGATTATTATACGAAAACATTTAGATGCAACTGAGAATAGGAACTATTCATCAACCATTAGATATGCTTTTTTTTTTTTTTTTTTTTTTTTTTTTTTTTTTTTTTGTGCTTGTCAAAGGAATTTACAAACGAAGCAACGATCAATGAAAACTACAATGTTTCGAAAAGAAAATTTTCCCCTTTGAATAGTTTTCTCAAAACCGCAGATGTACACTTGATTTCATAGATAAATTAAATATTTTTTTTCCTATCCGTTAATTTCTGCATTCAAATAAAATAAATTTAGTAGCCCAGAAGAGCTATTAGTCTCGAAACGGCATTTTGCGGCGAATCGCTAAAAACGATTGTATCACTTCTCAAATTGTTGCCACAAAATATTATTGCACTTTATTATACTCAAAGAAACTAAATAATGAAGAAGCTACATAAATGTATGCATGTTTTTCGCATTATGAATAATAGCGGAACCTAGAGTCATCAAATTTTGAATAACGTAGTACTCCAACCCAATATGGACATGTAGAAATCCGAAATTTAAATTTCGAATTTGTTTAAGTATTTCATATTTTTTAAAAATTTAACAAATTTTTAAAAACTCATCGATTTCAAAGCGAGAAGTGGCAAAACTGAGAAGAATAAAATACTTTTATCTCCAGCTTCCGAGACTGTCTATCGGAAATTCTAAAGATATTGTTACGTAATGTCCAGCCGCGGTAAAATAGCTTCCCCGCAAAGCAGGTTTAGGGTTGCCATAAAATGGCAAGGGAAGGATGGGTTGCCACATTTGGCGAGAAATCGCCCATTTGCAGCAAAATTGCCATGGACGGATGGAGAACCTTCTGGAATGAAATCTTACTGGTTTAGCCCAGAATGTTCTCGAACACAAGCCAAAAGCTATATAAATTCTGTTGGAGAGCAAAGGAAGAAAAATAACGCAACAATATGTTATTTTTAAATGCTTTTAGCCCAATGTGGCGTTAGCCCAAATGCTCTCGAAACGTGCATGTGTTTGTAAATGAAAAAAAATCTGATGTGTACACCACATGACTTCCTTGTACGGAATATTAAATTATACTCATTTTTTCTTGCATTTCATTTAAACGTATTGGATTGAATTAAATCTACTTCGTCGACAGCGCATAAACCACAATAGAATAAATGCATTCTTTAAAATTCACTATATTTTTTCAGCATAGCAACACACTGGTGCTAGGTTCACTTAATATTTCGTTCATATTATAACTATGTCTATGTCTATGTCATAACACAATTAAGAGGCAATCGGCCTAGTGCGGCCTTTACCAATATATTATAAGTAGGGTGTCTTTAATGATGAGTTGAATCCAGTAAGATGGAACGTACTTTTTGCACCTAGTGCAGAGTCTCCAAAAGAGAAGTAAACGTGCCTCCACGATGTGAGGATCTGCAACTTGAGAATTTCTGCCGCTCGACTATGCTTGTCTTGAGAGAAGCTGCGAATTAATCTTTATCTGCGAAGTTCAGAATCATCTCAATGGCTTGAAAAGCTAGGCAAAGTTTCTGCATATTTGATTTAGCTGATTTAATTCTCTGAACTATTGCGGTTATTGATTTCATGAGAAAAAGGGTTTTCTGATCTTTGAAAATGTTAATGATTTCTGCTAAATTTTCCTGCGGGTTTTTCCGCTTAACTTTGTCACTGTAAAGGGTTTTAGGCGTTTCTTGATTAGTTTGGCCTAGAGCTTGAATAAATTCGGGGAAGTCATCTTTAGTGGGAATTTCTTGTGGTTTTTCTATCTTCTCTAAATGATTGAATCTTTTTCTGTATACCTTACAACCACGATAAGAAGTTCATATTATAACTCAGAATGCACAAAATTTATATCATTTGAAGAATTATCTAATTGTTGCCACATGTTCTGTTCAAATACTATAATAAGGCCAGAACGATGTATAAAAGAAATTAAGCAAACCAAACAAAAAGAAACAGTTTTTCACAGACGATTCAGTATTTCTCATGCAATTAATTCAATTCTCACTTCGCGACAAGGCAAAATTCCAGAAAGAATTAAGCATGATTTAATTCGCGATAATAAATGAATGCGTTATCTTTGTTGTTGCGTAGCTTAGTCTCTCTAGATTGGCAACAAATCTACCATTCTGCTGTTTCAAATGTAAAGAAATATGTCCTCCATGTTATTTAAAACTTAACCGCACTTAAACAGCTTTTAAATGGCTCATAATTGTACAAATTCTGATTCTTCCAGATTTACAAAAGGTATAAAAACTTTACCGGAATATAAGAACAACATAATTTTACAACATTTTTAAAGCAAAAATGTACAATTTACAAACATATAAGAATAAAGAAACTGAGATCACTGAGCCGAGTAAAGAGTGGATATATAGTATATATAAATATATTTATATACGTTTGGTGCGACCTATTGCAACCAAAATACAAGGTGCACATCTACATGTTACAGCAGTCCCATATACAAAATTTCAACGTTCTGAGGCTACTCGTTTTTGAGTTATGCGAGATACGTAAGTACGTACGTACGTACAAACGTTCGTACAGACGCCACGAAAAATTCTCTTCAGAATTAATTTTAAAGCAGTGTTATAATTTTTTTGGAGGAAAAGAGTCTTTTATTCTGTCCTTACGTACGGATATCACGCAAATACATCGTTAAATTGCATTCGAAAGCGGTCAAAATAGACATTTTCGTTGAAATATGCTGCCTGAAACTTTTCGCGATTACAATACTTCCTTTTTACTTCGTACAAGGAAGTAAAAAAGTCGGTTTCGACGTAATATGAAATTCAAAAGCTTTTTTTTTTTTTTTTTTTTTTTTTTTTTTTTTTTTTTTTTTTTTTTTAGTCCAAATGAATTTCAGTCCTTGGAGGATTATTGCTTTTGTTTTGGCATTTTGCGTCGGACTCCTATAAATGTCGGTTCACTTTTCAAACTGTTTCCACAAAATTTTAGAGTCCTGCATTATATATGAAGAAATTAAATAATGAAAATCTGCATAACTGTATGTATATTTTTCGCATTGTGATAAAATAACGGTACATAGAATCACCGAATTTTGAATGACGTAATCCTCCAACGAATATGGGCATGTGAAAGACCAAATTTGAAATTTGGAATTTTTTTATTATAGATTTTATATTTTGTAAAACTTTAAACGAATTTTTGGTTAACAAACTCAAGGATTTCAAAGCGAGCAATGGCAACGTTGTGCAGAAAAAGCATTTTATCTCCAACGCGTGAGTGTCTTTGTGGGAAATTCTAAAAATATACTTATTTTAAAACTATTTTGCGATATTTTGCTGTTGAACTGGATCTTATGGTTTAAGTGCGAAGAACATGATATTTAATAAAGAAAGGTAACACACAAAATGTTAAAAAAAACGCCCCTTTAGACGTTTGAGATTTTTCATTTTTATTTTATTTTATTTTATTTAGTTAGTTTTAATTTCAAAACATAGCATTTAACTATGTTTCTACATTATTTAATTTTATCACTGCAAGAAAGAGAAAGCTAGCTAGTGCTCAGAGCTTTGAATCTTTAATATAGCCGAGATTTATTTTCAAAGTGTTACAGTTTGGGTTGCCACTGAATTAAGAATCTAAAAAGATATTTAAGATTTTTTTCAATTATATTATAACTAGAATAACTTTCTTGGCTGGAATTAATTTATAAATATGCCCGATTTTCGAGTTGATTAAAGCCTGGTTAAAATTGTTTCAATTACTTAAAGCTGTGTGATTATTTAAAAATTCGATTCATATGATTTACGTGTCAGGTGGTATTTCGCATGCATGCCACATGCTCTAATTTTAATTAAGATTTTTTTTCAGTATTGAATTTGAAGGCTAGGGTCACATGTATGCTTACGTTTATCGAACTGTAATTATTTGCAGCTTTTTTATAGATGCTTCGACTGTATTATCCGTCTATTTAGAATACCCTAATTATTTGTTATGTCTTATTTCAGTTTATCGTACCTATATTTTTCGTACTTTATCTTAGCTGTATTTTCGTACTTTATCTTTATCGAACTGAAATTCTTTGTAGCATTTTTGAAGAGGTTTCGACTGTATTTTCCCTTTCTTTAGTGTATTTTTCTTCTCTTTTTTTCTTTTTCCCTTTCCCTTTTCTCGACTTCTTTTCCCTAATTATTTGTTACGTCTTATTTCACTTTATCTTACTTATATTTTTCTTACTTTATCTTACCTGTATTTTTCGTACGTTTATAGAATTGAAATTTTTTGTAGCTTTTTTGCAGAGCCCCCAAATGTATTTCCCCTCTTTTTACAATACTCTAGTTATTCGTTATGTCTTATTTCATTTAATTTTACCTGTATGTTTCGTACTTTCAGTTTGCTTTCTGTAATTTGCGTTGATGTGATTAGTCGTTCATTCGTCAAACTTTTAGAACCACTATAACTGGTTCACTAACTTTATCTTAAGATACTTCGATCCTTTAATTTAATTTTATTTTAATAATTTATACTTCTTTAAAATTTATATGCTTACTCCAGTTTAGAAGCATTGTTTTATGAAGAAAAAAGTCTGTATTAATATGAAGCAGTTCTGTATGACATTTCCCCCCTGGTTCTAGTTCCAAAGAACTAGAAGTTTTTAAAAATTAATCAAAATACCTAAAAGAAGGAAATATTACTTCATATTTGAGTCCGATCCAAAACGAAGTGTTCACTCTAGTAGATAAATATGAGACAACTGCTTGTACAGAAGAATCTGATACAGAAACGAGATGCCCTCCATCTCTTTGGCATGAATTTTCCGCTTCAATCCAACTCAAGTTATTACCAGGAAACATCTTGAAACAGAAGCCCTCCAATTTTAACCAACCTTGAGGATAAAGGCAGTCAAGTCCTCTGTTGTAAGCGGGCTCCGGAAGGTCTTTTTCTGCATTTTGAAAAATAAATAAACCTATGATACTATATCAATTTATTTGAAGTGTGAAAAGTAATAAAGGCAAACCAAAAATTTCAGTAAAGCAAAAGGTAAATCAAATATGCAAATATATTACAATAACCTGAAGGTGGTGATGAGATAATGGTACATTTCCAAAATATTTCTTGCAAGTCCCCGCTATAGATTGTTAATTTTATTGCAGAGGTATAAGTTGGATCCCTCAAGCTGAGAAACAATGCAGGGGTTCTCGACTGGTACGCGTACCACTGGTGGTACGCAAGAGAAAAATAGCTGGTACGCAAAGAAGTAAAGTATTTTAACTATTAAATTCAAAAATTAAAACCCCAACATCCTGATCGAGTTTTTTTCTCTAACGCTCGTAAATTTATGCGATCTGAGCTTTGTTCAAGAGTGGTAGCGGGTAGTAGTACTTAGTAGTGGTGGTGCTAAAGGTTTTCAATTTTTGTTTAGATGGTACGCGTTAGTCAAAAGGTTAAGAACCGCTGCTTTAGAAGACACTCCATTATTGGCTGCTGGAGGCATCGTGCTTCTATCGTCTGGCCATGAACTGTAGGTTCGTACCCACCGCCGATACATAGACCAATATAAATATAGTATAGCCTCGATTATCCAGATGTGGATTATCCGGTTTGCAGATTCTTATTTTGCGTGACGGTGCCCACGGACGCACATTCAATGTTATGCACCAGAGTGCACGAAAACAAGCATGCGCAACTTCGATCATGGAGCAAGATTCTTCCAAATATAGTAGTTGATTTATTTAGTTGTGAAGAAGTCGAGGCAATAACAGAAGTTATATGCCACAATATTGATAGTTTAAAATTCTTCGGAAATTCTTCTGGAGAACATCGAGGAATGGTTCGATGGCGATTCGGATAAGCCAGACTTTTAGTGCTTGAGAGATACTGATATAGTTTCAATGTCACAAGAACAGAAGTGGTAGAGATAATTACTAAAAATACAAGCGAAGTAGATAATGACAATTACATCAATCTCGAGATAGCAATGACTTCTGTAGAAACTCTGTTGCTGCCCAGGTGGAAGAGTGTTTAGGTGAGCCTACTGCGGTACCGTAGGTCCCGGGGTCTAATCCCGGAGAAGCATGGATGTTTGTAAATGTATAGCGTCTTTGCAGCATGGGGCACTGTAAATATATAGCGAGCCGAAAGTCCTCTCGACAGGTTGATGGTAGGGGAAGAGGGGTGGGAGGCCCTCGAACCCATCCCCCAGGGTGCTCTTCATCAAAATTGGAGTGGAGCTGAGTGCAGTCGTACTGCTCCCTATATGGTGCTCAAGGCTATTGCCAACGATAAGCCCACTCTTGCTCTCCTTGTCACGACAACATTCGTGGGCTTGTCCTGATGTTACTATCAGATAAGTGAGATAAGTCACAACAGCAACAACAGATACTAGTTAACGATCCTAATTCCAATCCATCTTTGCCTTCGGCCTTTAAAGAAATTATGTTTTAGTTCTGGTTTCACCAACAGATGGCGCCACTTGCTTATTCTTGTCCAGGCTTTCTTATCTTATCTAATCATTATTTCCTATTTTGTTCATTTGCGATTTTGCAGCTGAAGATGGTGGTTCGGTAAAACCATCAAAACTAGTCCTGTGAAAATTTTGAAAATATAACGCTGATTTTTGTTGTTTGACTTCTGAATTAGAACAGATACTCTATTAGACTTCGAAGGCTAAAGGCAAAAACAAATCAAAATTACTGATTTTTAAAGAAATACCCACACGCAATATGCATTAAAATTGATAATTTGGATTGTCTGCGTTTTTCAGTTATCCGCGATCTGCCTTCCCAGCAATAGCCCGCAAAATCTATAGTACACTGTATATGCAAATTGTAAAACAACTTCACAGAAACTAGTCAGGTTTCTATGGGTAATAGCTCGATTTTTAGCAAACAAATCAAAGCTGTTTTCAAGAATCGGGGCCGAGTGCGTGATATTTTATCTGACAACAGCGAGTGTCTATATTCTGTATAAAAGATATATTATAAAAGCATTCTCTATTAAAAACTTTTCAGTTAATAGTTTTCTTCCTTTGATTTCATTACTTTGAGAAAGTGATTAAATTAAAAGTAAGAATTTGTGTTAATGTTGATTCAAAATATGGAAATATTTCGACAGGAATTTTACACGGTCCTTCTTCAGCAGTTGAACACAACAGTGCATTAAAATTGAAGAAACGTTCGTTGGTTGCCATCGACTGAGAAGAATTGAAATCAGAAAAAGGCAACTTAGGAGCCTGTTTACTCATATCACTTAACATCCGAAAGATATTACAAATTGGTATTCTTGAGATTTGGGGAAAACAATATGTAAGTCTAATATAAATTGTAAATTAAATATCTTTAATATAGAAATTATATTAAAGTTGTAATGCATAGTTGTTATTATATAGTAAATATGTAGTTGCTACTAAGTAAAGAAATATTTACTTAATACTCGATCTTGGCACGGAAGAAAAAAAAATATTTCTATGTGAAACATAGAATATCAACTGTATTACGACTCTTGTCAGCGTTGCCCGCCAGAATGTTGAATTACAAAAAGAAAAGTCAGCATTAAATGTGTAAAAAGGCACTCATACAGCAACGAAGTATATGATGTTATGTCGTTATTCTAGATAGAATTTCTCTGAAAAGCACGTCAGCTTATTTGCTGTTGAATTTAAAGAAATAAATCCGTTATTATTAAATAAAATTCTTATTTTGTCAGTATTAAATAAAAAGAAAATTTCGTAATATTTTTTAATTTCATCATTGCTCTGATAGTAATTTTCCTGACCGTATTTTCATCACAGCTTAATAAGGTAAATATACTAAAATTGATGATGATTATAATAATGATAATAATAATAAAAGAGAGGAAGAATTCTCTGAAAGATTTCAGATTTAAACGTTGCACCACAGAGTTTGCTAGGTTTCCTTATGTTCTCGCTGAAGTTGCAAATTACCAGTTTCTCTGCTCTTGAAACTCATCCCTGGTCCACAACTGCTTTCAAACATCATTATTAAATTAAATTAAATTAAATTTCAATGCAAAATTCTGAATTTAAAAATCTGCACCATGTATAAATTATCAATATCTAATGTCCATTTATTTAAAGAAAATTTTAAACGCTGTATTAAATTACATTTATTTCAGTATCTCATGCTTGTTAACATGACTCTCACAAATCCACTTTTGTATAATTTTTCAGTAGGCCTGATGTAAGATTTTTCGTGTTTATCAAAACAAACTCTAGAAGATTTTTCCTAACACAGCTCAGATAGTATTACTATATTTAAGTTATTTTAATTTTGATAATAACGTATTTAGTACCTTTTCCGGTCTGGCAAAAAAAAGCTAGCTTCCGACTACAGTAATCATCTCTCCATACTCCACTCTCTTTCTCGCTGTATGCCATTTTGACACAGTCTTCCTGTAAAAGGTTGTATTCATATAAGATAAAACATTTAATAATCAAAAATAAAATAATTATTCATCTCCTACACAAAAAAAATCTGATCTGGACACTGTATGACTTCCTTGTACAGCTTATTAAATTGTACAAATTTTTTGCTGCACTTCATTTATACTTACTTCCTAGAATTATTTTTACTTAATTAATCGATACATCAATGTTAAATATTTGCATTATCGCCTGTAGTAACGGTAACCGCCGTCAATAAAATGAGGTGCTTTCCTTGGTAGCGGCGCAGTTCATTTTCAGTTCGAGCCAGAGTAGACCTGCCCGGGGGAGAAGCCAGGGAATGATTGTTCCGGTTCCCGTCCTGTTCCGGTTCCCGTCCTGTTCCGGTTCCCGTCTTGTTCCGGTTCCCGTCCTGTTCCGGTTCCCGTCTTGTTCCGGTTCCCGTCCTGTTCCGGTTCCCGTCTTGTTCCGATCCCCGTCCTGTTCCGGCTCCCGTCCTGTTCCGGTTTCCGTCTTGTTCCGGTTCCAGTCCTGATCCGGTCCTTTTCCAGTTTCAGTCCGGCCGTTTAAGTCCAAAACACGTAGGAGCTGAAGTCTGAATCCAGCGAATGGAGATAAAGTCACAGATGGATTTCGTCTTTTAAAAGAAAGTGTTCTTTACCGTGCCGGAATAGCTGCCAGTTTAAAGCATTTTTGAATGTTTCCACCTAAGATGTTAAGCTTTCGTTTATGATGTTAAGTTTTTCATCATTTTTGAAGTTCCAGTTAAATAAACCTTTACGTTTTAGACAAGGCTTTGTGTTCTTCAGAAATTTTAGATTCGAAGTCAGATATATCACATAGGATTTAACGGGAAAAATCAAAAGCAAGTCGAAAATGACATCAAAAATTGCAGATTTTGAAATTAAATATCCTGGTCGATTTTTATCGTAAGGGAGTCAAATTTCTTATAATTTTATTTTTTCATAGTAAGTATAAAACATTTTGAAATATAAGTGAAAGAACCTATATTTTGTTATTTGTCGAAAATTACCCTTTTAAAAACAAAATTGGACATTTTTTGAACTGGAAGCATGAATATTTTCGTCAATCAAAACACTTTTGTGATTGGAGGTATATAACTGCGACTAACAATTGTAAAAAACAAAGATCGAGTAAAAACTTTTATAGCCGAGTGAGGGGTGGGGATAATCATATTATATATATAGTATATATATATATATAAGACATAAAGTAAGAACTTTATAACTAATGTTTCCCAAAGACGAAAATTTTGAAATTAATAACTAAAAATTTCAAATAATCTAATAAATGTAACAAGAATTTAATAAATGTAAAAACCAAAACTTTTAAATCTAAAAAAAATTCCTTAAAGAAATTAAAAGAAAAAGTAACATAACAGAACAGTAATTCAATCAACTTTAGTGCTACTTTATCACTTCAGTGTTACTTCATCTATATATATATATATATATATAGGGTGATTCTAAATTACTTTTACAAATTAAGAGGGGTGATTGTACACAGCCAGATGAGCAATAATTAATTACCATGGAACGTAGGGTCGCATTCCACTCTGAGATGCAGAAAAGAAAAATATTCGAATTCCAATCTGAACTTACAGCAGTGTTGGGAGCGCAAATAAGTTAATTATGTAATCAAGGGCTGAATATTATCAACTAATGTCAATGTCCGCTGCATGCCGAGATTAGCATGAAAAGCTCATGCTGCGTTCCGGCTGTCAGAACTTCGTGTCCCACAGAAGGGCGCTTCAAGTAGAATGAGCGCAGCAGAGTTAAGTCCAGGAAGACAGGATAGACGATGGCTAAGAGAAAAACAACTGCTACCTTTATACTTGATATTAAGGTAGTTCCCCCCCCAATAGATAATTTTCCCTTAATAATTTAGATAATTTTCCCCTTACAATTTAGAATTTAGATAATTAACTTGTTGAGATCATTTGCGAGATTGAGACCTTGCCAACCAAATATGTGCATTTCAGTGTTTGCCATCAAAGTCTCAGCTCTAATTAACACTCGAACGCCAAGTTTTCGGTTTTATTCGTTTTGTGCACTCTCTGTGAGTTTGTCACTAACTGATTGGGCAACATTTGATCTCGTTCATTCGCTCTCCCAACACTGTTGTTAACTTCAGATTGGAATTCTAATATTCTTCTTTTCTGCCTCTCGAAGTGGAATGCGACCCTATGTTCTATGGTAATTATTGCTCATCTGGATGAGTACTATCACCCCTCTTAATTTGTAGTAGTAATTTAGAATCACCCTGTATATATATATATATACACAGTAGAAAAGCAAAGGTGCAACTAGATGTTATAGCAATCGCATATACAAAATTTCAACGTTCTGCAGCTAATCGTTTTTGAGTTATGCGAGATATATACATACATAGTATATACGCACGTACAGACACCATGGAAAAATTCCCATTTGAATCCATTTTAAATATAGTTTACAATGCATTTTGTAAAAATAATCATTTATTCTGTCCGAACGTACAGACGTTCGCAAAAAAATCGTTCAAATGGATTCAGGATCAATCAAAATGTATGTTTCTGTTGAAATATAATGCCCAAAATTTTTTGCGATTACAAAACTTTCTTTAATTTTTACAAGGAAGTAAAAGGCTTCACTCAGAGGATTACTACAAACCCTAAAGACAAACTGCTAACGGTAGTCCAGACAACAAAATAACATTCTTTCTGATGGCTAATGTTGCCACTAACGCTGTTAAAAAAATTTATTCTTTCACCAATTTTTAATAAGTTCTCTTTATCATAATACTGACTGCATCAAATAAAACAACGAATCGAACATAGTAAGTGATCAATTAAAACAGAAACACATTCTGCAATTGTAACTGTACTACGTTCTTCGACTTTAAGTTTAAACAAAGGGCTAAATTAAAAAATTTTCAAGAATTTACCGTTAGCTACAATGATGTCACCCTCATTGCATTCCCGTCTTTACTGTAGTTGCGATCCAAAACGATATGTAATTGCTATTGTCGAAAGCGTTTTGTCTTTATTTGATACGTTAAGTCTCATTCACCGTTTTCTTTAAGGCTGTTTGTTTTATTCGGTTTTTATCATTATAGCCCCGTTCACAAGAGCAGATTCGACCGGTAGCGAAAACCGGTTCTTCCAACGTGTCCCGTTCACATGGGACAAGCATTAACTGCCTCGCCGAATTGGAGGTAGAATTTGGTTGAATGCTCCTTACCTCTCGGGAGCAGGGCAAATGGGGACATTTCCCGTACTATACTGCGCGGTTCACTTAATTTTAGTTACTGCTCGCTGGACTGTCAGGGAAACAATCGCGCTGATAGATGTCTGGGGATGCTACCCCCCAAATTAGATAGAACTGTACAAGATACGGAAATTATAGAAAAATACAGACAAGGTTATCTCATAATTCCAGAAATATCGTTCAAATTAAAACTAAAGACAAGGTCATATGGGCTTCAACGCGACAAGGGACTCGGTAACCATTTGAATGATTATTTAAAAAAAAAAATAAGCATTTTCATCTACTTTTTATAAATATTATTAAATGATTTTGTGAGACAAAATAATTTTAAGCTGAAAAAAAAGTTTTTACTAGTAATTTTTTTAATTTAAATTTTTGAAGAAAAATTTTACAATTAAAATGTTTTTCTTCTCCTACAATTTTCAATGTCTCCCCCCCCAGTCTTTTTATTGTATTTATTAGTTCTTAATAACTTCAAGGAATAATTTTGCAATTAATGAATTTGTTTCAGAGAAAAAATAAAAATACACTTTTATCTAAAATCTTTAAAACAAATATGATCTCAGTCACATTTTCATTTCAAATAACTTTTCCTTTCAGCATTTTGCAAAAACCCATCCTTATCCTTGTTTTCTATACAGTATATAATTTTAAATAATCAATAAATATAATAAAAAATTTAGTCCATACCTGTATATGTTTTAGGACTTTAAGTAAAAGGATTTATTGAAAAAAATGCAAAAGGTTTCTCAGTTTGCATTTGCAGTTTAAAGAATACAAACTGTCTAAATAGACATTAAATCATTTCAAGTTTCTTTAAAATTTTATTACTGAATTTCACTACGCACCAAACCTAGTGCTATTTATTCAGTTGGTAAATATAAATTAAATAAAATTACAAACCTTTTTTCAAAACCTTATGTGGCCAGAAAAATTGCAAAAACTCATAAAACGCAAGCAGAATTTTTCTTTACCTGTTTTTGTTTTGTAAAACATGTTCAAAACAATTTTAATACATTAATTAATTATAATATTGTTGCGTGCGTACCGGTTTGTAAAAGATTGATAATATTTCGTAAATGATTGTCATTGCACTCAAATCCGATGATAGCTTAATTAAATTATTTTATCAACAGAAAACATTTCAAAGTTCTGGATGTTCTACAGAAATACTCGTACAAGTGTTTAGAATATCACTAAGTATAATCAGTAGTTATGCTTCAATCTAATAAGAACGTTAAACACAACGGAATGCAAAAACGCATCTTAAGAGAAAATTAACTCAGAAATATCTCCAATCTCACGCTGAACTAACAACTGGCAACAATAACAGCTTATCATAGAGCATAAATAATGTCATAAAAATAGTTTGGTATAATGAGAATTATTACTTTGAAACCGATGTTTTGAATTGATGCCCAAGAAGAACCAATATTTCCCATTCTGCTTCACTTGCATATCTTTCAAAAAAGTAAAACAATTATCATGCAATTAATTTCCTTTATCATTTTTTTAAATGCGAAAAAGTTTGTTTTATAAGCTTTGAAAATGTCGGAAGTTTGTAACCGATATATTTTTAGATATGAAATTTTAAAATTAATGGGCGTCAAAAAGTCTAAAAATATGAACGATTTTCAAAAATTCTCCAAAAATATTTTTAAAAAAATTACGCTAAAAATTTCATTTAATTATTTTTTGTCCTCCACAGTGTATGTACAAATTTGTGGTTATGGTGCAAACTATAATATTCTGAGATTCTCAGTTTATTTGTTAATATTTCAAAAAATCGTTTCAGCTTTAAATTTGAAAAAAATCTAATCCTCTAAAAATCAAAAGCGTGACATCACATCCACAAGCAGTGTAAGTACAAAGTTTGAGTTCTATATCTTATCGGGGAGCAGTTTAAAAATCCCTGATCATCTTTTAAGCATAGCGACAAGCACCAAGAGTGAACTAAATAACAGCTTATAAAATAATAATAATAATAATTAAAAAGCATATATTTTTCAGGAACCATTACGAAAGTTCAGGTACCAGTTGCGAAAGTACAGATTACAAAATTAACAACATTAAACAACGTTAAAAATGTGTAAACAGTATTAGAAATCTGCCAATTCGGAGACATGATTGTTCACAGAGGCTTAGGTGCAAAGGGAAGGAAGAGGGTGATCTTCTGAACGGTCCTAAAGACGAAACTCTTTCATGTCTCCTTTTTCTCCTCCTGCTAACGGCAGCTGTGCGAAGGAGCGTTGCATGTGAATGGGGCTTTAGACAGATGGTGGTATCCTTGATTTCAAATCAACTTCACTTATAGTAGGCGGCCTACCAGCAACCGAGAGGTAAACACTTTAAGTTATCCCCGGATTCAGACTAATGATACGGGTTAGCTCCATGAGCGTTTTTTGTGTTTTCCCATGTGTAATATGAATATGAGCCAGTCCTCTTTTAAAACAGAATGGCTCTAGTTTGATTTGTCATAATCGAATGCAATTAATTCCTTATCGCAGGGCACCCCAACTTAGGATCGACTTAAAAAATTTCAAAATATGTCTTTTGAGTCCTTGAGTACTGGGTCAACTGATGAGCTTTGGTGTAATCATCATTCAGTGTTGCTGAACTAAAACCGGAGAGATTTGAACAACAACCAATAATTAATTTAGAAGTCAAACAACAAAAAATCAGCAATCAGTCAAACAACAAAATCGCAAATGAACGAGATAAGATATAGCGATTAGATAAGATAAGAAAGACTAGACAAGAATCAAGGTACTGGCGCCATCTGTTGATGAAACGAGAACTAAAACATAATTTCCTTAAAGGCTGAAGGCAAAGATAAATTGGAATTAAAGTCGTTAACTAAAAATAGAAATTATTTTAATGCGAAATGCCTCCAGAAAATCTAATTTACCAATGGAAGATGTTTTTTGAATAATTTTGGCTGCAGAAAAATTGAAAGTGTGATTTTCCGACCAACAATGCTGGGTAACAGTAGACTTCTGTGTTTCCTTTTTTTTTTTTTTTTTTTTTTTGGGTGTGTGTGTGTTGTTTGATTTCTAAATTAATATTTGCTGGGCCTGTTATTGTATCTTAATAACCAATCAATTACTATATGAATAAGGGTTATACGGAGTATAAAAAGAATAAGAGAACTCTGCCTTATGGAGGAAATTTTATCATAGCACCGCAGTTGCAGTCGGTATTTACGTAAATGAATTACGCTAAATTACGTGAAGTAATTTAGCTTAATATTATAGTTGAAGAAGTTAAAATATATCACATTCATCCAAATATTTCCATTCGAAGCGTAATTTGTTATGTATGTGAGTAATTTCATTAGAAATATTTTCGCTGTGTTCGAATGAAGGTACGTCCCTTTCAGGGGCGCAATGTTATGATTTTTTAAAAGTTATGAAAAAGTAAGCATAATGACATGCAATGGTCCTATACACAAAATAAATGAGTTTAAAAAAATTTTTTTCGTCCCCCTTTATGGAAAGGGGACCGGTTTCGCCTTGAAACCAGCGCCCGTCTAGAGCATTTAAGACTAAACATTTGCTTATTTATCTTTACTTTGCTGGAAAGTATCTGAACGTAACCCAAATTGCAGATTATACCAGTAAATTACTGAACAACTAATGAAGTAAGTAATATTTGCATAAACACGCATTTTTAATTATAAATAAAAATTTAAAACAGGAAACAAAAATATGAGACATAAAGTAACTAACAAATTACTTACATAAAACTATGAAATATTTTTTTAAATTATGTTAAAAACTAAGAAAATTATATGTAAAAATAAAATTAATTTAGATGCATACAATTATTGCACTATGAACTAGAAGCATTAGAAAAGCGGCTGCTAAGAGAAGCAGAATAAAAACGCAACTGTGGGTGTTTTTCACTGTGCTCTGTGTCTCTGTAAAAAATAAAAAATGTTTTCTCTCTCTCAAAAGCCCCATAAATCGTCATCTTTGAAGCCACTGAAATGAAGATATGGAGCAACTGTTTACAGCAGTGATCCGAAAGCAATAAACACAACTGCAAAAAATCTCGCGACTGCGTCATCTGATCCTTTCTTCGATGTCTCAGAGGGGCGGTGGTTTCATACTGAAACCGCAATGAAAACATTCAAAATTAAAAGGGTTCCATTACTTTTTGTGAACCAAGGACATTTCTTTACTCATTGATGCCTGCTTATAAAATATATTGTGGAAAAATAAAAAATTTGGGGTTTTTTTGTTTTTGGGTCAAAAAGAGTAGTGTGTAAAACAAGCTATTTCTGAATGATTCGTATCAATTAATGGATGCCCAGAAAGGTTTGGTACTGCCATCTGTTATCAGCTTTAAGAAGTAATTTAATTTTAGCAGCTGTTTTGAGAAAAATAAAACCAAATTTTCTAAATTTAAAAAAATGTTGAAAATGCGGTTTCAAGGCGAAACCACCGCCCGTGAAAGGGTTAAGAAGAGTAATTTAGCTTTCAAAAAGTATGTTTTGCTTACAATATTTACATATTCTATAGTTTATATCATTTTTCGTGCAAAAAGAATATAGAAACACAAATCTCATCTTTTAAAATTTCAGTTCAGTTTTAATTTTATTCAACGATAAAGGTTAAATTTATGATATGGCAGCATCAAATATTATTTTTATTTAAGAAAGATACGTGATATATTTATATGATATTTTAGAGTTTTAAGCACTCTTATATATTTTGGTTTTATAGATATATTGAAATTCGAAATTATTTTTAGTTACAGTTTTTTTTTTTTTTTTTTTTTTTTTTTTTCCCGGGGGTACTTATGCCGCCTAAAATCAGAAATGGGTTCACTATTATTTATATGACTGCGACTTTGAAAACATAAAAATTCCATTCACCTCCAGCACAAAGAAAGAAGGCTCTCCAGGAGCCCAGTTTGTATATCTCAACTCAGAATTATCCATCCAGTAGTAGCTCCCGGATTCAATTGTATCATGTAATCCAATCCAAGCATCTGTCTTGAGTCCTTGCAACAAAAAGGCTAGAAATGCTGCAAGAAAAATCAATATTTAGCAATATTAAGAAGCATTATAACAAAAGAAGTAATAAAATCATTTATATGCTTCAAAAAAATGGCATGACCAATCATATCTTGAATAGTGAGTCTTAGACTCATAATTCCACTCTAACAAAAGAATTAAAGAAATATAAATATTTCAGGCCATCAAAAATGTAATCAAGCGGAGCAATTTGTTAAAATATGCGAAATATAAATTTTTATACTTGTCTTGTAAAATAAATTCTGATGTGGACACCTTATGACTTCCTCGTATGGCCTATTAAATTACACACATTTTTTGCTGCACTTCATTTCAACTTATTTCTTTCAATTCTATGAGAGGTGTATTTTTCGTTCCATTAATTCAATTCTCACTTCGCGACAAAACAAAAATACGTAAAATCTCAAAACATCCACATTAAAAATTTTAAAAAACAAGAAAACGTAAAACACCAATACAGTTAAAACAGCTAAAAAATAAATTTTACAATTAAAATTACAATTTCTACACAAAAATAAGCAATATGGCTAGCGGGTGACAAGACAGATTTTTCGGTGCACAAAAGAGAAAGTTTACTTTTAATCCCACTCTGCAAAAGACTTTAAAAGTGGGAAAACTGACTGAAGTCACTATTCTATTGAGTTTAAAATTTTAAAAAATGGCGGTTCGTTATGCTTAACTTGCCCTTTAAACTTATAAATTGTTAATAATTCTACAACTACGGCATGCAGATTAACAAAAGGCATAAATGCCTTCACCGAAATATAACAGCTACATAATTCAATCACCTTTTAAAGCAAAAAATGCACAATTTATCAACATATAAGAATAAACAACCAAGCTCACCGAGCCAGGTAACAGAGTGGGAGTATATGTATATATATATATATATATATATATATATGATTGGTACAGCCTAAAGCAACGTAAAAGGGAGGGGCGCTACTACATGTACTTGAGTTATTCGTTCGAGATATATACATACGTTTGTACGTACATACACGTACAGACGTCAAAAAGAATCTCTTCTGAATATATTTTAAATCCCTTTTGCAATCCTTTTTTGGTAAAACATTTATTTAACCTCTCTGTACGTACAGATGTCAGGAAAACATCGTTCAAATAGTTTCGAGAGAGGTTGAAATGGATGTTGTCATTGAAATTTGCTTGGGCTGTCGTATTTCAGCGCGCTCTTTTAATTCCAAAATGTCGAAATGTGAGAATTTGACTTTTCCATATTTTAAGATTAATTAACTAACAAACGTAGTATTTCATGTTAAATAATGCTTTTGTATAAATTAGATTAACCATTTTTAAATAATAATAATTAAATTTTATTTCTTGCATTATCGCTTAAGTTTGCCAAACAGTGTAGTACTAGTTAATATTAACATGCAACTTAAGAATAAAAATTTGAGCAACATCCTTTTTATTCCTTAAAACAACTGTTATTCAGTATTACCAAATACTGAATTAAATTAGTATGTTTCCCTAAGAGGTAACTTAAAGCTAGTAATTTCCTTTTACACGGAACTTGTTAAGACAAATAATCATTTTAAATTTTGTTTTCCTTCCTGATCTAAAACTGTATGTTTAATTCTTATTTTTGTTTCTTAAATTTTGATTAGTAAACGTTACCCATTTTCCGATCTGTTTCCAATCCAACTATTCATTTCTTCTATCATAAATAAATAATTTTTGCAATTACTTTTGAAACAAACATAATATTTTATATTATAATATTTTAATGCACTTTATTTATTTCTGTAGCACTCAGGTGCACAATACAGCAAAATCGCATAAAATCACAGATTATAAATACCTAAAAAGAACAATAATATTTTTCTACTAAACGAATTTGAAATCATTTGAAACGGAAACGTTACATTAACGTCACTTCGTTTCATAGAATACGTGCTTGCTGTTGCCACACATTTTCTTAAATTTAACACTCATAACATTTTTCATATATAAAAGTGACAGTTTCAAGCAAAGCATTTATTTTCATATATTTTTTTTTATTTTATTTAGATACGCATTTTACTAATAAGACAAGTTAATATAATTAGGAAAAAAGTTTGAAATGGTTCGGATTATAACGATCCCCTTTATAACAATCCCCGCTTAGAAGTATATAAGGTTACAAATGAGAGGAATACGGCCCGATCCACCTGGTATAAAAATAGGAGTACATAAACTATTATCTCCTTTCTGCATGCCTTCGCGGTGTAACAGTTAGCACACTCGCCGCGTATTCGAGAGGTCCAGGTTAGAGTGCCGCCGAAAGCATTGCTCTTTTTTCACGCTTTCTGCTTTCAAAAAAAAAAAAAAAAAAAAGAAAGAAAAAAAAAAAAAAAAAAAAAAAAAAAAAAAAAGAAAGAAAGAAAAAAAAAAGAAAGAAAAAGAAAAAAAGAAAAGAAAGAAAGAATTTTAAAAACGGTACTTTTATTGGATACTATAATAAAACATTTTACCTTGGTCCCTCTTGTTGCGTATGGAAGCTAGAGAACCGTTAAGATTACTGCAGATGTTCATAGCTGTGGTCCAGTTGACCCTGTCTTTTACCGCATATCCTACAGGATAATAACAGCGATCATCTGAAAAGAAATGATTGAATCAAATACGTTTTTTCCATATCACATCCATATATAACACTACCGCAAGTCAATAAATAGATAAAAATTTTATTGAAATCATTTTTTTGTTCATGATAAGGTACAAGCTGATTTGATTTCTTTTGCCAGAAAACCGGGGATTACTAAATTACATTATACCATCGGTTGCTCATGTTGAGTTAGATCCTTCTGAGTTCAGGTAATAGGTTTTTCATAAAAGTGACAGTTTCAAGCAAAGCATTTATTTTCATATATTTTTTATTTTATTTAGATACCCTTTATAACGATACCCTTTATAACAATCCCCGCTTAGTAGTATATAAGGTTACAAATGAGAGGAATACGGCTCGATCCACCTGGTATAAAAATAGGAGTACATAAAGTATTATCTTTCTCCTTTCTGCATGCCTTCGTGGTGTAACAGTTAGCACACTCGCCGCGTATTCAAGAGGTCCAGGTTAGAGTGCCGCCGAAAGCATTGCTCTTTTTTCACGCTTTCTGCTTTCAAAAAAAAAAAAAAAAAAAAAGAAAAGAAGAAAGAATTTTTTAAAAAATCTGAAAGGTTTCAGATTTTAAATTACGACCAAAGGGTTGTTTTTTTTTAACGTTTTGTGTGTTACCTTTATTTATTAAATATTATGTTCTTTGCACTTAAACCATAAATTTCAGTTCAATAGCAATGTCACAAAGTAATTTTAAAATGAGCCTATCTTTAGAATTCCCGATACACAGTTCCGCGGGCTGGAGATAAAAAGGTTCCCCCCACACACACACATAGATTGCTGCCATTCCTCGCTTTCAAATCGTTGAATTTGTTACTTAAAAATTCGCTGAAGTTTTACAAAATATGAAATCGATCATAAAACAAATTCCAAATTTCAAATTTAGTCTTCCACATGCCCATATTCGCAGGAGGATTACGTCATTCAAAATTCGATGGCTCTGTGTATCGTTGTTTTATCACAATGCGAGAAATATACATACATTTATGCAGATTTTTCATTATTTAATTTCTTCAAATATAATGCAGGACTCTAACATTTGGTGGCAACAGTTTGAAAAGTGAAACGGACATTTATAGTGATTCAATGCAAAATCGTAAAACGAAAACAATAGTCCTTAATGTCACTTGCTTCTGGATTAAATGAACTATGAAAATTTAATTAGAACAAACTTCAGGATCCTCACAACTCATTTTGCTGGAATATAGTTTGCATTTTTTTTAACAAAGGGTAATAATACACTTGTGTTTAATAGAAAATTCAATACGTTTGTATTTAAATGTCTTAATACCCTAATTAGGAGTAATTTACTCACAAAACGTCTTACTATTTTTGTCTTCAAAATGGACACCAGAGCTGGTTGAGGAAAATAAGTAGATGTTAAATAAAGCAGACTGAGGCAGGATGCGGTAGATGAATACGAAGGATTGTGATTAAGAGAAATCTCAAGAACCAGGAATAAAAGTATTGATTACTAAGGCAAAGGCGATCGAAAGCTTCCGAAGAATTTTCAGGCAGTGTTTTCAACATCTATCTCAACAGCATTTAATGAGTTGAAATAAACTATCATTCGAATTATGGAGACCTTGCTGGGTTTAGCCTTGACGGAACTCGCAGAAGGCACCTGCCTAAAGGAAGGAATGATTTCGGAGAACGCTTCCTTAGAGAAAACGCTTACATTTATCTTATACAAGAGGCAAACGATGAATTCTTCTCTACTCATTGCGCTCGATAAACAGCAGGCAATCAAACACAAAAATAATTGTTTCACACTTCAGACAATCAGCTGTTGGCGGGCTCATAAATAGAAGAAAATAGGAGGAAAATATGAAGAAAAAGGTTAAGAGCATCCGAATGAATTCTTTTTGATTGAATAAAGCAAACATTCAAAATTTCTTGCGATAATTATTTTTAGACATAAGTTAAGATAAAATAGCGTAATGTTACTAAACCTCTTTGTATTACTGCTCTCTACAATGAAATTTGTGCCCACGAGTGACCAAATTGAGCAGGTATTTCGATTCGGGCTAAAAATTCCATTTAAAGGGTTGGTTTTTTAGTGTTTTTCCCACGAGGTTTTCCTTAAGTAACACGTGAATGCAAACCAGGTTCTTTTGTCATTAAAACATCTTCCACTTACATCAGTGAAGTTGAGAATATTTTCGTGATTTCCATAATTTCATAAACAAATAAATGCGAAGATATCTATGCTGCATAGAGAGAAAAGCAAGTTGTCTGAACAACTGAAGTCTCGAATAACTAGAATCCCGATATATAAAATTGTTAGAAAAAATCCTTTATATGCCAGCCAGAGGCCAAATACTCCAAATATTTGCATGGGCGACCTCTGGTCACTTATATCAGGAGCCTCTCTGCTAGAGTGGCGCCGCATGATGAAAATATTATCCTGAAACACATTTTTGCTTTAAAGACAGTTTTGATTGCTCTCAAACCTAAATTTAGCGACAACTCATGAACAAAAAGTTTTGTCCTTTATCAGGAAACTTTCGTTATCCGGAAATGCGTTGATCTACTCGAGTGTTCAGGAATGCGGGAATTCCATTAACGCAAGTTCGATTGGATACGATCGATACCGACAGCTTTTACGCACCCACATACGAAAGTAAAAGAGACTTCCATTTGGCATAACTAATGAAACTCAAACAATTAAAACTGTAGTTTTTTTGTAGAGTCATTAGGTTATTTCGAAGCAGGAGAGTCGAGAAATGAGCAAGGCCTTCGTCGGGAATCAAACCATGGACCTCTGGAATACGCGCCCAGCGTGCAGACCACTATACCACGAAGGCACGCTAAAAAGGCGGAAGAAATACCTTATATACTCCCCCTTTTAAAGAGCTACTGTGGTTTTTAGGGGACCCAATCCCCAAATCCTGGGTTGGAGAATCATCTTCCACCACCTTTTAAATTCGGGAGCCACTATAGACTCATTAGGTTATTTCGAAGCAGGAGAGATATGGTCACTTTACTTAACCTGTTCCGCCAAACTATGTTAATGGCACTACAGGGTTAGGAAGTCATCCTAGTCGTTGCTAGCAATCTGGAGGTTAGGCCGCCTTTCTACATTTTACATTAATCTTTAGTTTCTTGGATATAATTATTTTCATTCACTTGCTTCATTATCTCTAAGATGCGCTTGTTGCAGTAATAGTCCGTGAACAGTCTATTCACAGGATATGTGATGTAATCGGAAGGAAAGAACTGCTGTCGAAGGTGCTCTGTCAGAGGGCAGGACAGCAGGTAATGAAGTGCTTCCGAGTCTTCCCCTCGAAAACCTCAAGAACAGTTGACGTCCCGTCTGAGGAATCGTCTGTAATACGCTGGGAATTTCCCGTGGATGGTACAGGCCTGGAGGAAGAGTCGGTTGCATTTGAGCCTCTTGAGATTAAGTATTGGGAAGATGTTGTAAGTAAATCTTCTTGTCTCTTCTTCCTGCCATCGTGATGACCATGTCTCTTAGAATGTTGTCTTGAGGAGCCTTTTTGCAACTTCTGCGGAAAGCGGAACTTCCTTGTCAATTTCTGTTTTGAGAGCTGCGGTTTTATCTAGTTCATCAGCTCGTTCGTTGCCTTTCTGCCCGGAGTTCCTTTTATCCAGTTGATCTTTAAAGGGATGGAGGAGCCTACCGTCAAGAGGATCTCTCTAGGTGCTTCCGTGCGCAGTTGATTTGGAGGAAAAGAATTCGGCGCTTTCAGAACTCTCGAAAAATGAGCAATGCCTTCGCCGGGAATCGAACCATGGACCTCTGGAATACGCACCACCTACTACATCACCAAGGCACGCTAAGAAGGCGGGAGAACTACCTTATATGTTATAAAGTTTTATTTGTTATCAATTGTAGTTCTTGTTCAAATACTCTCCACACAGTATACAGCAGCCGAAGTAAAAGAAACAAATTTGAAAATTTGCTCTTTATACTCGGTTAGACTCCAATTTAATAATTCGACGATGTTCCATCCGCTCAAAGAAATAATTAGGCTTAACGTACTCGATTGGATTACGATACGATTTATAATTCACAAATGATTGATAATAATTCTTTAAAAAATGAAGTTTTTAAGAAAAGGAGTGGAATGCAATTCAATATTTTTAGAAGACGTTGAATTAAAAAAATAAATAAATAAAAACTGTTGTTCAGGCAAAAATCCAAAACAAAAACCTGGTATCAAAATTTTATTAAAGGCACATTTTGCTTAAATAAAACTGCACAGGTCTTATAGTTCGAAAAGCAGCTGTAGCTAATTTGAAGCGTAAATAACACTTCAGCAACTTAGTAGCAACACTTCCTTCAAGTGTCGTGACAATAATCTCCTACATTGCTAGTATGCTAATATTTCGTGAATGACGGGTGGCATCGAGGAGATTTCCCGAATGGCCCTAAGAAAGGGGAAATACTGAAGAACAAGAGATAACGAGAGAAAACAACTTACGATAGGCATACCATCCTTTTTGACAGTGCCCAAGCGTCGGATCTTCAGTAGTTGGAATTTCTGGTAAATTAGTGGCATTGTATGGACGTTTGCACACGAAACTCATCTCAGCGTTGCAGTTCTCGTCGTTCCAAAGACCTGAATAAAAAAATATTTAATGCAAAAAATGACAAAATGTGTATTAAAAGTTTTAAGTGCAAAGGGAAAGGTATCGATTTTCATTTTTATTCAATGATGTATCTTTCTAATTTAGAATAATGCTACAATAAAAGAGGCTTTCAGTTTGAAATCTAAAACACTTATTGTGACTGAATATCGCAAAAGATATTATAGTGGTATAATATAGCAGATAGTGGAAGCTGAATGGTGGCCTGAAACCGGTGGCATGGCTTCGGCTCTCGCGTTAACTCCTGGTTGTTTTTTTTTACGTTCTTCTAGCCTATGTAATATCTATCCCTTTCTAGCCTATATAATATCTGTCCTCCTCCTTGTGGTACACTGTGAACAACGTTCTCAGTGATGAGACCTAGTAGATAAAATACGAAGTTACCAGAAGTAATGAGATCAAGAAGCAAAACCAGCGAAGGAGTCTCATATTACAAGAAGAACTTCATTTTACTTTACAGTTTTATAGCTGCTGAGAATTTTCTAATTTGAGTATTCAAAAATCTAAAAAGAAACAAGAAGACAAGCGTCATAATTACTGGGTTGTTGCAAACGAAATGGCCGATTTTTAAGTAATGGTTGAGAAAGAAGATGAATAATTGTTCAATAAAAATAATACGCAGAAGCAACAACATGTCGCTGCCAACGTGTGTCAAGTCATTTACATTACACTTATAAAAATCAGCGTCTTTATAAGTGATGAAGTCTTCAACTGTCCACGCATTGATACACTGTTAGTAAAGTATTTCTGGAGCAAACATGGCTCAAATGCCGAAGAGGTATTTGTATCAACAAGTTAATCTGTTGAGGAAATATCGGGAGAGTATAGAGGGATAAGGCACAATTTCGTATCTTCAAGCCATCCAAAAGCTCTGAAAAGACGTCTTCCAGAAATACCCTGTAACAATGTCCGTCTAGAGGAGCAAGCACAAGAGATGAACATCTAGAGCAAGCATCTAGAACAAACACATATAAACCTATAAATATAATATTGGCACTCACGAAAAATTAAATTAATCAAATCGAAAAGAAACATGCCAATATAAAATTTTAAATTAAGAAAAATAGCAACCTTGTACTGACGTAGATTTTGAATACTCGGAATCGAGGGCGTTCAGATGCAGGTCCCTTCCATTTAAGAACAAAAAATTCAATTGTTTGAAATTTGTTGCTGCTGATATAGCATTTTCTCCCTCAGTTATCGATAAAGTCTTTAGAAGATTTTCACTGTCTTCAAGAAACACATTCACCTATTACAAGTAACTATAATAAGTGAGGTAATGTCAGTTATAACTGTTAGTTAGAAAATCGCTCAGAGTCTCCGTAAGTTCAACTTTCAAGTTCCTTTCTCACCTATCACTGAAATTCATTGTTCTCTTCCTAAATTTTTCCTCTGGTTTTTATTCTCAGAGCAGTCACAGTATACTTTGCCAGAGTAGTTTATCATACATTGTTCAAACTAAAACAGTGTTGACAGTTTAGATCAAGGAACACAAATCTTATGTTCCAAAAAGGAGAAATCAAATATTTGAAAGTTTATCATATCTGACCACAATTTTGAATTTTGTTCTACGAAAATTATCATAAGATGTCTTCAACTGGATTTCTGTGAAGCTTTTCACATTCACAAATATGTATCTAAATGACAATTTTAATCCAGTCTTTCCTAACATTTGCAAATTTCTAATATCCTTCAGTTTTGAAAGCATTAAGAAAGACTGGATCTTGTATCTTAGTTTTACACATTTTCATCGTTATTTTCCTCTATAATAGCGCTGCATTCCTACCGTTAAGCTCCACCTATTACTTTCGTTTTAAAAACGGCAGTCGTTGCTCCTACTTTGCAGAAGTATCTATACTTACGTACTAACACAATTCTCGTGGAGAAATCTGGTGACTTTTTACAGATGAAAAGGTAAAAATTACTTATCGGGAGCAAGATGGTGGTTTTGTTGATTTATTTTAGAAAAATTCAAAACTATCGATATTTATTGTAAGTCAAGAGGCATCATCAACGTGCGAAAAGAAATCATATTTTAGCAATTTAAAATACAAGTTTTAATTAATAAACAAGTTTTATAAAAAAATTACATTCTTCATTAAATCTTTCTGTATTTTTAATTATATTCTTCTCCCCAGGTACACAGCGATCTGTTTTCGCGTAAAAGAAATCAGAAACTTGCACCACAAATTTCGGTCAGACCGGCTATCTACCAAACGTATCTCCTCGTTGTTCCATTTAGAGATTTCTCTGCAAAATTTCCTACTTCTGCAGAAATTTTGCAACAGTTTCTTCCATTGCTGATATATTCCACAAGCACACATTTTAAATTTAAGCTTAACGCAAAACATATTTCTTTATTACGATTTACTTATAAAAAACATTTGAAACTTGGAATACAGAACGCATACGAAAATGGCGGACTGAAGGACTGTTATCACCATGGTTGCCTAAAGAATGGTTATATGCGTGGTTGCCAGATTTCGGCATTTTCTGAAAATTTGGCGACTTCTACTAAAGTGTTTGCGATAACCAAATGTTTTTGCTGCTAGAGTAAAGATCTGTGCTTGATGGCCCTTAAAATTTTTAAAAATGAGTTTTATTTAAAAATCTACGCCAAATAAAGGTGACATGCTTTTCTTACCTAATTTCAAAAATAAGTTAATGCTTTGAAAGTATATATTTCTTTATTATAATTTTCTTTCTCAAAACTGGTCATCTAGGGATTAGGAATATATCCTCTTGAAACTCTGGCAATAGTGCTGCGTGATTAATTACCATTATAATTCACATTTAATTATTTGTTAACCTTTGACATTTTATCAGTCCTTTTTTATCATTGATACCTAGTTTCATATAAATATAACATAAATTGAGAGTTCATGATTAGCAGACCTTTCTTATTAATAAACGTTTTCTTTTGTTCATTCTTAATTATAAGTAAGTTTGGTATAGTTGATTATGGCAAAACACACCAAAGCTATCTGCCTAAGTGGAGGGAAACCTTCCTGGAAGTCTTTCTGAGAGAAACTGGCTCGTTACACATGGGAAAAATCACGAAAACGCCCATGCAGCCAGCCCTTGTATTCGAATCCAAGTCGGAACTATCTGTGTTCAGCGACTTTACCGCTCGGCTGCGGTGAGTTTATTAACTACAGGTAAGAAGTAAAAATTCCAGAAAACTTCTAAAGCTTCCGAAACTCAGCATTTCTGAATAAAGCAAATAATTCATTGGATTTTGTACTTACCACTTCTCATGTACATGTTGGTGCACTTCTCCTGATTCAAATAATTATTGGGTTCGTTCTCATTCCAGTAAGTGAAGTCGAAAGGGCTATGGTCCGTCCAGCTATAGGCACCTGTTCGTGTCAGGGTATTCAATCCAATCCATACACGGTTTCCGTCTAAATGTCTATGTTTTTCATCACCTATCTGAAAGTAATAACCATTACTAAGTTACGAGTTTATCATTATATGAAACTCGTCGTATGGAAATAATTCTAGGGTTGTAAAGTAATAAAATGACAGGCTTTCAAAAAATAAAAGCTATTGCGGATTTTATTTATTTAAATTATTTCTTTATTTCTAAACTTTTCTTTGATAATATCTTGTATGGACTTGGAAAGCTTTTATGAACACACACTTTTCTCAAATTAACAGGAAGAATTTTTTTATATTTTCAAAAAAAGAAAAAAAATATCACTATCTTTGGAACCGACCCTGTATAAATCTTCGAGCATTGAACTTTACTCAAATGAAGGAATCATAAAGATATTTTTAAAATCCCATGGAAAATTTCAAGTTATCAAAACGTTCGTGAGATTGTTTGTTTAACTAAATATAGCAAAATACAGCAAGGTTACCTACGACAAGGGAGGCCTTCGGAGAAGATTTTCTATGGGAAACTGGTTTATATTGTTGCGTGCGTACGGGTTCCTAATAGACTGAACGCACAAGAGAGATAAAAAATTAATAAAATTTATTCTAATTGCAAGAAATGCTGGAGTATTCCTCAAAGATATTCGTACAATATCAGGCAATATAAACAGCAGCTATATTTTAAACCACTAAAACATTAAATAGAACGTAATACAAAACGCAGAGAAAGCTCATCCGATCTCACTGCGAATTCGCTATAATGAACAACAACTGAACTGAGATGTTTTTCTCCAGCTTTTATATCTTTTTAAATCGACCGCACGAGAGAGTTCTAGCAATTTTTGGAAAGCAAAAAGCGTAGAATTACGGTTACAAATAACATCGTAGTCGATTAGAGAGATAAACTTTTATTCAATGTTAAATGCACATTGTATTTTTACTTTTCCGGCGTAGCTTTCTCTAAAATTCTCACACGCTGCATTGCACGGGGAGATAACACTATTTTTAATGGAAGTAATATTCCATTAAAAATATTAATCCCATTAAACATTATATTCCATTAAATATTGGCCCATCACCTACTGAGTGGGGAAGACCGCTGAATTTTCGTTGTTTACCGTTTCACTGTTAAATGTCTGCGTATGGACGAGCTACATGAAGATTTTGTGAACTTTTAGCCCCAAAAAGACTTTAGCCCCGAATGAGATATTAATCTCGAAGCAGCATTTTACATCGAAACACTGGAATGCGTTGTGTCACTTCTCAAATTGTTCCCACCAAATATTATCGCCCTGTACTACAGTTAAAGAAATTAAATAATGAAAAATCGCATGAATGTATATATGTTTCTCGCATTATGAAAAAAAAAAAAACAATGGTACCTAGAGCCATAAATTCTCAATAACATACTTCTCCACCCGAACATGGGCATCTAGAAGTCTGAATTTTGAATTTCGAATTTACTTTATTATCTATTTCATACCTTGTAAAAGTTTAACGAATTTTTTATTAACAAGCTCAACGATTTCAAAGCGAGCAGTGGCAACGCTACAAGGAATAAAATATTTTTATCTCCAGCGCGCGAGACTGTCTATCGGAAATTCTAGAGATATAGGCTATTTTAAAATGTATAGTATTTTGCTGTTGAATCAAATTTTATGTGGCATAAGCGGCAAGAACGTGATATTTAATAAATAAAGTAAACACACAAAACGCTACTCATAAAAGGACAAAAAAAAAGCTTTGTAAAGCCATCTTAGTAAGAAAACTGAACATTGATATGATGAAATGAGAAAAGACAAAAAAAAACGGGAAAATATATGCCAACACTTAACGCTGCATCGGGAATTATAAACATATAATGCTATGTTGCTTTTAAAATGTTTGTAACTTTTTGTTAAATTTCACATGACGTAAGTGCGAAGAAAATGATGCTCAATGTTCTAAAGCTAAAAAAAAGGGGGGTGATTAGTAGAACTGAGTATCGGACTGGTAGACATAGAACTCAGCGAGAGCATAAAAAACCTTGGCAAGACCTTTTGGTCGGCTGGGGAATGTGAGCCATTTTCCTTTCGAAATTCCTCCATAAATCCTCTGCTTAGGATTTAATTAAGATTAATTGATTACGGCAAAGCATGCGACGGCTAACTGCCAGAGGAGGGATGTCTTCTTTGAGGACTTTTTAAGGGAAGAGAGGACTTTTATATCAGCTGTATCAAAGAATAAATTTCGGCAGTTTGAAATATCGGCAATTTGTAAATCAAACTGAAATTCAACTGGGACAACAGTTTACATTCGTGGAAACATGTAAACGTGTTAAATGTGCAGTCGTTACTATAATTTATGCTCAAGCAAATATTGCGAAGGAGCATTTTTCGTAAAATAATAAAATCATCGGAAGTAAAACAATTTTCACAGCTTGACAGATTTTGTCAGACACTGCTATCCAAAAGGCAAAATTTACTTTGCGGGGAGGGGGGGGAAGGAATTTATCAGTTAATATCATTCATTTTTTATCTATCATTTAAATTTTAATTTATCAGTTAATATCATTCATTTTTTATCTATCATTTAAATTTTAATTTATCAGTTACTATCATTCATTTTTTATCTATAATGTTAATTTAAATTCAACAGATGTATTTTTAATTTATCATTCATTTTTATCTATCATTTAAATATTAATTTATCAGTTATATTTTTAATTTATCAGTTATATTTTTAATTTATCAGTTACTGTCATTCATCTTTTTATCTACCATTTTAATTTAATTTAACAGTTGTATTTTTAACTTATTGTTGATACGTTGATACAGGGGTTCTTACATACAGGGTTCTTACATTCTTACATTACAGGGGTTCTACTGCATTCGCAGTACTTCCTTGTAAACCTAAAGGAAATCCCCAATGGGCATGGTGTTGAAAGTTTAATTTATCAGTCACTATCATTCCTTTTTACCTATCATTTTAATTTAAATTTATCAGTTAATATCATTCATTATTTAAATATCATTTTAATTTTAATTTATTATTTAATATCATTAATTCTTATCTATCATTTTTATTTTAATTTATCAGTATTATGATTCATTTTTATTGATCATTTTAATTTAAATTATGTTATATTTTTAATATGTCAGTTAATATCATTCATTTTTATCAATTATATTTTATCATTTTTAATTTTTATTATATTTTATCAGTTATACTTTAATTTATCAGTTAATATCATTCATTTTTATCAGTTATATTTTATCATTTTTTAATTTTTGTTATATTTTATCAGTTATATTTTTAATTTATCAGTTAATATCATTCATTTTTTTAACCTGCTATCATTTTTTTTCGTTGTAAGTGAATAATCTGTAATATTTTTTAAATGAGTCAAGATTTATGAATACCATTTTTTGTAATTTGCAACCACATCTGAAGCGGAAAAACGATATCGCATTTCTAACATTAAAATTTAACATAATCAGAAGTTCAGATATGTACTAATGCATATGGAACAGAAGATAACTTACCAGCCTTAAAACAAAGCCAACCTCATCAGGTGAATGTAATGATAATAGAGATGATCCTTCGTCTTCGCAGTATTGTTTTGCTCTGTGCCAGGTGAATGTTGAGTGGCCAACATAATAACAGTAGCCATCATAATAATACGTCGAAGAAGGAACTGTTCCATTAGAGCAGGTACGCACTTGAAAAAATAATCACAGTTCGAAATTGAAGAAAAATGCAAAACTAATTAGATAAAATATTGCAGAACTTGAAAAAAATATAGTTACTATACTATAGTTTACTGTGGTACAGTATAGTAACTATACTTTTAACTTTAAAACTATAGTTTTAAAGGGTATATGGAATTTTATTATTTATTTTTTAATCATTTTTATTTTATTTTAATTACTATTCTGTTACCAACCAGGGCCTTATATATATTCAAAGTCGTTATGAAAAACCCATGACGTGATTTTACTTTTCTAGCATAGTTCCTATACTTCCTTTTTCAACCTTTTTCTGTAATTTTAAATAACAAAAAAATCAACTAAATGGATTTTTCTACTCATATCTACAAAACAATTATTAAAAACGTTTTGTCCACCGTTTGGGCAAATTTTTGAGTCTATATTTTTAAGTTAATTTTAAGGTTTTTAATTTTAAGGATTAATTTATTTTAAATATTTAATTAAAGTTTTACACTGAATATTATTCTTTATTCCCATTTTTGTTTTAAAAGAGTCAGAATTTACTTAAATTTCATTCAATTAATATAGCAATCTTTTCCTCTGCCTAAAACAAAAAAAATTTCATTGAAATATTTAAAAGTTTTTTTTTTTCTCAAAATTACATCTTTCGGACCAGATTTTAGTCTTAGCAATTACTTTCTCGCCAAGGTGTTTTATTTCGCCAATGAAGCCAAAATGGCAATCCTGTGAACTACTGTAACGTATCTCATAGTTTAGATTGGTGTCTAATGAAAATGCTCGAAGTTCTTAATTACTTCTTGAGTGTTTTAATTAGATCTTTTTCAACTATGTTTTATAATTTTCCTCACGTCTTAATTCTTTGGATTATCTGTTTAAAAGTAAACATTTTGATTTAAAAATTGTTCACTGAAGTATTTTGTTTTTTTCATTTTCAGTTCTTTAAATAAAATAAAATTCTCTTTATTTAAGGTTCAAGATCCTAATTAGAAATTATTTTGTTTTTTCCTTGCTTTTGGGGAAGGGAAAGCAGAATTTTTGGGTGAACAATTATAATTAAAATACCTTGAAATAGTTCATCAGCTAATTCTGGATACAGAAAAGTAAGGATTTCAATTGATTTCAATGTACCCCCCTGGCGAAGTAGCACTGAAGTTGATTGAATTCCTCTTCTGTTTTTGTTCATTTTTCTTTAAATTTCATTAATTTTTTTAAATGGAGTTTTGCTTGTTTGAAAAGTTTTGGTTTTAACATTTTTTAATTCTTTGTTACATTTATAAGATTATTTGAAATTTATTAATTATGAATTTTCAATTTTTGGTTTTTGTGAAAAATTAGTTCTAAATTTCTTTCTTTATGCCTTTAATGATAATTTTTCTGCAGCTTAATGCGCGAAAATACTAGGCTTGTTTAGATTTTGCTTTCAGAAAAGAAAAAGAATCCTTTATTCTGTCCGTACGTACAAATTTAAACAGAAACATCGTTCAAATGGATTCTAGAACGGTCAAAATGGATATTTTAGTTGAAATATGATACCCGAAATTTTTCGCAAATACAATATTTTTTTTTACCTTGTACAACGAAATAAAAATGGTTGTTGAAAAGAATCACTTTTCGTCAAATATGTACATCATCTATGAGTATTTTTTTTTGTTATGTTGATGATTTGATTATTAGAACTTTCCTAATTCTAAAATTTACCTATATATATGTTATTGGAAACGAGTGTTACGATTTTACGATTAAATTTCTACGGGAAATACGTTCAATCGTTTTGTCTGCCACTTGAATGGAGTGATGTTTAATTATCTTGAAGCGTATAATTATCTAAATCGTTTGAGTAACTTCCTCAAACTTTTAAGTAGAAATTTTTGCACCACGTATTAGCCTTCTTTCCTTTTTTTCCCAGAATCGAAATTTTTGCGTAATGCTGTAAAACTGTAAAATTAATACTGAAACAAAATCGTTCATTTGAATTCAACCGTTTTGTAAGTTTTTAACATTAGAAATAACGCTAGGAATCCGGGGAAAATTAAAATATAAACATTTTTTTAATTCTGATTCTGTTAGTTTTGCTGCTTTTGGTTTACAGCTTTTGCTTTGAAGCTGCGGTTTTTAAACAGTTTAATGCCCTTATTTGCCTCACATATGAAACGTTGCGAAATTCTAAAATAAAACTCATTTATTTAAAAACAATCCGAAAAACTTCTCTCGTGACAGCTTAACAAGTAATTGTAAAGAGGGAAATTCATATAATTTTACCTTCCTTTGAAAACCATAGTATGAATTTTAAAACAAAATTGAAATTAATGCGTAATTATAAACTTGAACTTAAAAATTGTTAGACTTACATGGAGGGCGATAGGGAGCAATAAAAGCAGGTGGACTTTGGCCTGTAAAAAATTAGGTACACTGAAGAATATACAGTATATGAAATACACTAAAAAATATACAATATATGTTAATATATGAAAATTCACAAGCGCACATGTAAATAAAAATACTCTTGAACACTTACTTTCAAGCTAAAAGTTATGTCTTTGCTTATAATTTACATTATTAATACATGCAAATAAATATATGGCTAAGGATGATTACTATTAGATTAAAAGAAAATATAAACTGGTGTGGAATTTTCGCATATTCCTGTGCTTGCTTTCGTCATGTAAATTGCTAGCGCTTTGAATGACGACGATGATGCTTTGATGCTTTAGTTGCGCATTCTAGTGTTCAGCAGGAATCTATCCTGCTCCTTAACAGAGCTTATCACGAAATCCCACTAGAGACCTCACACATAACGGCTCTTCGGAATTATTTCAGCATTAAGATGTGAACACTTGAGATTAATAAAATGAGACACCTTGTCTCTGCAGACACACTGCCGGATGAGAGTGCGATGAGCTGAAGTCCAATCAGGAGCGGAATGACGAGGAAAACACAGCAGATTTTTCATGTTTAAAAAAATAGTAGTTTCTAGAAATGAAAACATTACGTTCAAATTTTTACATTTGTTTAACCGAAAGAAAACCGCCATTGTTTATTAAGTATTAAAATCATGAATATGCCGTGTCCCACCCAATATTTCTGGTCAACATGCCTCAGACGTAAAAAATGTCAATTATCTGAGGGTGATGCTAGACTACAATTCAGAAGGACAAGTAATTTTCTGCAACTGTGTTCCATATTGAGTCAGATGAGTAGTCCATTGATCAAATACAATAGAACGTCTCCGCATCTGATGATTTTTCTTTAACGTTACTGGTATGAAGAAATCATTTACCAACTGCTAGAAGTTGACTTGATACTTCCCATTAGTCTCTGTTACTCCAATAACAACAAAGTTAAACAGACTTATTATGAGACGCAGAATCTCACTCACCTACCTCTATGAAATGACAGGAACTATCTTAAATATGAAGCTAAGATTTAAGAAATATAGGCTGGTAAATGCCTCAACAGGCCGCATGCCTTTCACATGAATAATGATCCATGATCTGTAATCTGCCTCCATTTGTCATAATTCCTTCCTAAACAAGTCTCACCATAGAAATGGCATCTTTCATTGATATATGTTGATTGTTTCAAATTCTTTTCAGATGTTGCCCAGAATCGCGGTTTCAACTGAATTTGGACTCATCATTGAGGTCAGTCCGCTGGGCTACAGCATAGATGGAAACGTCACGATCTTAAACGCTTTCCTTTGGAAGATGCAGATAGTGAGACCCAACGTAGTTATCTTTGTGTCACTGCCGTAAATTAATGTTGACAAATATTAAATGGTATCACAGGGGTCCTAGCCATCAATAAAATAACCCAGATCCGGTTTCCGGCGTGGAACTAGATGATAAAAGCATCAACTGCTATTAGCAACATCAATTTATATTATCCACGAAATTCATACTCGTGAAGATTTCTAAAATTACTAAATCTACTTATTCTACAGCAATTCGTTACAGAGAGATCCCAAACTAGCAATTGTGAATTGGCTCAAACTAACAGTTGTGAACTTGGCTTTTGAGCCAACAATGCCCAGTAACGGTCTTCAGATGTTATAGTTATCCAGAAACGACTACTTTTCCCTTGCTTAAAGTGTGATTACATATTCTGAAAACTACTCTTTAAGAAATAATCAGTTCTTTAGAGACGTCCAATTGTATTCGACTAGTCTCGATTCTATCAGTCACTGACCGCTTCTGGTCTTCCTTTAAATTGTGTCTTTCAGACATAACATCAATAACATCTGGCCGCGCATTTGTATGTATGATATGAGCGTAACATGGAATATTTTAATATTTTCCAGAGTTCGTTCTGTGCGCGTATTCTAAGTAAAAATACCTGCTGAGCAAGTACGTTTTGCATTTAGCAGCGTATAAATAACGCAAATATACTCAGTAGAATTTCTGTTAGTTTTTGTATAGTTATCCTTTAATTTTGAACAACAGGTACGATCAAATGATTTAACAACAAAATACTTAATCTCTATCATATGATGACATAATTTCTATCCATATGTTTTAACTCTTTTAGTGCCGAGCGAAAGTATCATACCCATACGATGAATACCGTGCGCATAATTCACAAGTGCACATCAGTAACGCCAGTGAGGGAGGGGTTTCAGAAATGGACCAATGAGCTCCTATTGCTCTTGTGACGCTGAATCTTAGGAAATGTGAATATGAGCGCATGTTGTTGTTTAAGTTTTATTTTGCATTTGTTTCGCAGTTTTAAACATATGGCGTATAAATGCTGCTATTATTTTAGTAGAAAATTTCGTAGCGCTTTCATTTTATAAGTTTATTTAATCGCCAACATTTCACTTTCACGAAACGCGTCAGGCACTGATATTTGGATTAATGGTCGCGTAATATTATCGCTCTTTATATCCAGAGTGCCAGAAAATAAACATTCAGGCCTTTCTATAAACAACCTTATCAGATACCAGACACCACTGATAAGTATTCAAAATTTAGTACCATATTTCTCAGAAGAGCTTCGAATATTATGCATTTACTAACACCTGTGAATTAACAGTATTCAAGTGTATATTTTTTTATTCAGCTGAAAATAATGGAAGTGTTACATTGAATCTAGCATTTTCTTATCTCAATGCTTGCATTCTTTTGATTTTGAAAGTGCAAGATTCAAAATATGTGTTGTGAATGATATGATTATAACTATCATGTAATAATTATTATAACATCGTATTATAAAATAAATTCATTCTGCTTGAAGAGAATTTCTTGAGCAGGCAATTCATTTAATAGTGAACTATTATTAATATGAAATTTAACACACTAAATGTATAAGAATACAAATTAGGAAAGTTGACTATGAATAAAACTGCGCATTGGCTATTATTATAGAACATCTTTTTCATATAGACTGTGATAAAATGCTAAAACTTCTACTGTTACTATGCTTATATTTAATCTAACTTCGCACTGAAAAGTTTCATAAGAAATTCACGCTGCTTTAATCATTTTGTGAAGGAGATTGCTTGACAAATCTTTTTCAAACTTCTTGCTTAAAAGCGCGGTAAATGTCAAGTGAAATGACAGAAATACGAGTATTACTGGAAGTGCATTGGTCCATTCTAGCAGTCGCTTCCTCGGTGCCGATACAAATGCGCTCTTACGAAATATGAATACCGAGTCAGTTTGATGAATTTGTTAATGTTTGAAAAAAGCGCATAAAAACCAAACTAAGAACAATATTTACAAAATTCAAAAAGGTTGCACATTACGAAAAAAAGAAAGAAAAAGTAATGTCAATTGAATTTCAATATTTAATGAAAATCATAAAAATAACATCAATATAAAACAGTATGAAAACCGCAAAACAATTTGTTTATACTTTTGCAATGAAATTAGCCCCTTTATAACGTTTTATAAATTTATTTTGAGACAGAGTTCTCTCGCAGTGCGAATAGTAAGGTGTTATCGGATACGCAACGTATATCAACCTCAGCAATTTTCGCAAGTGTTACTACAACGATAAATCATCGTTCGGCAATAAAGGGGTTAAATTTGCGAGATAAATTTTCTCTAATTTGAAAACAGTTGGAACTTTCTCCAGTCCTGATTTTATGTTTGACCATTGGCAAATCCCGTGTTTTCATAAGAGATATACTTCAAAACCATCCGTGGTTCTATATCCCGTGAGAATACTTATGAAGAAACACAAAAGAATTTAACTTTTGACTCTTAAATATCAATCTTCTAAAAAATTCTAAATTATCTGCATAGGTTTTAAAGGATTTTCTTTTACTCTTAAAATATATTAGGAAGAGTTTGTGGCGAATTTCGAAATTCTGCAAATCTGATTTAAGATTTCCTGAAATTAAAAAATGTGTTTATATTCTAAATTGAAAATTTGATATACACTTTTTCCCAGAATAAAAAATGAAGATAAACATTTCTGTACTTAAAAAGCATAATAGCAATAATTAAGTTAACGATCAAAATATGGTAAGTCAATAGCTAATCAATTTTTCGTGAAATGCACAAAAGATATATAAAGATGCGAGATACAAAATGAAAGATTTCAAAATTTATCTTTGATGTTCTAGAGCAGCAACTGTTGTGTTTGTGAAGGAAGTGCCAGGAAATAAACATTCAGACCTTTCTGTAAACAACCTTATCAGATACCAAACATCACTGATAAGTATTCAAAATTTAGTACCATATTTCTCAGAAGATACACAAGATGCGTTTCTTCTTCAACTGATATATTATTTGCTTTTGCTGAAATGACAATTCAGTCAAATAAACAAAGCCATTCCACATAAATCTAATAGAGTTAAACTGAAAATTTCAAATGGAATCTTTCATGTTTAATCATACCAATAAGATATGAAAGTGAACAAAATTAAAATTGTGTGACACCACTATTTTTCTGTTAATAAGGTAACGGTAACCTCACCGACAATCTTAATTTTTAGCATTGTAGTAAAATATGTTTTAAAGCGATAAACATTCTGACCTTCAGTAATAGATGTAATTTCTAGAACAATTTCAATAAAGAAATTTAAAAAAACAATTGTTTTGGAATAAAATTTTTGGCAACAGCGTATTAGTTGAAAAAAGAAATATCGTGTGCTACCTTTAAATTCATTCTTCTTTCAAAATGCCTCATATAAACATGTTATGAAAGCATATGTTTTTGCGCTTTTCCAAAAAAAATATTCTTGTTCTATAATTCAAAACCGTTGTGAAATGCATTTTTAAGTGCACAACAAGCAACGTTATTAATCGGAATGAGAAAAATTGTCAGTTGTTACATTTACGTGAAAAGAAGTCTCCAAACGGTACAAAATGATACCAATAAAAGATGCATCCTGTTTCGTTTATTTCCCCCCCCCGCCCCCAAGTTAAATCGTTGGTAACAAGAAAAAAATCCACCAACGCAGAAATTAATTGCAAAATCTTTAACTGCATCTATATCGACAATGAATAAAAAAATAAACTAATATTTACAACTTAAAGAAGCTAAAAAAACCTATTTTTCATCATCTTTTGCTGAGAAATGTGAGCAGTAGCGGAAGATAAATTGAAAATATATTGTGACCGCTGACGAAGCATGGATGAATGAACCATGTGAAGCTAAATGACTGAAACAAAAAAAAAAAAGGTCTGTTTATTACAGAAAACAAAGGGGGGGAATGTACACTGCGCAAAAAAAGGGGGGACAGTTCTATATCTCCCATTCTAGTGGGCCGATTGATAAAATTCAACTTGCGCTTTTCTTCTCTCGATAGCGCGACTTAGGATATGTATTAGATTTATATGCACCATTGTTCTAATGTAGGTATTTTAAAACAAAATCGGATTTTTTCTGAAACGACATGCCAATTTTTTCCATACTTGGATTCTACAACTAAAATTACGCCAAACTGCCAAGTTTTGTAAAAACCGCACGAGTAGTTTTTAAAAGATTAGCTCTCAAAATTTTAGCTCCTCAATTTTAATTGAGTTTGGTATAACATTTATTAATATCTCTTATTTTATTAAACTTATTTGATTCTTCCTCTCACATTTCGAAATTTAGGTTCACTCCAAATAATATTCGTCGATTTTTTTTAAATTGTATTTTTAAATAATTTTTATAAATTTTTCCTAAAATATTTTGAATTATAATTAATATATATTACAGTTTTTTATTCAAAATTTCCATTTGTATACGTCTTGTGTAAAATAATTAGCTTCATAAATATAAACTTGAAATCTCATAATAAAACAAGAACGTACAGAAAGTTGTGCTTAAGCTAATTTTAGTTTTTGCGTTGTAAGAAAATACATTAAACTTCACTTACGTTGCGGAACTCTGCAGACGAACCAGCTTAGAATCCCGCAAAGAGAGGAAATCCAGTGTTTTTCGGAAGCATCCATGGCAACACATTGTCGAGTTTTATCCTTATGATCCGGATGTCCTGGGGCCCAGTTTTCGTAATCTAAAGGAGTTCCATCACTCCATTTGTATGCTATATATAGAAAAGAAGAGAAAAATTAATCATCTTTTCATTCACGTAGTTTTAGATTTTAAGGATCTACTAATAATCGAATGGGGATAGGAATATTAAATAAAATTCAAATCTGCTGCGATAAACTCTGAAATCTAGTCCAAACTACTTGACAAAAAGTCAACAAAAATTCAATTTTACTAAATTCTTTTCAACGTAACATCTTGGACCAGTGCTACTAAAAGAAGCGTTAACAAACTACAAATCATGTAAAACAATATCTCAAGTTAGTCATAGATGTGCCGTGTGTTACTATAAATAAAAACCAGCACAAAAATCTTAAAACTGATTTCTTGGAGAACTATCCGAGCTCTGAACAGTATTAATAACAATTTCCCCTTAAAAACAAGAACCTGTGTTCTGTTTGTATAGTTATTAGGTTTGTCAATGCAGGAAACTAGAAAAATGTGCCATGCTCTCGCAGGGATTCGAACTTCCGACCTATTAATTACGCGTCGGACATGCTTCCAGGGCAACGAAGGCACACGAAAAATTTCCTCCTGCGTCTTTCTGCAACGCACCTCTTTAGGAATGATGTTTATATCATAAAATTCTTTTCATTTCATTCCCTTGCACTGTATTTAATTCAAAATCACTGTTTTCAAGTTATGCAGCTTTTGAAAAGTCAACACTTCATAATGCACAGATTGTTATAATGACATAAAATTGGACAAATCAATGGCTTTCCTCGCACTATTACAAATGCCCCATGGTATTAATAGAAAGTAGAAAAATAAATCCTATTGAGCTGTAATAAAATGAAGGTCCAAAACTGAGTACCAGTAATATGAGCTGGAAACAATCATTATTTCTTTTGAAGAAGAAAATGTCTGCAGGCAGTTCTGCGAATTCTTCAATTACACCTTGGTCATTAGTTCTAATAACCTTAAACCCAATGATCAGGTTTTAAAAGGCTGTTGTTATCATTTCAAACTTGCTGTGAAGTGCTTTGAAATCTTCAGTTGCTATAAATTCAAACTCTTGATCGCATAAACTGTTAAAGTTCCTGGTTACTGAAGGAAAATATTCACCTTTCTTGTTTGATGACGGAACATATATGGAATCATTGTCCTTTGAATATCTGAATACAAGAAATACCACTTTTCACAAATCGTGGTGTCTTGGAGGTGTAATGATATCTTTAAAACATCGAGATCTAGTGAAGAAAGGGCAGCCACGATGGCTGGACACATGGATTTCCTAACAGACAGCACAGTCAGACATGTCGCTTTGACATTTATGACAGCAGTCTACTGTCAGGTGATATGCAGGTCTCTTGACCCACTCTAGCTGCTTATAGAGGCAACATAGAGAGTTTTGTTACAAAACGAGCTCAGCAATAGAGTGGCTTTCAAAAGGTGAAGCAAGCCCTAAAAGATCACATCAAATTCGGTCAAAAAATCAAGGCAATGATGACTGTTTTCTTCGATCCTCGTGGCGTTATGCGTCATGGATTTTTACCAACTGGTCAACTGCTAACGCAGAATATTATTTCAGTCTTTTTTGACGGTGACGTAAACCAATTAGAAATCTATTTCAATTATGGAGCGACAAGTTAATGGATTTTGCACTCATTGAATGCACGATAATGCATCTACTAACGATTATTACTGTTAACGAATTTTGGGTTGAAAGTTCACTAAAGCTTCGTGTTCATCTAACATGGCACCGTTTGACATTACCTTATTTTTAGTTAAAAAAGTGCTTCGTGGTCACGATTTTGAATCGATTGATGCACAAAAAATAAATTCGCTGGGAGTCCTAAAGGAGCTTCATCAAAACTGATTGAAAACATGTTTCAAGCGTAAGAGAGACCGTTAACGTTAAATGCATTGCATTCGGAAGGAAATACTTTTAAGGAAATATAATAAATATTAACCAGCTCATTTAAATCTTGTGTTCAATCGAATCGTCCCCGTTACGTTTCTTATCACAGTAGCATATTCGCATATGTAAAAATGAATTTTAATATTTTTCTTCTACGAACTGACATACCACGTATTGTCTCTCAAGTTGTCATGTTCTTTCACTTCGCACTGCAATCTCAACATATTTGCAACAAAATAAAAACTTACTCATGTGATACTTCAAAAGCAATTTCTTATTAGTTTTCACTCTAATGTTTATTAGATGTATTACATTTTATATTACATTGTTTCATGTGGTGCTTACTTTTTAAATATTTTCGGAACACATTTGTTTCACGTTATTCATACGTCAAAAAAATTCTTACCTATTGAGCACGATTTCAGCACATTGAGAAATATGTTGAATTTCAGATATTTTTTAATCATACCATTGTCTGATATTTTGCACTTGCCGAATATTATAACAACATCATAGTAATTTCAGCAAATATTTTGCATGTCGTTGGCTTCCGTTTTGAAAAGCCAAATAATGCTACCTTTAGCAGTAAAGTATAATTATGAAATAATTTACCACAGTTTGAATATAAAACAAAATTTGAAGATAATACTGCATATTTTATCATGATTAACTTACTTAAAGTTTCTGTATCTAATCGAAGTCCAATCCAGTATGAATGTTTTAAACTTCCGTACTGAAAACTGCAAAAAAAAAAAAGTTTATTAAAATATAAACCACCTGTTAAGAAGGATTTCTTTTTATTATTTTTTATTTTTACCAAAGGCTCTTTTTATAAGATAGCAAACTGATTCTAAGGAAGTATGAAAATATTTCTCAAAACGATATTTTTATTATTGAAGTCACTTTCACTTCACAAAAAAAAGTACAAACTACTGTACAAAAGATTATAGCACAGCTATAAACGCACAGAAGTACCAGGCATATTGGTATTATTATCAAACTCATGCTACTTGATCTTTCACCTCATTTCATTCACATAATTAACTCGCATCTCGCTAATAGATCTTTCTCTGTACGAGTTAATTCTATCATTTCAACTCCCCGTCGAATTCTTAGTGGTGTAGCCCAAGGTAGTCTTTTAGGATCAACTTTGTTCAATTTATTTATTAATGACATACCAAAATCACCCAGTCACCCTAGCTCTCTATGCGGATGACACAGCCGTTTTAGCAAGACACAAACATCTTTTTGATTGGTTCCTAATATTCAGAGTTATCTCTCAAGCCTTGACCACTGGCTCATTACTTGGAAAATAAAAATTAATGTCGCTAAATGTGCTGCTATGATTTTTAAACGAACTCCCCTCCCATACCCTACCATTAACTTAAAGTTCTTTAACGATTATGTTCCCTGGATTAATTCTTATAAGTATCTTGGTGTTATACTTGATTCCAAATTAATCTGGCCCCTACAAATTGATAATATGATCAAAAAAGCAAAGGAAGTCAGATCTCAACTTTACCCACTTTTAGCTCGTAACAGCCAACTGTCAATCAAAAACAAGCTCTTCTCTACACATCCATTTTAAGACATATTATTTTATACGCATGCACTATTTGGTGCACTGCGGCTAAGGCTCGTGTGAAAAACTTCAATCTTTTCAAGGTAATACCCTACGTATGATTCTAAATGCACCCTCGTACATCTGTTCAGATGTGATTCACTCGTAAATCAATATTAAATCCATTGACGTTGAAATTAAAAACCTTAGTCAAAATTTATTTCTCAAAATTGAACAGATTGATAATCGTGTACTTCAACAACTTCCTGCCTACGATCTTGCAATTCGCAGTTCACTGAAGCGTCCTCGCTCTATTATTGTATAGGGCCGCTGCCTCGGTAGCTCCATCTCGAGGCACTGCAACCACTCCGGCAAACGCCAAACCACCAAGACGTCCCACACACGCTCGCCGCAGTGGTGTTACCCCGCTGAGTTATGCAGCGGCGACAGGGAATGCTACCAAGGAGCCGGAATGTGATTCCAGACATCCAACACTGCCGGTTACAGTAAAACCCAAAGCTGTAACCCCAGCAGTCACCTCAGCAGCAAGGTCCGTAGAAAGAACAGGTTAGTTCACTTGGGGTAAACAGGTGACAGGTGAGAGCAGGTCCGGACACCCGGACGGCTTACATAGACTAGTCGGGTATCGTCCGGATCCCACAACTATCTGAAGCTACACTCCGAAAAAGATACAAGGGCAAAATATAGATTTTTCTGCGTGCGAAATTAAACATTTCCTGGCTACATCGCATGCTAACACATTGCTACATATACTTGCTACAATATACATTTCATAATATGCATTGCGTTGATCATTGCACTGTACTTAAGGCACATTTACAACTCAATGCTACACTTAATACACTATATATTCTTTGCAACATATTACGCTGAACATTATTCTTGACAATTCAACATAGATTCTGAACAATGTAATTGTTTAAAACTGACATACTGGATTATATAGTACATAGCTTCGTTATATAAGACAGACTTAAATAAAATAACTTGATACAACATATAAATAAAATAAGAGATCTTAAATAAAGAGCAAAATTGCACATTACAAACAATTTAAACAATTTAAACGACGACACAGCCACCATGAACCAACATTCCAACACCTCCCCGGTAATTTCTGCACTGCAGAATTACCTTTAAGCCTAGAGCTCTGACTCGGAATCTGGAAAATCAAAATTAATGTCGCTAAATGTGCTGCCACTTTATTTATCCGAAGTATTTTCCCAAATCTACCTAACTTGCAGTTCTTCGGAGAACTAATTCCCTGGGTTCCTACTTATAAGTATCTAGGAGTGATACCTGACTTAAAATTAACTTGGCACCTCACATCCAAAAAAAAAAAAAAACGATTTCCAATGCGAAGGTTATCAAAACCCAATTACTGCCTTTTTTCGCTAGAAATAGCGACCTGTCCACGAAAAACAGGATTTTGCTCTATAAATCAATGATAAGGCCAATTCTGACATATGCTAGTCCTGAATGGGGCGCAGTAGCAATTACTAACAGGAAACATATCCAAATTTTTCAGAATATTATGCTACAGCAAATTTATAAAGCTCCTTGGTTTGTTACGAACGAGGAGATTCATAATGCAGCCAAAATTCTCCCTGTGAATCGCTTTATACAGCGACTTTCGGCTAATTTTTTCCAAAAGATTCCTTCGATCGAAAACCCCGTACTCCACTGCCTGCTTGTTTATCATTCCGGAAAGTGCATCATCAAGAAAGAAACCCAGAGCTACTCTGGAGAACGCATATAATGGGCTTCCTTTTCCCACAAGGCGTTGCTATGGAGACGAGGCGCCTCGAAGGTTTCACTATACTCATTCGCGGTCCCCCCCCCCAACCGCCTGAGTGAATTCGCTGATCTTTCAGCTTCCCTCAGGGTCACTCTCTCTTTTTCCCGTAATCGGGCAGTCTTACCTCTTTCAACTGTAAGCGGTTGTTAAACTGACTTTAAGCACGCTTTTGTTCCCTTCTTAAAAGGGTTCTAGTGCATTGATTATTAATTTTATTTAATTTTAACTTAATCTCACTACGAGAATTAATACTATTTTTCATTAGTTGACATAGCACTTAAAGCTAAAGTAATCATTTTGTATTTATAAAAGTTTCTCCTCAGAGGCATTGCTGGCCGTTTCTCTTTAAATCAAACTCGCCTAACGAGTTCCCTCTTCTTCGCTCTCCCAGACCCAAAGCACATGCGATGAAGTTTTTCGCGAGTGTTTCCGCTCTCGTGTTGTTAACACCACATGACCATTGATCAAGGAACCATCGATGCTTGTCAAAATTCGTGATGTAACCCCTTCAAAATTGATTCTGGCCCTTTTTCGACACAAAAAAAAAAATTATTAAATTAAGTCCTTCAGTGTTTTTTCCCTTTTTCACTGTGGAAGGCAGTTACTTTTTTGTTAAATTTAACATTTGGCACTAAATTTCACCTTTTTGCGGAACGCTCTTTTTGGCGATAAAAATAATTCTTTGATGATGTGGGGATAAAGGCAATAAGCCTACTTGCCTCGTAATAGAACCTTCCTTAGTCTTCTATTATTGGCCGGGAATACAACATCTTATCCATGGACCTTATAAGAGATAGACTAACCCAGTGGGTGGGCTGGGCGTCACCGACATGTCCGCAAGACAGAGTAGGGACGATCTGGTTTACTTTAACACTGAAACCTATGGCGTTTGTATCACATAACGCTTTTTAATTATTAAATGTGATATGTTGTATAGTTGATGAGATTATAAAAGGCACAGTTTTTTCCAAATAGGATTTAATATATTTCATTAAAGCACTTTTTACTGCATTTTGCCCATTTTTTTTTAACGCGTAATTCTTGTACAAACATCTTTACTTTGGTAAAACGGTAAAAACTCTAAAAACAAAATTTTTGAACTTAATTTTGCGTAAAAATAAAATAAAATTAAATAAGATTGATAGTACGCGATGCTTTGAAATAAATAAGGTAAAATTAAACAAGATCTGATAATATTTTTTTTAATTTAATGAGCGTTTTCAGGCAGTGATTTTCCAAACTATAACATTACAAAACGATCATATTTATTTGATTATATGATCATTAAATTATTAACATTAAAGTGGATTAGTTATTTTAATAATTCATAAAATTCGGAGCATAAAATTTTCTGAGCGTAATGAAGAAAAAAAAAAAGATAAAATAAAATCTAGAAGCACTCTTTTTTTAAAGTTTTGTGTGTTACCTATATTTATTGAATATCATGTTCTTCGCCCGTAAACCACATACATTTGAAAACAGCATATCCGTGCAGCGCTCGCTCTGAAGTCGCTGAGTTTGTTAATCAAATATTCGTTAAAATTTTACAAAATGTGAAATACGTAGATTAAAACAAATTCGAATTTCGGCCGTCCAGATGCCCATGTTCGAGTGGATGATTACATTATTCAAAATTTGATGGCTCTAGATAATGTCGTTTTTGTCACAGTGCGAGAAACATACATGTATTCATGCAGATTCTTCATTATTTAATTTCTTTACATTTAATACAAGGCGATAATATTTGGTAACAACAATTTGCAAGGAGACACGGACATTTATCGTAAAACAGCGCTAAATGCCGCTTCGAAACTAACAGCCTTTCTAGGCTACCGCCCCTTTAGGCTAATAAATTAATTTAACAGTAAATTAAAAATATCTTTTCCAGAACTAAAAATAAATTTAAAAAAATAATCACTATAAAAAACAAGCAAAATTAATTATTACGGTTAAATACTATTTTAATATTAGAATTAAATGTATAAACATTTTTAAGGAGTCAAAAGTGTTTATCACTATGGTGTATTATGAAATATAATTGAACTAAATTCCTTTATAGAAATTGTGCTATAATACTCATCTATAATTTTGAAAAAGCAGCAAAACTTAGAATTTTAAACAAAACTTTCAAAAATTCCTGTTTTGAAATATTTTAGTATTTTTTTACTTATTTACATACCAATAAAAAGCATAAAAATTGCAAGAGAAAATTGCTTGTTTTGAAATTTTCTATCTAGTTCAGATTTAAAATTAATTACATTCTAAAAGGAGTAGTTACAAATTTCCTTACAGCATAGGAAAAGCTAAAAAAAATATCCAATCCCTGAAAAGCATGCAACAGCTTTATAATTATTTGGTAACGCTTAATTATACTTGATAAATATGCTAAATTTTTTCAAAAATCAATCTCAATTTTCAAAAATAAAAACTATGTAGAAATTCTAATTTGTGAAATGAGGCGCTACAACCAGCTTTTTCTTGACAATTATACACGCTGCAATAGGCAACCAATGTTAAATTTCTGCAAGTAGTCCCTACTCCTCCGGATGTGGTCAAGGTGACAGCCGGCAACGCCTCAGACGAGGAAGAAAATCCGTTTGGGTTAGTCTATTTCTTATAAGGTCCATGATCTTGATGCAGTAACGCAAGTTTTTCATGAAATCTGATAGGTCCATAGAAATATAAAAGACCCAAAAATTGAAATTCATAAGAAATAAATTTCATAAAATTCTATAAATATAAAAAAGAATTTAATAGATGCAAAAAACTAAAATACTTCAAACAAGTAATACCCTAATTCCAGAAATAAATGAAATAATCGAGTACTTTGTTTTAGATCACAGTTTCAGCTATAAAAACCAGCAGAGAATAAAGAATATAAAAGAAGAATTCAATCAACTTCAATGCCACTTCGTCAGGAGGAGGAACATTGAAATATCTCTTTAATAAAAAAAAATCCTTGCTTTTCTGTATTCAGAATTAGCTGATGAACCATTCCAATGTATTTTAATTATAATAGTTCGCCCAAAAATTCTAGCCCCTCCCCAAACCAAGGAAAGAAGAAAAGAAATTCTAATAAAAATTTTACCTTTAAAAACAAAGAGAATTAACTTTATCGAAAGAATTGAAGATGTAAATGATATAATAAAATACTTTGGTGAAAAATTAAAATTAAAATTTTAATTTTAAATATAGAGAACTCTATCCAAGGAATTGAAAACGTAAGTACGGATTTTATGAAATTTATTACTGATGAATCTCAATTTTTGGTCTCAGTGAAAATTGGTTCTAAATTTCCTACTTTATGTCTTTACTGATAATTTTTCAGCAGCTTAATGCGCGAAAATACTAGGCATGATTACATTATGTTTTTTAAAAAATTGTTTTGTGTATAATATATATATAGAAAACAATTTTTACAATTATATATATATATACACGTTTAGTGCGGCTGATTGCAACGAAAAGGAGAGTGCACAAATAGCTATTATAGCAGTGCCTTATACAAAATTTTAACGTTCTACAGCTACTCGTTTTTGAGTTATGCGAGATACATACATACGTACGTACAGACGTCAGGAAAAATCTCTTCCTTTGTACAAAAGAGTCCTTTATTCTATCCATACATACAGATGTCATAAAACAACATCATTCAAATGGATCCGAGAGCGGTGAAAATGGATATTTTCGTTGAAATATGATATGCGAAAGTTTTCGCGATTATAATACTTCCTTTACATCGTACAAGAAAGTAACAGAAAAGAAATAATTTATTTTAAAAAGTGCGTGTAGTAACATGATTTTTAGTCTAAAGCAGTGTTTCTCAACCTTTTTTATGCTATGCCCCACGTAATCCTCTCTAAAATTAATAAGCTCCTCCTAGCGTATACAAAATTTTTAATATTTAAAAATTAAAATGCTCGCGAAAGAAACTTGAATGATAGCTTTTAGGAAGAAATGACTAAAATATTTTGTGAGCAAAAACAGTAAGTGAACTTTCAAAACATGGAGAACAAACTCATTTTAGTGAAAGTTTTTTAAATATTATTTTAAGTATTAATAATTTTTATTATTTAAATTTAGCGAGTTCCTTGCGCTTGATATTTGCTGCAAAGAGATTTTATGTCAGGTTCCAATTTAACTTGATAACTTGAGTCTTAAGTCTCCCCGTTTCATTATATCCAACAGCAGGAAATCATTTATAGCACTAAATCCGCATTCAGCAATATATGAAGATGGAAACAGTAACAATAGTTCTCTTGCAAATTTTGTTGCATTTGGATATCGGATTCTGACTTCCTCACAAAGCTATGTCATCGCTCCTTTTATATTAAATAAAGATTTAATTGACTCATCATTTTGCATTTCTGCGAGTTCTTCTTTTTACTGCATATTTGAAATATCAGCCAAATCCACTAGTATTGCTGCATCATCCAAGTTGGGAAATAAATTTTTTTTAAGTAACAAAATCTTTTAAATCAGCCGATAAATTTTTCAGATGATCGACAATAACAAGTATAGCGGTATCAGTCACGTCACATTTTTAGAGCAATGAAACATTTCAAAATTTTAGTGGTAAATAGTGTATTCGTGACATGATTCAACAAAGATAATGAAACCGAATATTTTCCCTTTTGCATCGCCATAAGTTTTATTTGCTCCTTGAAGTTGTTTATTTAATATATTTAATTTTTCAAAGATATCGGCTAAATAACTCACAAAAGGCTTGTTATCATCCGTTAACGGAATTTTCATTTCAGGTTTGTCGCTTAAAAAATAACTAAGAGTATTAAATAGTTCAATAAATCTTTCCAAGCAGTTCCCTTTCGACAGTCTTCTTACTTAGTCTTCATTTTGTTCTTCATAAACTAACTTGAAATCTAAGTAATTTTTTTAGCTTACTATAAATATCTTTGGAGGTAGTGGTGCTTTCTAATGATTTACAGAAGAATGTTTCTTCGGCAAAATCCCCTTTAGGAATATATCTTATATAAGTAACAAGTACGGCCTCACTGTCTCTCAAAGTTGGTTCATCCATTTGCACCGAAAATGTTCTTGTTTTCAGCTTTTCAACGAGTTGTATTTTAATATCCTCACTCATTTTATTTTTCTTCTGCAAACAGTATTGTTACTTAGTCATATAGCTTTAACGTCTTTGTCATCTTTTTCTAGAACAGTTTTAAATGCTGATATTGATGTTTTGATTAAATTCTCCCCTATAGTACTGCTTTTCCCAGATTAAGCGATGAGTAACGAAATTTGATAAATAGCCTCAAGAGCACGATTAACAGTTGAATTATGAGCAGTAAGTAGAGACTTTAAGGAAAATTTTTGAACAAAGAGTAATATTAAAGTGTGAAAATAATTCAAATTTGAATTAATATCATCATTATATTTCGCTTTCAAATGTGCCTCAAGACGACCTAGTTTCATTGATTCGTTGATCAGGCATTATTGGCATAAAAAGCAAAAGGTGACCGTTTATCGACCGGGTAGGAAACCAAATTTTAAATATACCTCCGAATACTGACGAACTTTTTTTCTTGCTTGCAGCCCTCATTTCACCAAGGGCTGAAAGAAACAAATATAAGATCAATATAAACAAAGCTGAAAGCAGCTGCTGTTGCCACTCAAGGAAAAAATAATATACCGGTTGTCATTTCTACAGTAAAAAGTAAAATAAATTTGTTGGCTGAAATGTGCGTGAAACGTCTAGAAAGCATAATGTGTCAGTTATTCAAATGCCCTTTAAAAGCATTTAAATGTCCATGTCTACAGTGAAAATTCTTTATAAAAGATTTAAATGCACCGCAATTTAAAAACTTTTCTACGTATGCCTCACATTTTTCTTTATTTGGGGGAATAAAAAATGAAATTTCGAAAAATTTTGACTTCTTGAAGCATATTTAGAAATTTGAACTTCCTTTGTCCCCTTAAACTCTGGAGAATCCATTATCGAATTGCCCCCCCTTAACAATAGCATTGCCTGCTTGTGGGGCGTGGGCCCCACGTTGGGAAACGCTGGTCTGAAGGGTCAATTTGCCTAGAAGGACTATTAATTGCGTTTTGGCACTTTGCGTCGAAAACTTTAAAAGGCTGTATCACTTTTCAAATCGTTGCTACCAAATATTATCGCCATGTCTTATATTTAAAGAAATTAAATAATGAAGAATCTGTATAAATGTATGTATGTTTCTCGCATTGTGATAAAACAACGATACCTAGAGCCATCAAAATTTGAATTTGAATCTTCCATAGAATATGGGCATGTGGAAGGCGTAATTTGAATTTGAAATTTGTTTTATTATCGATTTTAAAATTAATTTGCGATATTGCTGTTGAACTGAATTTTATAGCTTGACTACGTAGAACATGATATTTAATAAATAAAAGTAACACACTAAAAGTTAAAAAAACGTTCAAATGCAAACAGAGGCATTTGACACGCTTGCATTTAATCAGCTGTCTTTCACCATACGAAATGTTATTATAAGACTACAGAAGTATTTACGAAAACTGTGCAGTTGAATTGAATAGTAGAACAGTGTGATAAGATTAAAACAAACATAAAATTTCTTAATTATCTCGTTAACTTTCAAAGGGAGTTACCTAAGTCCAAATCTTTCTTCATCTATGTTATGGAAACTCGCCAAATCGCCACCAAATCCTCTGCAATACGCTTTTGCGTCGTCCCAAGATAAATAACCCGTCTCGTATGATGTTTCCTGCAAGAAACGTAAAACCTTATCATATCTTCATTCAGTAATTAAAAATACAAACATTAACAAACTCAAGCTTTGCAGATAATTGAGAAAATAATTTTTTAAGAAAACCAGCACAATTGGAAAGGCATTCTGAACCACAAATTTTCAGCATATAGGATGCCCCATAAATGAGGGCACAATTTCGAAAATATTATAAAATAATTAATTGGCATATTAAAATGCAGGTTATATTTAAAAACTTGTTGGAAAAGCAGAAATTTTTTTTCAAACTTTCACCGTTAGATAGGCACTCTAACATTAATATACGAAGCATAATACTAGCATAATATTACTAAAAGATGCAAATTTAAACCATTTAAAAAGGGATGGGTATCTTAGAGTTTGTGATGAACTGCTATATTATTTCTAGTATTGTAATATTGTAGAGATATTTGGATTTTTTGAAAGCAGAATATATTGAAAAATGAGCAATGGTCTCCCCGGGACTCGAACCATGGACTCTTGAATACGCGCCAAGCGTGCTGACCAGTACACCACGAAGACATGCTAAGAAGGCTGGATAAATATCTTATATACTCCTCCTTTTAAAGCACTACTGGGGTTAGGGCACTCAATCGCCAAATCCTGGTGTGGAGAATCATCATCCACCACCTTTTTTATTTCGGGCGCCACTGTAGAGACATTAGCATTTTTTGGAGGCAGGAGACATTTAAAAATGTGCAGTGCCTTCGCCGGGATTCGAACCACTGACCTCTCGAATACGCGCCAAGCGTGCTGACCACTACACTCCGAAGGCATGCTAAGAAGGCGAGATAAATGCCTTATAATATATTCCTAAATACCCCTAAAAAGTGCATCTAATATCGCCATTTATCGACTAATATTTGGATTAAAATGCACACTTAGCCAAAAAAAAAAAAAAAAAAGGGGGAGAAGTGAGAAATTCTATATGTCCTGTTCTGGTGGACAGTTGGCGAACTTTAATTTTCGTTTTTCATGTCTCCAAAGCACAACCAAGAATATATATTACATTTATATATAATGTTGTTTTAACATAGTATATTGACACGAAACCGGGAAAGTGATATATGTTTTTTTCTTCATATTTCAATTCTACGAATCAAATTACGCCTAAATATTAATTTTTGTAAAATCTGGGGAGAAACTTACCAAGAAATTTTATAATTTATCTTGGTGCACATTTTTCCTTCTGCGCCAAGAATTGGCGAGTTTCTTAATTTATGGTAACCTATTTTCATTACCCTTTCATTGCGCATGACTGGGAAAAAAAGTCGTATCGTTTATTCTTTGAAATAATTTTAACAATGTGTTTAAGCCACATTTGACATTATTATCAGTTATAACTAATATTTTAAATTTCAAAACGCGCTAGTATATAAATTCACGTATATCTTAGGAAATTTTGAATGAAAAACTCTAATCTTTTGCAGGTGTGCATAGAAATACGTTTACTTTAAAGTGATGGTGAAAATTATATAGGTACATTTTGCGTAATTGTCTTTAAAATTGTTTGAAAAATTTTATAAAAATTACTAAAAATACAAATTTTTTAAAAAAAAATCAAAAAATATCTGCGAATTTTAATTGAACTGAGCCTCAATTCCGAAATGTGAAAGAATGTTAAATAAAAAATGAGAGATTAAATAGGGATATATATACCAAATTCAATTAGTACTGAGAAGCAAAAGATTTCGAGAGCTAATTTTTTAAAAATATTCTTACGATTTGTACAAAACTTGGCACTTTGTCCTATTTGAGTCGTAGAATCGAAATATGAAAAAATAAGTCTGTCATTTTAGACATAGACGAATTTTGTGTCAAAATTCCTATGTTAGAAGAACGCTATAAATAAATCTAATATCCAAAGTCGAGCTTTGGAGACATGAAAAACGAAAAAAACTATCCTTTCTTCTTCTTCTTCTTCTTCTTTTTTTTTTTTTTTTTTTTTTTTTTTTTTATTGTCCCGTGAGTGTGTCTGCAGAGTGCAACCTTATGCCAAAAAGGAAGACTTTGTCCCATCTTTAGTTACAGGTCGCCCTGATCCGGATATATATATATAATAATAGGGAGGAATAAAATGGTTATGAGGAATAAAGTGGTATGTTTTCTTTTTGATGCTAAACAAAATAAATACTAAATACGACAATAACTTTGTTTCTAAATGCAAATTAATTTTCTTTTACACTTGAATTTTTATCACATTGTTGAGTATTCGCGAAAAATCACTTTGTATTGTTTAAAATAGTGAAGAGTAGTTCAACGTAAAACTTTTAATACAAAATGAAAAAAATGATGAATTCAGTTTCGTTGGAACTGGTCTAACATTTTCGAAGTGTGTTTTATATGATAAACGTTGTAGGGTTTATATTTATTTTAACTAACATTTATTTTAAGCTATCTTTCCTGTCAAGCCTTTATTTTCCCCTGGAATTGCCAATGCCAGAGTATGTAAATTTTAGTAGAACACGCAGAGTATTCAAATTTCTAGCAGAAGTAATTTGAGTTAAATAGAGGAGAAACGAGTTTGTAGGTGTGCTTTCTTGATTCATGAGCGTGAAGGTTGCTATGTAGAAATTTAAGAATCGCGCATTTCGGCCTGATTCGTGCCTAATTCGGCAGTTAGTTGAATCTTTCAACTTCTTATTCAGAAAGTTTGCTGAAATCTCAGCTGTATCTTAGAACGCGGTTAAGTTAGTCATGTTTATAGAGCCTCGTAGGTAGTGACTTGTTATTTATTCATCCTGTTATTCGTTTTTAGTTGTACTTTTCGATTTTTATTTAACCGCCGGGTCGGCGTAGTTTGTGAGCGTCAAGTGAACGCATCTGTAATTTCTAAAGTGGAATAAAAAGGGAGTTAAACCCTTCTTAAGAGTTTGTGTAATTTCCAGTTCATAGCAGTCACTACTACTGTTGCGGGCAAGTTGGGGCCACGCAACACCGCAACGTAACAGAAGTTATAGCACTTTACGTGTTGGAAGTTAGGTCAGATTAGGACAGATGGAAATGTTTGGATGGAGGAAGTTTTTTCTCACCTCCGGTTTAACATAGTAGAAGGTACATTAATCATTTTATACAAAAATGTTGCATAAAAGGATTTTATCAATCATTTTATACAAAACTGTAAAAAACTTGAAAATCCAGGTTGAATCACGAATTAGTGCGAGTAATGATTTCAGCTTCCGAAAATCAAAGATCATCGATTTTATCCCAACAATACGAAGCAAACAATGGACTTGAAAAATAATTTTTTTTTTTTTATCATTCAAGAGAAGGGTGAAGGGACCACATGAGAAAAAATCAGCCTTTCTCTTGCAATAACTGCTAGCCTACCATGGACCTTATAAGAAATAGACTAACCCATTGGGCGGGGCGTGCGTCACACACATGTCGGGAAGAGAAAGTAGGGACGATTTAGTTTATCGTAACATTGAAACATATGGCGTTTGTATCACATAACTCTTTTTAATTATTAAATGTGATACGTTATATAAATGATGAGATAATAAAAATCACAGTTTTTGCTAATAAGATTTTATATATCTCATGAAACCACTTTTTAGTGCATTTTGAGTATTTTTTTTTACTGCATTTTGAGCATAAGCGTAATTCTTGTCTAAACATTATTACTTTAATAAAACGGTAAAAACTCTAAACAAAAAATTTATGAATTTACTTTTGCCTACAAATAAAGTAAAATTAAGTAAGATTGATAGTACATGATGCTATGAAACAAATAAGGTAAAATTAAACAGGATTTGGTAATTTTTTTTTTTAATTTTATGAACATTTTCACGCAGTAGTAGCAAATATTTATCATTTCAAATGTTTATAGAAACCAAGGATTGTTTTATTTATTTTTTCTGTTTTCAAAATTATTATGGTATTAAAAGATGATCATTTTTGACAATATTAATAACTCATAAAATTCGGTGCATAAACTTTTCTGAGTGTAATGAAAAAGTTTTTAAAAATTCGCAGTAAATAAAAAAATCTTATGCGGAACTAGAAATAAATTTAAAAAAATAATTACTATAAAATACAAGATATTATATGTCCAATCTTAAATTTTTATTAATGCGCCTAAAGTAACCTTGTAATTTTATATACCTGTAAATACTTTAAGCAGAATGACTATGCATCCATAAATACATATGTATGAAAGTAAACAATTTAGGATATTTGTTGAATTGAAAAATTCGCTTACTTCACTTTTTATTTCAAATATTTGTCAAAACAAGATTATATCTACTTATCTCTTACCACACACCTATATATATATATATATATTTAGAGAGAGAGAGGAAGAGAAACAGATAATATGGTTTATTGATGCTTAAATAAAATTAATTTATTAAATCTGCTTCGAATATTTTCTCTCTGTTTCGATTCATTGTAACATGCAACAGCAAGATGCATTCTGATTTTTAAATATTGAAATATCACTGCTTTAATTAATTTACTCAGGTGGTTTTTATCTGGCTCATCATCATAAATATGGTCTTGAAGAGAAGGAAATATATGTGTTCCTACGCTTTTTAAGACTTTTAGAGTCATGAAATTTATAATATTTTTTTATTTAATTTAAACTCCTTTTCAGTCTGCCTAAAAATTATTTCTGCATTTTTGCAGATCATTCGGACGTCACTGGAAAGAGAAGTGAAACCTTTACATCCAGATTTATAATATTTGAAACCTAGCAAACCATCATATGGTTCTGTTAAAACTAAATCTGAGAAACAGATATTACATTTTACTTTATAAGCTAAGCTTTTAACAACAAAACCAGCTATATAAGATGTATACTTTTCGTTCTTAAATATTCTTATTTTTGATTAGTTATAATGCTAGGAATTAAAATTTACCTATAATTTAAAAAAGCAGCAAAAAATTATAAATTTTAAAGAAAAACTTTCAAAAATTCATTTTTAGGCATTTTAGTATTTAGTTATAGTTTAGTATTAGTTATAGTTTTAGTAATT